GACAGCCACAGATAGCGACAACGACAACAACAGCCCCTTGCCAGCAAGCGACTCAACAACCAGTCGGCCATCAAGGTAGGTAGCCAGCATTGTTGTCCAGTCAGTCACCTTCAGCATAGCGAAAAGATTGTTGTTATAATAAACCCCATGGGAAGTCCCGATTACACACGCCCGTGCGCTCTCGCCATACCCACAGTGCGCGAGTTTCAGGCCATTTGCCCGCTGCTCTGTGGGTTAGGTTCCACATGCCAGACCGCTCTCAATCTGTCGCGACTGTTGCGACGCAGCCGGAGCAAAAGGCAAAAAATCATGGAAACCTTGCCCTTGCTATTCGGCAAGTTCCATCGATCCAGATGTCACAGGACTCAAGCTAGTCTGCTGCGGCTGCATGTTGGAGCCGCCGTGGCAGGTGTAGGAAGGCAATTCAGTCTGCGAGATGGAGGAGAAGACGACAACTAGCCGCTCAATGCGGACTGCTTTTTGCTTGCTGTCCTGACAACCAACCTGTCGGATGCCCAACCTAACCACCATGACCATACCCCTCCCTCCATGGATGAGTTCCAGGTATGGGGGACCACCTTGTGTATGTAGACGGGTCGCAGCCTGCCTGTGTATGTGTTTTCTTTCTTTCTTTCTTTCTTTCTTTCTTTCTGTCTGTTTTGTTTTTGTTTCACTGAAAATGCCCTTCCTGATCTGGCATCCCACGTCTCTCCGGGTTGTCCGCATGTCATGAGGAATCTTCCAGAGTCGTCTTCGCTACGCCAGGGAGAAGGGCAGGGAAAAGGAGAAGAAATGAGGCTGTAGCTTGGCTGCACGGACACCGAGGTACACACACACTCTCACACACACACACACACATACATACATACATACATACACTTTGTAGATCCTGTGCAGAAGGTTATCCCATGCAACAGACCGAGAAAAAACATAAACGAAGGGAAGGTCGGAGAAGGAAGAAAGGCAAGGTCGGAGGCTCGTCGCCGAGAAGGGGGTGGAGGTAAAGGGTCTCAGAGGGGCTATGTTTGCTGTGTTTGTTGAAGGTTCCACAAACCACTCGGTTGGGAGCAGCAGCAGATGAGAGCGTGTGGATACCGATGAAGAGAGGGGGGGAGGTTGGGGTTTCGAGAAGCAACCGAAAAGCTTGCACCCGGCAATGGGCCACTCGCTGACGGACAATTAGTCATGAGTTCGATGTCAAAACACATTGACGGTGTCATGGCGCGGCATGCGCCCCCACAAAGCTTCAAAGCTTGAATGTCATGTGTTTATATCGCATACGAGGAGAAACAGTTGCCTGTCGAAAAGCTTTCCGCTTGCTGAAAAGACGCGGAAGAGCTCCGAACTGTGAGAGCGGATGCCTCGAGGCTGTCGAGCGGTTTCTTCGGCTCGGAAAACAAGCCACACAGACCCAAAGTGGTTGCGTGCAGCACAGTGGTTGCACCAGTCGAGGGGTTGGCAATACGGGTTTCCAAGGGTTTGCCAGCGGTTGCCAGGCAGGGGTACCGGGCAAAAACGATCAGGTTTGCCGTCCCGAGGAGGTGGTTGAGCCCAGGAGGACCCCCGTCGACTGCGGCGATGGAACCCCTCCCTTGCCGTTTATTCCCTTACCCCAGCGGCCGAGCCCCCAGCCACCTGCATGCCGCGCGCCCACCCAAACCGCCTTGGGCCAAGGCTGGCCTTTGGTTTTTGGGTCGGGGAAATAAACCTGGTAGTCCGCGCCCTTGGGACACGTCTCTAGGGGACGCACATCGGCGACGCTTTGCCCGAAAATACCTTGTGAATCCGCACCCGTATGTGCGTATCGTAGCACCCAACACTGACGTGCAGCAATTCCCCAAAAAATGAAGCACACACTAGTAGCTCACGTACATAACCGCGGCGACAAGAGACAATGTCGCATCCCACATCCCATATTCTCTTGTCCGTGGTCGCGGGACGGCAGGAGGGCAGCACGGGAAAGGTGTGACAAGGCGACAAGTCCTTTCTCGCTTCTCGACGGGAAAGCGAGGTGGCTGGTCAATGAAGGAGCCTCGCCAGGTGTTGAAACGATGAGGGCTTCCGGGATAACCGCAGGTGATCGACTGGGGAGGGCAGTCCCGGCCCGGTGTTCGGATTCAGGCAGCGATTTGTGGTGCTCGTCCAGGGCAAGGGGAATCCAAGTATATCCCGTAAACCGTACCCAGTCTTCCGAGTGCTTGGAATCTGTCATCAATGACCACCCTTCGTTTCATTTTTGCTGGCCTGCCCAGTTGGCCTCGGCGCTGGTGGGAAGTGCCCTTGCATGCACATCCAAGCCTTCATGATTACACAGTACGGCCGCATCTGGGCCTGCAGTTTGGGCCTCGGCTGTTGTGGAAGCTCGTCCTTTGCAGAGACAAAAAAAAAGGAAAGAGGGGGGGGGGGTTCCGTGGGTTTATGCTCCGTTTGCATACCCCGCGTCTTCATTGTCGCCCCTGGATAGCTGCCGTGGGGGATAGCAGGCTTGGTGGCTTGATGATCCCCCCAAAAAGTGCAAAAGGAGCTATCGAGGGCAGGTCAGCAAACCATCGTCTGATATGATCGAGACTGGCCCAAATTAGCCGCAAGAGTTGTAACATGTCGTCTGAATTGGTGATTATCGCGGTTGTGCCGTCGGGAGAAACGGACGATATCGTTGTTGCCGTCTAACCGGAAGATCGGCTTGATGGTCCAGGGGTTGGCGTTGTTTTAACTCCTGGTTCCGCGATCCAAGTTGTGCAAGCCGGGTACCCATGCCCAAAAGGGCCGTGTTGTGCGCCAAAAAGAAGAAAAACACCCAGGTCCCGTCGGTGTGGTTTTGGTTTGCGCACAGATGTCGAAGCGCGCCGCCGCAATTACCAGCTGGGCGGGAAGCCGGTAAGACATGAGGCGCCGTCTCCAGACTGCTGGGCCTGGCTGCTCGGTGGGAAAGAGAAAAAAAAAAAGCTGGGTTGGTACAGGTACGTACCTCGATCCCCCGTCACGTTTCGGCCCAGCTGGCTGGCTTCGGTCGGAGAGCAGCCAACCAGCGCTCTCCCTCAATCATGCAACCGGCCCAACTGCCAATCTTCTGCAGACATTTTGCTCTTTTGCAACCTCTTCTGTCGCGTTCATAGCCAAATTGCGCGTATCAGACATCCTGGTTTTGGTGCATTTACCGGGTGTTTGCTCGGGGAGCTTCGTATTTCCGGGGCTTACAAGGCGAGGGAATGGGGAAATGATGTGCTGTTTTCAGATGCGGCTCCGTCCGCGCTCCGACTGATGAGAGAGGATCAATGCCCTGCCAACAAGGCCTTGAAACAGTGGAGGCCGGGTAGCGTTCACACCGTAGGAAGTCCAGGAAAGGGAGGGACGGAGGGACGGATGTTTTCTGGACAGAGGACGGGAGGGGGGGGGGAATGAGAAAAAAAAACGCCCTTCCCTATCTCCCCGTTCCCAATCCGTGGGGAGTTCTCCGATCCAGGTACCGCCAGGAAGGTAAAGTTTTCGAGCGGCAAAGTTCCGGCGGGGCCGCCTTCCGCTGCCCGCTCTCAACCCTCCCAGTACGATCCCAGAACCGTGTCCTCGGGTTCGTCTTGAGTACCGAGCGCTCGGTGAGCCACATCCCTAGTCGCAATATAGTAAGATCAGCACACAATAGTCGTGAGATACGTTTCTCGAAGATACAAGGGTGGCGTACACAAGAAGCCGGGGTTAAGTACATTAACCATTGTTGGGAGCTCTAGTAAGTGGATACATATGGCGAGTTTGCCGGAGGTATCCCATGCTCCGAAGACCTGGTTTTCTATCCGTTTGGGACCCTGGAGCGCCAAGTGGACGGCCGGGTCTTAATATACGAGCAGTGTTAATGGATCCCAATGTTAATATTATATAGCCCTAGCGGGGTCAGCCAAAACCAAAAACTGGGCGGTAATGGATGTACTGATTAAAGTACACCGCGTTGTCAAAAACGCTGGGAATACCGTGCCGGACCCATGATTTTGCAACCAAGGTACGTAGATGCGTCGTAGGTACCTGGGTGACAATGACCTGGCCCGTCGACAAGGTCGCGACGTGCTGCTTGACTGCTGCATCAGGCCAAGGACGTCTCAGCCTCGTAGCACTGGCTGTGGAGGGACACACGTTGTGAACGACCACCGGCGGACGAACACTCCACAGGTTAAAACGGTATCTGCAGCAACAGTAACAGCAGCAGCAGCAGCAGTAGTAGTAGCAGTAGTAGAATCCATTCGGAGCAAAGCAGCGACTGAGAGACTAGGACGGCACGGAAGGCGATGTGTCCAACGCAGGTGGGGTGGTCATCGTTTCACGCAGGAGCAGCCGGTTCTTTAGCGGAAGCTTATCGAGGGTGAGGGCCATTCAGCAAGGCGCGATCCCGCCCAAGCACGAAGAGCCGTTGAATGATCCATCCACGTAGTTCACAGTTGACCATCCTGGGCAAAGGCGGTGTGTGTTTGGCACGCGGGAGAGGATCGGCCCCCTCCTCCCCCCCAATCCACTTCCAGGAAACGATTCAAGTGAGGACAGGGGTGTACGAATGACGGCCCTTTCCCATAACTTGAGGATAATGCGCCAACAACGCGGCTCTGATCGACAGCGGCATCGTGGCGTGCAAACCACTCCGGCGGGCCAATCTGAATGATTTTGGCTCGGCCATAGGGCCCACAAGCCAGGACTGTTCATTTCAAACGTGTGAGTGCCGCATAGGAAGAAGCATATGGTCCGACACTGTTCCTTGTGAGGGTCGTTCCGGCAAACAAGGGGTCAGTAGGTATCTCCGCTCGCGCTCTCAAAACCGCATAATACCTACCATCTGAGTCTCCAAGATGGCCGGACCCGCGTGTCCGACTCCCCACGTTCTAAGCTCCTTCGGCCTGCTTCCAGATAATTTTTTTTCCCTCCCATGCTCCGCTTGCATGTAACGAGCCTGACCAGACGCTTGCTACTTTTCAGTAATCACAAGAAGATCGACCTGAGTTTTGCTGAACCTGTTTGCCACCATGATTGAAGAAGAGTGTGTAATTGCCCCATCAGGTTTTGAAGCTGGTAAACATGCACCAAATCGATGGTCATGCTAAAAAAAAATGACGAAAAAAATAGCGAACAGACCGTCGCCCTCGATGACAGCTATCGGGAGATTGTTCGATTTGCCAACCGAGACTTTCAACGCTATGCCTTGGAAAACGGAGTGTACTTCGCTCCTGTCGACGATGTGAGTATAATCCTCGCTGGTCGCGTGTTGCTGACTCCTGACTTGATCAACGTTGCGTCGACGACAACAGGACGAGATCGACCGCCTGCAGTACATGCACGCTATTTTCAACATGATGTTCGACAACCGACTGATCTTCCCGCCCATCCCGAACCCTCAAAGAATTCTCGATTGCGGTTATGGATCAGCAGCCTGGGCAATAGATGTAGCTCGGCAGTATCCGGAGTGTGAGGTACGTTGACGGCGGCCTTCAGAGTTATGGTGTTTGGGAGAGACTGGCCATCATCAACGCGGTCTGGATTATTCTGATCAAGAGGGTTCAGTCAACCGTTAGTTGGGTCTGGGAGGTTTGGGTTGCTGAAGACGATAGATAAGGGGCATGTTGAACAACATCAAGACGGTCATGGCCGTATTGGGTGTGGGAGGGAAGGGGGAGAGAAAAGGAGCAAGATGTGATAAGAGAACGTGAACTGATGGGAAAGAGCGCGCCAGCTGACAGTCTTGCTGTTTACTAGGTCCTCGGTATCGACATATACCCATACCCGATCCCAGAGGACTGTCCACCAAACGTGGATTTTCAGGTCGACGACCTTAACAGCCCGTAAGCCCAGCCCCGATCGACGCGGAACCTATCGGTAACTGCTGCTAACGGAACCATCAGGTCTACCTTTCCATCAAATTACTTCGACCTTGTGCACAGCAGGATGATGGCGGGTGGCATTCATGCAAACCAGTGGCCGAACTACATGAGAGACATTTACCGCATTCTTCGTCCTGGAGGCTGGTGTCAGATGGTTGAGATATATTTCAACGCGCAGTCAGATAATGGCACACTTACTGCCGGTATGCGACTCAAAGGACCTTGGGTCATCCTCGAGTTTAGCATCGTTGCTAACGTAACACGAGACCACGCCCTGCGCAGGTGGTCACAGCTCTACCTGAATAGCATGCAGCCAGCGAAAGACCCGAGAGCAGCGATGCATCTTCAGAATTGGATGATAGAGGCGGGCTTTGAGCAAGTTGAGGCAAGGATGTTAACGCTACCCCTGAGTGGATGGCCGACTGGTGAGTCCGCACAAGTTCTCTTGTGGTGTAGCGGTACTCGACTCCGTAGAAGTTTGCTGACACAGCTCTAGATCCTCGACAACACGACATCGGCGCGGCCAACCGCCCCAACGTCCACCGGCTTTTGTTGTCTCTCGCCTTATATCCATTTTCGCGAGTGCTAGGGTACGTGCAACTCCGATTCGATCGGTCTGGAGGCTCTTTGTTGAGCAAATTAAACTGATCTATACTGCGAATGTCACAGCCTGTCGAACACAGACATCCAGCTGCTTGTTGCGCAAGCTCGCAACGAGGCCGACAATCCAGCCTTCAAGGTATGATTGCAGAAGCGCCCTTTTGGACCATGTTGTTTCCTTATTGTCTTGTGGCGAGCTGAATACTGACTCTCGGGCCTTCTTGTGGCTGGACAGGCTTACTTTCCTGTGTAAGTTACCTTCAGTAGTGCTTGGTGGATTAGGTCAAACTGATTAGTTGGTCTAGGTACGTCTGCATCGGATGCAAGCCAGGCGGGAATAGATACAGCAGCGACATTCGAAGCCATTATTCTTCTAAATCGAGACATGGCGACTCAAGAAAACGAGTGCGTCATTGAAGGACTGGAACAGTGAAGATAGAGCGGATGAATGTGGTTTTTGGCGCTGTAGGGGATTCGGATTCTGCTTCTCGGTTTACGGCTTCTTATGTTTTGCTTTGTTTTAAAGGCGCAAAAAAGGGGGGGAAGGGGGGGGGGAGGGGGGGAAGCATGGAAGAATGCCGGTTGGCTGGGTTAGACATACATACCTCGGGCACACTCATAGATTCTTTCTCATGCACAGTTGGTAAGCATCCACGCAAGGTCATGACCAACAGCTGAGTCTGCAGAGCCGAGCATGTCAACCTTAGAGGGTCACTCACTTATCACCTAACGTGGAACAGCGGTGAAGTGGTTGGCGCTCTGGCAGTCCCCCGTCCCAAATCTCTTGGATACTTACAAGTGCCCAAGACTCGGCCCAACGTCACGACCATCACGACCGCGGTAGGGTCTCACCGCCCAAGCTTTGGAAGTGAAGTTGACCTCAAATTTGGCAGTGACTTGAATATCTGAGGGCCGGGAAGCAGGAGAATGTAAGCTGCAAACGTGAGAGCTGAAGGGTCGATAATCGTTCGGGGATGCTGTGTCTTGGGGGTTCATATGCATCATCATGGACTGTGCTTGGCTCTCATTCCGAGAGGCCCTAAAATGTTGAACCTGTACCCGTCACATGGTTGAAGGAGAAAAAAAATTATCAGCACCACCATCACAATTCCATCCGGAGAGGCAGCACTATATTTGGGAAACTTTAACTCATTTCGCAGGACAGCACCTGACTTTGAGCTAATTGCAGCAACACCAGGGCTTATTCATGATCACAGCGCGGGAGCCTATTCATCAGGCCAGAAGAAAGAGAAGAGAAAAGAAACAGCCGTATTTTCTCTGGATCAAGAAGCTGCAACGCCGGGAGGGCCCTGGAGGGGAAGGACAAGCGAGAATGGGGTTTAGGGAATTGAGTAGGACCCCTTCCTCAATGTCGAGGGTCATGGTGACTTTAACATGCTCTCATCCCGGGCTTGGGTGCTTCACGTGGAGATGGCATGGGAGATTCCCACTGGGGAGATCCATCCGGCCCGTCAAAAACATTGATTTCCGTCCTATCTCGGTTGCGGGGCCCGCCCACTTGGGACGTCCAACGGTTGTCATCGCATGGAGAGGGTCGAAAAATGCACAAGCGATGCACGTTGCGCAAATGGAAGAATGTGGAATGGCTTGTTTCTGGAAAAGCATCATCGGTCTTCGACACCATTGACATCAAACAAACGACAGCATCCATCCATATGACCAGTCAGACGTCCAGACCTCTAGTCTCATCAGCTCCGCCTCTGCTGTCGCTGCTCTGACTACACGTCAGGTCTGCGTCGTTAGCCCTCGACACCACGCCGGCGGCGTTCCGTGTCCCGTATCCAGGGCATCCTGCTGCTCAACACCTTTTTCAGCCCGCCTATCAAGGACGAAATTACATTTCCTTGCGATTCTACGTCCTTCTCGGGCTTCTGCCCCGGCACACTTCCCACTTATCTACAACTCTACACGGGTGCCGACACCGTGCTACGGTCCCTGTGTCAATAGTGTTGTGTATTCCCCATGGCTCTCCCTAGAGTAGCTAGTCTACCAGCAATTAGCAGTGAGACAACGCTTTTTATCAATGCCAGCTCGTGCGATTGCCCCATTCCTGCTCCCCACACGAACCAAATTGTTTGGTTTCATTGGTGATTCCAGAAGATGCAGAACGGCCGCGGCTTCGCAGCGTGCCAGGCACATTCCCCCCGGCGTGGGGAGTGGGACCAGTTCTTTGCGAAATGGGGTGGCATTTCTTCGGCGCTTCCAGCTCGATGTCACTGAACGAGAGCTGTCAAAAAGATGGATATCCCGATGATGATGGCACTTCCCAAGCGGTCCAATGTGGATGTTTCTTTTTTTTTTCGTTTTCCTCTTTTTTTTTACTGGCGTCAGGGAGCAGAACTCGCCTTCACATTGGACGCCAGGCTGCAGGATAATCACCCTCCAGCAGCGCCGCATAAAACAAGAAAAATGCCTTCGACGGGAGAAGAGCGCACATCCCGACTCATACACCGACCGCCGGTGACGTCTTAGCGTCTGATGCCCGCGCGGTCCCTCTGCTCGGTCAAAGAATGGGCGGCTGTTTCTGTCCTAGGCTAATGAGGCGTCCCAGGGGGGTGCAACCTTGAGCCTGCTGGCGGACCAATAGGCTTGCTTCCCGTGTCGATCGGTGTGCCCCATCAGTGGTGCCAGGTGGAACTGAAACGAAAGCTTGCCTGCTGCGGGACGTTCGATTTTTTGACAACAGCCAAAAACAAGCTCACCTTCAACCAACAATATTTACGACAACGGCCACGCCAACGTTGCAGCTTATCGCCCTCTTAGCACATCCCCCACTCCCAGCCCGCCAATTGACAGTTGTCTGACTCGTCGATCAGCCGCTAGAGCTCCTCGCTGCTGCTCCCTACCACTCCTGGCCCATCCACCCACTTCGACCGACAACCGATTTTCCCAATTAACATGTCGAGCAAGGCCGCCTTCAGCAACCTGATCCGGACCCTGGGTCAGCCGGTCGTCCGCCGGCCTGCCATAACGACGACAAGGTTGGCTTTCATCCGTGGGGCCCGGCCCTATTCGTCAACCGACATCCCGCCTCCTCCGCTCCTCTCCAAGATCAAGGATGACCTGAAGACGGCGATGCGGGCCAAGGACCAGAACCGGCTCTCGGTCCTCCGTGCTGTGCTGGCTGCCGTGGTGAACGCCAGCAAGACTGACGCTCCGATCAAGACGGACGTGCAGCTGGTTGTCCTGCTGCGCAAGTCGGCAGCCAAGTCGCGCGAGGCGGCCGCGGAGGCCCGGATGGCGGGCCGCGAGGATTTGGCAGAGAAGGAGGAGGCCCAGGCCAAGATCCTTGAGGAGTACGCCGAGAGCAGTTCTGTGCGCGAGCTCACGGTCGATGACCTCCGCAAGCAAGTGGAGGCGACTAAGGCACAACTGATCGGCGAGGGCGTCAAGGCCAACCAGTTGTTCGGCCAAATGATGGGAAAGCTGATGGGGGACAAGGTGTCGCCGATCGCCAACTGTGTGTATGATAAGGCGGCGCTTGTCAAGTTGATCCGGGAAGCTTGCCAGAACGAAAGTAAGCCTTCACGAACCACCGCCACCACCACCACCACCACCACCATTACCACCATTACCCCTGAAGAGTTAGAGCAACAGGAAGAGGGCACGGCGGCACAGCCAAAGAAGAAAGAGAGAAAGAAGATGAGAAAGAAGTTCTTACCCGTCCCCACTTATGCGGATCTTTACAAGATTGTGAAAGAAGAGTCTGAGAAACTTGTTGCTGAGGGATGTGAACAGAATAAATTGCGCGGCAGGCTCCTGGCCCTGCTGATGCCTTCGACCGGACCGCTCAAAGACTTGCTCAAGGACTGGTTCATACCCCGATCATTCCTGGTTGGTGTGATTAAGGATGTTGTCCGCCACCGCAGGCTGGCTATGACAACACCCAGCAACGGCGCCTCTGCAGTCGTCAGCACAAGCGATAGTACCACTCAGTCTTGAACGAACCGTCTCTGTGTCAATCGACCTCAGGGGTTCAATCCCCGGCCGAATTATTTACATACGACATGTGAGCGACTTGTCCGGAGGAGCTGGATCTGGATGGATAGATTGGCACAGTATAGCATGACACGGATTTGCGATAATGCAGCAATTATGCGATTTGATCACGACGATATGTGTACGATGATTTGTGTACTATAAAAAAGGAACAATCGCTGAAATGTATATTGCCTACCTGATGTATGTAACTGTCGCGATACCAAGGAATCTCAACTTCTTCTTTGTCTGGTCAGCTTGTCGTCTCTCTAAGCATTGACAATAAGATGGAAAAGAATGACGAGGAAGAGGCCAAACCGTTGTAACCAACGGATGATCGGTTAGTGAAAGCCCAAATCAGTAAGTCAGGGTATCGTCCCACCACCAGGGGTCTATCCGCGGTAACTGGTTGGTCCCTAGCAACGATGACGTATAGATGATAAGCTTAAAAGGGATGACGAGAATGACGCGCGGGATACGGCTTACACTGTATGGGGTTTTGGGGCTTTGTCCCATGACCAACCTTCGACCTGTCTACACTAATGCATGCACTGGAGATCGGGATCGGACATCTCATGATGCAAACTTGACCCCACATGGTCCCGGTCCTGTGGTTAAAAGGTACTGGAGGGGGAACGCCACTGAGAGTCTTGAGTCAGAGAGCTTCCGTACGTGTAAGGTTTGGTATTGTCCCGGCAAGCTCGGAGATATCAGGTGTTCTTTGTGGTTTTTGTCGATCCCGAGATTGTAAGAAGGTTGGTTTTGTTGGAGGAATCTAGTCCAAACTTTGACCACCTTGATACTTTTGGAGGGAGATTTGTCTCTCGGGATCATTATCTTCTTCAGGGTATCCCTTTAGAATACTTAAGATTTATCTCTTCCATGATGACTGCCGTTTCTTTCTCGCCCTCGAGCTGAATAGCAGGGCATATCAATCCCATCGGACACAAAGCTCCAGCTTACCTGACGGTTTACTTACCTGTCCAGCCATGCCTGCCTACACCACCACCACTACCACCACAACATCAACCTCCCATCCCCTCCAGGCGAAGGGAAAGAGAACGCCGATCACCCTTTTAAACCCCTCGCGCACCTCCTCCCGAGCACTATCCCCCGTCCGCTGCTCCCCTTCCCCAGCCCCCAGTACCGACGACCCTCCGCGAGGACGAAGACGTTTCCGCTCTCAAGATGTGCTAGCAGCAGCCAAGAAGACAAAAACCAAAGATAACTCCCTCTGGCGCGACCATCACTGCCGTAAGCACGGCCATCCCCGGTCAACCTCATCGTCAACGTTTCGTGGGAGGCCGAGACATCGCACACCGGTTCTCGTGGAAAGTTGTCCCGGGGATGAATCTGGCAAGGAGGATTGTGATGACAACAACAGCCCGTTACTGGAGGTGTGGGGAGTAAAACAACCCCCACGTGTGATTTGCCTACCCCTGAGACAAGCCCGCACGACGCCCGGGTTACCGGCATGGCGATGGAACTTGGATGATGATTTGGAAGAGAACAACAACTGGGAACATCATCATAGGAGTCTGAGTCCGTCACGCTCAAGGTCGCCGGTCAGTGGACCGGTTTCGAGGAAGGGGATGAAAGAAGAGAGTAGTAGGAGAAGGAGACGGAGGACGAGGAGCAGGGAGAAGATGCATGATGGATGTGGGAATGGGTTGAACGTCGTTGGAGGTGTGGGGATTCTTGTGCGTGGGGGGGATGGTGACACCAACGTTGGTGGTGATGGTGTTGAGCAGGATGGTTGGTGATGGTGGGAGTGGGTCACTACCGCTGCCGGCAGTTGATGATCGATCGCAAATCGTGGAGATGGGGGGCAGCAGCAGAAAGAGCCAACGGCGGCGCGGGGGTGTGATGCGATTAGAACACGGGGTGTGGGGTGGGGTAGGGTATCATTGAAAAGGTGTATGTAGGTGTAGTGTGCCAGACCGACGGTGAGAGCCTGGAGAGCACGGAGCGGTGGTCGTAGTGGTGGGGTTCAAGGGAGTCACGCGACTTTGGTGGTGATACGGGCTCAGGCGGTGACGTCTTGGTTTCTGATGCCGTGTTACCGTTATCACCAGCAATGACGAACGACATCCCAAAAAAAAGAGATAGGGAATGACGATGAGAGCATGCGATTGCCCGTTGACATGATGCTGTTGGATGCGATGCGATTGTGTAACGGATAGCTAAAGACAAAAAAAAAAAAAAAAAAAACTTGAATCTCGGGCCTTTGGGGATCTTTGACCAAGGTTGTAAAGAGCGGGCTGGGTTGTGATGGAATTCGGAAAATCTACATCGTCTTCTTGCCAACGGCCACCTGGCAGCCGGGACAAGAGCGATCTTGCAGCCAGGATTGTGGGGATTTGATGTCATTCGGGGATATCCAGATTGGACCCTGCAGATGATCAAGATGCGGCAGTCGGGTAACGGAGGGTCATGGAGGGTCGGATTTGCGGCTTTTAAACAGGCTTTAGCATCCTCAACTCTCAAAGTAGAAAATGGCATTTTGGTACTATCTGCTGAAACTCGATGAAACTCGAGAGAAATCCCGCAGATCAACCACTCACTGCATGTTCTTCACGTGCCAGATATGCGGCAGATTGCCAGACGTTCAGCCCAACAGGCACAAAACCACGACCCGGGTAACTCGATCTGAGACCCGTGAGTGCCCATGGATGATGGGTCATGGTGGTCAAGCTCTCAGGCTGATCAGCGCGCTTCCGTCAAGGCTAGCGCGGCACGTGCCACTCTGCCTGCTGCAATTTGTGCAGGGTCACGCGCGCCTATCGCCGTCCACCACCGTGCAGGCCTATCGTAGTGCGCCGATTGCAGCAGGCGCGATAAAGCTTCGGCTTCCAGAAACCAACGAGGCACCGGCTATCTCGAGGACTTCACGGGCTCACAAACTGCAAACCACCTTTTTTTTTCTAACACGCGCACTCATCGCATGTGCTTTTGGCGCGAATACTGCTCTCACTCCTTCTACGAAAATAGTTATTTCATTTCGGGTGTGGAAATGTAGTTTTATGCTTGCTGCTGCTGCCAATAAGTCACGAGCCTACAACGCGCTTCACAGCTTTCCAGTTTCCCTCCTCCCTCTCTCTCTCTGCCCTGGCCCCGGCACTTGAACGCATTTCTACCCCTCCATATTCCCCATCGCCAACCAACAACCGTGCAGACATCCATTTGTGCGATAGACATCTCGTCCACTAAATATTCTACACCGCCGGCAAGGTACACTGAACCAAAGGTTGTCAGCTTGGACGGGTTTCCACAAAACATCCCTCGGTCATGCCCAGAATCTAGTCTCGCTCAGCGCCTCAAACCATATCCTGACCCAACCCTTCGTTCAGGTGATATAATCTTGGTCCTTTGTCATATTCACTTCATCACCAATCACTCGAGCCGGTGAAGTCCTCGTGGCCCTCGGGAAGCTTCCGAAGTTGCACTGAAACTTGAGCGTCAAAGCCAGGTCTCCTTTCAAAAATACTGTTATCTGCAACTTTCATCCAAAACCTGACTGCTCACTACGGGTATGTTCGGATTGGCATCCACGTACTCCCTATTCCTACAAAGCTTCTTCCTTTCTCATAAATTTCCCTCCTTTTCATACTTTTATTCACAGAAGGATCGATCCAGTCGGCAAGCCGACTCATCGCGTGCCATCCTCGTTGCCTTCAACATCATACTGACACGATCATAGACACCGCGCTATCACTCACACAGTCGTTGACAATGCCAGGCGAAATGTGGAGCCCGGCTCTGATGAACAATCCAGCCGGGCAGCCAGAGTCTTCAGCGCCAGAGACCCTCCAGCCGACAACGGGGATGGTGACCATGACAGAATCCTCGACTTCCTCCTCGATGGCCCCGCTTACCATGCCACAGCAAGAGAGTTCGGCCTTCCAAATCACCGTGCCCCAAAACACCTTTGGCCTTGACTATTCTGGCTTCTCTGACCGACTTCAAGTTTCCAAACCTTCACCACTGCAACAGCCCGCGCCGCAGACGCCAACTGCAGAGCAGAGACCACAAACCATGGCAGAGCAGCCTGAAAGGGTTCGACAACAGCCATCTCCGACAATGCCTTCTCCGTTTACGCCAGCCGTTCCAAATGGATTGGGTCATGGCGCCGGTCGACCGCGCGAGGCATTGGATCGCGGTGAGATCCCCCAGCCGAAGCGGCGAAAGACGTACAATGAAAATGACACTGTCATGATGTCGTCGAGCCCTCCAGCTTCAACCAACGGCGCCTTAATGCGACCCATTATGCCGCCGCCGCCGCCGCCGCCGCCGCCGCTGCGGCGACAAACGATGGACGACGTCATTATGCTGAGTCCTAAAGCCAACCAGGTTATGAACAATACTGCTGCTGCCGGTGTCGTCATGTCCCAGGCGAGTCCCTCGGCGGCTGTCATCATGGCCAACCCTTCGGCAGATGTCATCATGGTTACATCCGCGCCGAAACCCTCCGAGACCATCGACCTTACTGGCGGCGACTCGGAGCCCGCGAAGCCTACGAATGATCCGTCCAAGGACGAGGAGGTGTGCTATGGTATGATCGAGGGCGCCACGATTAACTGCCACAAAGTCCCTGCTCCCAAGCAAGGCATGATCGCTATCAACGGTCCTGACTGGTGGCCGCAGATCAAGGCGATCCTCAGACGCAAGGCAGATGACAGGAACACAAGTAGAATTTTCGTCTACGACTGCAACAGAGTGGTCTTTGGCTTGGTCGACCAGCGGACGGCCGACTGCTTGGCTCCTCTGCTGGACTCGGCCCTCCAAATACGTACCGACTGCCGGATTCCCAGTCGCCGCAAGCTCCCCGGCGAGCAGGTCGGCCAGCAGTGCTCTGTCAACTTGAAGCTCGAACTGATGGTCTACGGGCCCAGAAAGTACGCTCAACATGTTGGTAGGCACTTCGCGAACCGCAATGTGCTACTCGTGAGCCCTCCCCGCGTGGATCCTGGTATCAAGGTGTTCAACCCGATGGCAAAGGAGAACCGACTTCCCCAGGCTGCTCGTTCCAACAACAACATTCCGCCTAGTGGCCCTGCTTATCCGACTCCCACTGTCATCCGCTCCGCCGAGGAGATCCGTAACGAGGTCATGGGCGTCTTCGACACGCTTAACAACTGCAACGAATTACCCGAAATGGATCCCGATCCGCGCGTGCAGACCGAACTGCTCCATCATCAGAAGCAAGCCCTCTACTTCATGACCCGTCGGGAGGAAGATGAGCTGCCGGACGCCGGTACCGATGGCGAGCGCATCACCACCATCTGGCAGAAGAAGAGGGACCGTCAAGGCCGCGACTGCTGGTACAACGTGGTTACGTGCCAAGCCCAGCGCGAGAAGCCGCCCCCGACTCGTGGCGGTCTTCTTGCTGATATGATGGGTCTCGGAAAGACGCTTAGTATCCTCTCACTGGTTACTAAGACTCTTGAAGAGGCGGATCGCTGGTCACGCCAGCCTCCTGTGCAGCCGCAGGCTCCCAAACAACGGACCAATAATAAGCAGCAGCAGAATTTGCATCATGCGCAATTTGATGTCCCCAAGCCCGCAGCTTTCGACTTGACTCCCGTGAGACTGAACGGCAAGGCTACCCTGCTCATCTGCCCCCTGAGTACTGTCACCAATTGGGAGGAGCAGATCAAGCAGCACATCAAAGCTGACAGCATCAGGTACCACATCTACCACGGTCCCAACCGTGTGAAGGATGTGGAAGAGTTGGCGCGTTATGATCTGGTCATTACCACGTACGGCTCTATCGTCAGCGAGCTCAACTCGCGTATTAAAGGCAAGCGGGGCATCTACCCCCTTGAGGAAATTGCTTGGTTCCGTATCGTGCTCGACGAAGCTCATACCATCCGCGAACAGAGCACGCTGGCCTTCAAGTCGGTTTGTCGCCTGCAGGCCAGTCGTCGCTGGGCCGTCACCGGCACGCCCGTCCAAAACAAGCTGGATGATTTGGCTTCGCTGCTCGCCTTTCTGCGTCTGAAGCCGTTCGATGATAGGAGCAAATTCCTTCAGCACATCATCCAGCCGTTCAAGGTGGCCGACCCGGAGGTTCTGACAAAGCTGCGTGTTCTCATTGACACCATCACGCTGCGCCGCTTGAAGGATAAGATCTCCCTTCCCGAGCGCACCGACGAGATCGTCTACCTGGACTTCACGCCCGAGGAGCGCCGTATATACGACTGGTTTGCCCGGTCTGCACAGGAGCGTGTCAAGATCTTGACTGGCAATGTACTGAACCAGGACCGTCTTGTTGGTGGCAAGACCATGATTCATATCCTGCGGTCTATCTTGCAGCTGCGTCTAATCTGTGCCCATGGCAAGGACTTGCTTAGTGACGAGGATCTCGAGCAGCTCCAAGGCATGACCGCTGATACACCGATCGACCTCGACAGCGACGACGAAGACAAGACACCGGTTCTTAGCGAGAACAAGGCCTACGAGATGTTCTACCTTATGGTTGAAACAGGTAGTGACAACTGCTTCCGGTGCAACATCAAGCTGGGCTCAGTCGAAGTAGACGACCCCGAGTCGGACCGCCAGGATGATGTGCTTGGCTATATGGCCAAATGCTTCCACGTCTATTGCCCGTCCTGCATCAAGCTCCTCCGTGCCGACCAATACCATCCCACAGCCGCTGAGTGCACGGTCTGCGCGCGCTACGACCGCACTGCTTATGTCGAATTACACCGCAACCGTGCCGACCAAGTCCACGAATCCCGCACCGCAGCTAAGAATCCCAAAGGTCCCTACTCCTCCACAGACGCTAGCACAAGCAACAACAGCAATAACAATACTGCCATCCCGAATAAAATCATCCCTGACGACCGCTACTCCGGCCCGCACACAAAAACCCGCGCCCTCATCGCCGAGCTCCTGCACAACAAAGCCCTCAGCGAAGCCAACCCCTCCGAACCCCCTCTAAAGTCAGTCGTCTTCTCCGGCTGGACCTCCCACCTTGACCTCATCCAAATCGCCCTCGACAATGCCGGCATCACCTATACCCGCCTCGACGGCAAGATGTCTCGCCCCGCCCGCAACGCCGCCATGGACGCTTTCCGCGACGACCCTTCCGTGCAAGTCATCCTAGTAAGCATCATGGCCGGCGGGCTGGGCCTCAACCTCACCGCGGGGAATAGTGTCTATGTGATGGAGCCGCAGTTCAACCCCGCGGCGGAAGCGCAGGCGATTGATCGGGTGCATAGGCTGGGGCAGAAGAGGAGAGTACGGACGGTACGGTTTATCATGCGGGACAGTTTTGAAGAGAAGATGTTGCAGTTGCAGGAGAAGAAGAAGAAGTTGGCCAGTTTGAGCATGGATCGCGATCCAAAGCTAGCCGTGGATCACACGGAGGCGGCAAGGCAGCGATTGTTGGATTTGAGGAGTTTGTTTAAGTGAGGGAAGTCGGGGTGCCAGCTTTAATTTGGCAGTATATGGGGATGTAATTTTGGTTGATGGGTCACATCTGCCATGAGCGCAGTCGGTGACCGAGATAGGCATCAGGAAGGTGGTGCATGCAGAAGTGCACCCTTATATCATTGAGGTCCTTTGACCTCACAAAATACGCACTAAATCCCTACGAATCTTCTACATGGAAAGGCGTTAAGGTGTTTTATACACACACACACACACACACACACGCACGCGGACATACACGCGCGCGCACATGCACTCACACGCACATCCTTTCCTTTTCATACTAAAGCACCGATCGTTTTCTGTTTGATTTCCTTTCTTTTACCCCTGCTTTGACATACACAGCCGTGGACTTGGTCATATACAGGTTACATAGCATAGTGGTGAGGGGGGGGGTGGTCACATTGCATGGGTTCTTATACCCTTTTCATTAATAAGGTATGCATCATGGATGATGGATGCATGACTGGACTGCACTACACGGATACATAGGCGGAATGAAATGGATCGATTTACATCATGGATCATGGTGGTGCATTGCATGACATGGATGAGGCGTCAATGGGGATGGCGGTTTAGTGGTTGATTCGGTAGTCATGGGCTAGAGTTTTCTTAGATTCGGCTTAGGTCCCTGACTTTTAACCAGGTTTGCATCTATCACAATCTGATTCACTGGTAGTTGGTGATGGCAGTGATGCTTTTCTCTTACGAGATTCCCTCACTGGCTAGGTGACTCCTGAAGAACAAAACTTCTTATCTATGCCTTTATCAAGGAGGAAATGTGAAAGCAGAGTCCCAATGGTCAACCAAACCAAGGCTGCCATACGAGCCTTCATGCGAGAAAAAGTTTCCCAAGTGCTCCAGTATGTATGTATCGTTATTTCTCAGTAGTGCAAAGTTCTTGAGAACTTTTATCTGTGTTTGTTTATTTAACCTCCTGGACCTGGCTACCAAACAATTAAGGGGTCCAGTGATCCAATTGGTGAGTTGTGTGGGGACAAGGAACAGGGGCTATGTTTACACAGCAACCAATGGTAGTCAACATCCGAACTCAGGGGGGCGGGCAACCTATCACATGTGGAATAAGGGAGGAAAGCAATGCTTATCCCAATGCATTTCTTCATCGCACAGCGTCCTGTTAAGTATATACACATAAAACCATGCAAATGCTCATGACCACGCCGTGAATAAAAAACCAGGCCCCTGTACCCCAATCTTATAAAACGCCCAGGAAAGAAAACTCAAGTCGAGGGGGAACTTTTTTGATGGTGATCGAGTGCAAAACCAGGCTATGCCTCCAGGCAACGTATCTCTAACAACTCGAGTCGGAGCAAGGTGTAGCCGTCAGGAATCACGGAGATATGCCGATGGCGTGGCTTAAGTCAGGCCTTGTAGACATGCTTAAGCAGCATCGGCAGTCTGTACGGGCTGAGGAACCCGAGTGGGCTGCTGGCCAGCGCGGATGATGCGGTTGCCAGTCGAGTCGGTGACGGGGACAGCGTCCTTGCTCTCGGCCTGGGCGCGCTTCCAGATCTCGACCTCGCAGCCGCCGCGGAGGACGGCCACACGCATGGTCGAGAGCAGGTTGTGGGCGGCGTTGGAGTGGTTGTAGACACCACCGTTGAAGACGGCAGTGGCGTCCTTGCCAATAGCGGACGAGATGAGGGTCTTGCCACCAGGATGGTCCTGGATGAACTTGCCGACGTCGTGGATGATGCCAGCAATGCAGACGAGGGCCCTGCCGTTCTTGGCCTCGGCGACAAACTCGTCCCAGGAGAGGACGGGCAGCTGCTCGAGGGGAGTGCCCCAGTCGAGGGTGGCGCGCTTCTGGTCGAGCTTCTTCTGCATCTGCTGGAGACGGCCCTTCTCGATTTCGTTCTGGGGGAAGGTCTTGAGATTGTAGGCAAGGCCAACGAACTTCATGAGCCAGATGAACCACTTTGTGGGGTCGTACTGGTACCACTCGATGGCGTTGCGGAAGTCGCTGGGGAACTCGTGGTGGAAGTTGTGATAGCCCTCACCCAGGGTAACCAGGGCAGTGATGACGTGGTCGCGGGGCGAGTTGCGGTCATCGAATGGCTGGTCGCCGAGCCAGTGGGCCAAGCTGTTGACGCAGAAGGTGGCCTGCTGGATGAAGAAGATGCGGAGAATGCCGGCATAGATGAAGCCGCCAGCCCAGTCGCCCCAGCCGAGGCCGCAGATAAGGGTGGGAACGATCAGGGCCATAGTGACGACGCACTTGAGGTAGTTGCGATGCTGCCAGACGACGACGGGGTCCTCGTTCAGATCGCTGATATCGGTACGGCCGATGCGGCGAGGGTTCTGCTTAACAACCATCCAGCCGATGTGGCTGTAGAACAGACCCTTGCGCACCGAGTAGGGATCCTTGTCGGTATCGGTGTAGCGATGGTGAGAACGGTGCAAGCTGGACCACCAGCGAGCGCTGCCCTCAACAGCAGCAGAGCCACCAGCAGCCAGGAAGATCTTGAGAGGGAGACGGGCCTTGTAGCTGGAGTGGGCCCAGAGACGGTGGTAGCCCGCAGTGATGCCGAGGCCAGCGAAGAAGTAGTAGGCGATGGAGAAGTACAAAGTCTTCATCTGGAGAGGGACCCAGTAGGCGGCAACACAGCCGGCCAGGGGGATGAAGATGATGAAAGTGGTGTTCAGCCAGTTGATGTGCTGATACCAGTTGGACCATGTCCACGGCTGCTCCGAGATGTCTGCTTCTGTTAGCAGAGTGTTTCATGATGGCAAGAACAAGAGACGTACGCGGCTTGCGGATGTCGTAGGCCTTCTTGCGGAGGGGAATGTGGTCAGTGGTGCCGTCCGGGAAGGACTCGGCCTGGGCGATGTGCGGAACATCCGCCGACGTGGTGGTCGCGGACGCCATGTTGAATAACCCGAGCGCCGTTCAGGACCTAGTCGAGCAGGAAGATCGAAGGTCGATGACGGTGAGGGCGATAAAACAGTCTCGATCGTGGGTCGACCGATCCTTTAAGAACCCTCAGTCGGGTGCGTCTGTGTTTGTTGAAGGGGTTGATCGCGAGGATCAGGGAGTGGGGTTTACAGAAGAGAAAGCAAACAGAAGGAGGGGGGGGACGGAGTGATGGCTGGATGGGAAGTTTTATACGGAATACGGATACGGCAACGGAAAGAAAAAGTGCAGGGAACAAGGATGGGTAGGATGCCGTGGCCAGTTTGGCGGGGGAGCGGCGCTTGCGGTTGAGTCCAGTCCAAGATGCAGCAGAGTAGTCCGAGGTAGGTCTCCAGTCCCAGCAGATCCAGTTCGAGGATGGCAGTCCCCAGGCAAAGTGCAAAGTGCAGTGGGCAAAAAGTGCCAGAAACTGTCTGATCTTGCAGAAACGGATACGGGATACGCTGGGGGTACAGTGCCAGTACCTCAACAAGACAAAAGGAGCAGCTTGTTCAACCGAAAGCACCAGGTACCCAGGCAGGTCCCAGGAAGGTCCCAGACGGCCACTTCACACAGGGCAGGCACCCAGTCACTCGCTCAGATCTTATGAAGCGCTTAGTGTACAGTTGAGGACTCTACTACAGTTCCCAGATTATCAAATGGCCGGGCAAACAATCGCCACTGCCAGCGCTTCGTTGGGGAGGAAGATCCGGAACAAACTCGCAATGACACGATTCGGCCCCCCGAGAGGCCTCTGGGGAACGGAAACAAGACGTGCCGATGTCCTTGCAAGCCAACAGTCAGCTCACTCTGCCAGCCATTGTCCTCGGCCTCGGCCGAGAAAAACACCCAAACAGCATGTGCAACGCGCCATGGCTCTGCGGATGCTGCTTGTTGCCAAAATCGCGGCAAAAGCGGGCAAAAGCGAGCCAAAATTGCTGGCCGTGGATGGCCCATCGCTGTCCCAGATGCCAGCCGTTGTGCCGTCGAGATTTTGTTGAGGAAACTGTTGGGGCAGCAGCAGCGGCTTGGCGGGGGCATTGACAACTACGAGTCCTCTGATTGGCCGATCCCATCAACCTCATACATGCACGGGCCAGCCAAAGACCCGCCTTCACCACTTATCGACTTCTCCCGACGAAGGGCTCCTGGCGAAAAAATCCACAGACTTTTTCAACATCGCAAGAGCTCCCCTGCGGTCCCCGTTTTCGCTTTTTTTTTGGCTCCAGGCCCATTGGCCGTCGCCCGGGATTCTCCATCATCATAAAGACCCCTCCCAATCACATGCTTCGGCTGTTTGCCAGCTCTCTTGTCCTCACATCAGCATGTTTGCCAGCAGAGACTGCGACTACGCAACTTGCAGACGGTGGTGACGTTCATCCCATGTCTCCCGCCCCACCATGCAGCCCCTTCCTCCGCCTGGCTGCCAGCCCCCACTCTAGAGCTCCCGCGTCGCCGTCAGAGCGGTTCCAGGTTGCCCGAACAGCAACCGAAGTACAGCGCACTGTCACAGACCGTTGATCATTAACAGCTGATGGTCCCCCCCAACTACTCCGACGCCACAGAGATTGCCGCAGGGTCCCACAATGTGGCTGTGCAGTTGGGACCATGGCTAGTGAAAAATAACACCTCTCACAGACATGTCTGCTAGCCCAACAGGGCTGACCGAGTCAGGAGATAATCGTACGTCCGGCACGCCCGCTCACGTTTCGGCCGAGTTTCAATGACAACCTGCGCTCCGAGATCTTATCGTCGATATGGCCCGATATGGGCGGGAATCGCGGGGCTGGACGCCGGCCGACTTCGGGTGGTACGACTCGAACATTGGCCCAACCATGGCGGGACTTCCGGCCAGCTGTCTGGCGGGGTTTGTTAGCGAACCCCTCCCCGCACTCGCCGTGCCCGTCGCCAAGCCCTTCCGGAAGCCTTCCGAAAATAGCCTGCCGCATGCGCCACTCCTAAGCTGCACGACCTCTCCGGGGCCGACGCTGCCGGGAGTGTACGAGTTGTGTTGGAGCGGAGCATGACGTGTTGTCGGAGAAGAATACCTGAAAAGATGCGATAACTGTGGACAGGTTCATATGCTTTCAGACCTGATAAACTTGATGGTTCCTCTCTACTCCTGACAGTCAAGCTGGGCTCTGCTAGCTGCCGGCTCGGATGCTGCAATCCTCTTCTCGACTCATAAATGGGGGTTGCTGTGCCGAAGCGAATTGACGTCAGTTCATCCACTATCGTGGAGGGAGGTGCTGGGCATTTGTTGCCAAGTTGTTGAAGCAGCTGGCTACAGGGCTGGGAAGAGGCCTTAAAAGTCGACGAGTTCTCTGGAAATCGAAGCACGCATCGACTGGTACTGTTTATCTCTTTCTCTGCATGTCTTCACAACGATCAGGAAGCTACATTGTGGTTCCGTCCGAGCAGGGTATATTCTACTTATCCACTAGAGAGTGGTCGGACAAACCATAGAGATAACCCCTTTCGTCCGACAGCGACCCTTATGAGGCAATACGCGTTTACAGTTTTCTCAGTGCAGGAATGACCTAGCACACTGCAGATAAGTGCGCTTTGCATAACAATATCTTAAGATATTCGAGATCTCGTGTTAAGACATGACTTGAGAAGTGAAAATGTGCCCAGTCTCGGTAAATGACTGGCATTTTAGGTTTGCGTTTCCAAAATGAACCTCTTCGATTTCAGAGGTCACAAAGGGCAATTTCAAGATATCAGCCACTCTTGGGTTGTCGCGACTTGGATGAGAAAGCAACCGTTCAGGCATCCAAAGAGCGTGCAGGGGCTCATTAGTGAGGGACTTTATCCGCAGGCAAACATGACTAGTCACGACAACCCATTTAACCAAGTCCCGCCGAGCACAAGCCATGGACCGCAGGCTGGCAGACTGCCTGCCTGTGCCTGTTCGCCAAAATCGGAGGATCGTTTAAGAGTTATATGGGACACTTTATACCTGATAGAACAAGTATCTGCAAGTGAGACGGTTCTGGGTTATGCAAGCTCGAGGTTCTTGAATCTAGTAGATCCCCGATCTTGGCGAGTAGATGCGGTAAGTTATAAGTGCCATTCTATCCTCGTAAGACATGGAGCATTGTGCGGCTGCTATCAGACTGACCGGGTCAGAGAGGTGACGGAGTAGAGTTAATCACATTATACTATCCCAGGATCATCTACGGCTATAGCATGAGTTGCAACTAGCTATTGAGACATGCAAAGAATAAAAAATTAAATTTGAAGAAAGTTAGGTCGTAAGTTCATCCATCGAACTCGCCCCATCCATCTGCAGATTCCAGGTATCAATTACCCTAGCAAAATGCCGCCGTCGACCACCACTACCTTTCCCATCATCCGTCCTTCTTCCTGCCCTGTCCAAATAAAAGCCTGATCCCTCATGCACTCAACACAATTTGTCCATAACTGTTGCCCCCTGCCAGATGCTCTCCTTTATTACCGTCAACTACGCAAAAGTTAGTTGATGACCAGTCCGAGATACAAAATGAAAGGTAAAAAGGAAGATGGAAGAGAAGGAACAAATCCACCAAGAGAAAATTAGGAGGTAAAAAGTATAGGTAGGAGGTATTGCATACAAAGACCTTCCGGATATTCCACGCGTATGCTTCCGTCCTTGTCACCGACTGCCGTGAGAAAGAAGTCCGTTTGCAACTCATCAACGTTTTCCAACAACCAAGTCGGAGGGATACTGAACACCAAGAGTCATCAAAACCTGTCCGACTCATCCCTCCCACCCTCATTGCTGCCACACCATTCGGCATGGTCGGTCCAGTTTGGTCCGTCTAAGGCCTCGTACCGAGCTCGTCCATCCCCATTGATTGAACCCATGACCTGCGATCGTTCCATCGCCATTCTCGCCATGAGCGTCAGATTAATACTGGCCGTCCCCATCATCATCATAATCATCATCATCATCATCACTAAGACCGGTTCCAAGCGACGACCCCCAAGCATACCTAGACATAGATCCCTCCTTTAAGCATACACTGATCATCATCAAGCCCTCCTATTAAAGCAAACACCATCAGTCCACCACCCGTCTACAGACTGGTCACAAACTCACTCCATTTCACTTCCTTTACTTTCCATGCTGGGCATAGTGTCCCTGAGGTCAGGTGTGGTGCCATGATGATAAGATCGTAGATATCGATGGCGTGTTGATGGGATGAATGACAGTGATAATGATGCGAGTTTGATTGTGGATATGTTTGTGTAGTAATGTTGCTGGTGACTGTGTGTGTGTGTGTGCGTGTGTGTGTGCGTGTGTGTTTGTGTGTGTGTGTTTGTGTGCTGGATGAGAAGTGATAATAATATGACGATGGGAAACGCTGTTTGTGTGAGATCGTAGGATTATGATGTAATAGCGGTCACTCATCCTCCACAATCAACTCCCCCCTCCTATAATCTCCGGCTCCCAATCCCATTCCTGCCCCCCATCCCACCCCAACACCAGCCAGATGCCCTTGATAATGATGATGTCCAAGATGTTGGCTATGATGTCGCTGATGTGACTCATACAGAGAAGAAGGTTGATACTGCCCCGTCCAACTCCCCATCCCAGCCGCCAAATTAAAATCCATGGCTTCGGTAGTCCGTAACCCCTGAGCTTGGTGGTGATGTTGCCAGTGGGGATGGAGGTGTTCGCTTCCGTATTGTTCAAGTTGCTGGTTCTGCCAGCTAGCGCTGTACTGCTGCTGGAGCTGGTACTTGTCATGGTCGTTATGCGAATGATGGGAGTGATGAGAACCTCGGCGGTAATGGCCATGGGAATGAGAGTGTGGATGGGGTGGGGGATGGTGATGGTAATAACTGCTGTATCCCCAGTCATCGTCCTCCTGGTCACTCCGGTCCCTAACAGCCAGCCGACTATCCTGATGACAGGCGTCACAATCACTCATACCCACAGAAACTCCAACTGCACAGCCATCGCCGATCCCACTCAAACTAACCTCTTCCTGGCCAGCTCCTCCTGAAGCTTGGACAGGGGGAGCAGCGGGGACAGCAAAATTCAACGGCGGCGGGGTCGGCGCAGGCGCAGGGATGGGGGCAGAGCGGGGAGGAGGGACGAAGGATGAGGTAGTAGGGGTTTTGGAGAGGATGGGGGACTCGGTTATCTGGGGGATTGAAACGTTGGCTGCATTGGCATTATTATTACCTTTTGCGGACTTTGGTGACTTTGGTGACTTAGGTGAAGAAGTCGTGTGGTCGGCGCTGTAACGGGGATGTTTGATCTTGACTTTGGTGTTTGCTTTGTGCTTTTTGGGCTTGCTGTGTCTGGATCTAGATTTGGAGCGGGATCGGGAGCGGGAGCGGGAGCGGGATTTGGAGCGGTTTGAGTGTCTGGAGTGGCGTGAATGGTGAGAGCGACGGTCATCATCACCATCATCATCATCGTCGTCGTCGGCGGCGGCGGCGGAATTGGAGCTCGACCCGGAGCTGGACTCAGACTCTGTGTCTTCGTCCTCTTCCACAGCCCGCTCGTTCTCTTCCCTCCTCTTCCTTCTCTTCTCCTGCCTCTTCCGATGCAAGATCATCGAGTCCTTCACCTTCTCGCTCTTGAGTCTTCTCCCCCTGAGCGCGGCACCACGCCCCCGCCACTGACGCTGCTTATGCCGATGATGCTCTTGTGTTGTTGTGCTCGTGCTGGACATGTCCTCATCGCTCGTCGTGTCGTCATCTTCATCTCGCCTCTCCTTGTCGCCACGCTGCCCGACATACTTCCCACTATCCCGATCAGTCCCCGATTTGAACTTCCGGCCTGCCATGAAACCGTCTATCCTCCTCGGCGTGGCGGGCTCCAAATCTCCCTCGTTCGCATCCTTCCCGCGCGATTGGGGGATCGGAATCCCGTCTTCATTATCAGAAAGTGGGTGTCGACACGGTATAGAATCATCATCTCCATCCCCCTGACTCCGGCCCCTACTCGCGTCCCTCGACGGCGACCCTGAGATGCCCCCCGGCCGAAGAAAATCACTCAGCGACGGCACCGCCGGCGGCGGGAGCTCAGCGCCCTCGCCCTCGGCCTGCCACACCGCGCCCATCATCCATTTCCCAATCCGCGACGTCTGGCCATCATCTTCTTCATCCTCTTCCGTCGGCAAGTCACTCGGCGGCGAACGCCCTCTATTCTGCCTCGTCCGGTACGGAAGCGGCCTCGCAACCAACGAGTCTGCACTCGCCCTCAGATCACCCGCAACATCCTGCTGTTGCTGCTGCTGCTGCTGCTGCTGCTGATTACGCTCCATGTAAGCCCAGCCATTCACCCTCGGCGTGCCTTCAGGCGTATTGTCATGATCCCCCCCATTTCCCCTGACACTATTCTCCTCGCCCAACTTCGGGAACCACCCCAACAACTGCGCCGCTGATACCCTCTCCGCTGGATCCTCCGCTAAACACGTTTCCACGACCCTCTTGAACCAATCCGGGACTTTGTTATCATCAGCAAAATCCTCCCCCTCAAATGTCAACCCCCTCCCCGCCTGCAACACCTCATCCGGATCATCCCTGCCCGCTGCCAACGCCCAAAGCACCATCCCCAGCTGATACAAATCCGACTTGATGCCGATATACATTGCCACTCTCTGCCCGGCGTGAATCAAGGTCCTCAGCTCAGGCGGCTCCCACCCCATAGGACACCCACGCCGGTTGATATCAATAATCTTGGCGTCGTCCCGCTCGTCAACAACAATATTCGTCAGGGTAAAATCTCCCTGGACAAACCCCGCCTCGTGGATCTCAGCCAGTCCGGCGACGATTTGGCGCGCCCATTTCTCGCGGCGGGACCAGGGGATTTTCGCGCCCCTCTCGCGCTCGTCGTACAAGATATCAATCAGTGCCCCCTTCGCAGCATAGCTGATTAACACGCCCCGGACATGCTGTCCCTCATTATCGAGCACGACGCCATGGAAACGGATCACGTTGCGGGCGTGGCGCAGTCGGTACAGGGCGTTGATTTCATAGAGGAACTCGTCAATTACGTCGGGGCCGGGGATCTCCTTTTTCACGAGGGGACGGCCGTGAACACGGACTTTGTATACAAAGCCGGAGAGGTGGCAGTCGAAATGGATTTCGCGCTCTTTGAGCTTTTTGCAGCGATCGAGGTGTCGGAGGAGGCGGACGGGGGGGTAGCGGATGATTTCCTGACAATGTCAGCCCGTTAAATATAGTAAAAGAAGGGGGAGGGGGGGGGAGGGGGGGACCCAGAAACATACATTCTGATCCTCACAAACATGAATATGCAACCGTCCCTCCATCGTCTGCAGTCTCAAATTCGTCACCGTCTCGCTCCACACAATATCCGGTAAGCTATCCCTTATTGCTTCGTAAATCATAAAATTCTTTTCTCTCTGCGTCCTCCCTGGAACGCTCAACTTCCTCTCCAGCGAATCCTCCGGCGCATTCCTGTAGTCTAACGTGACACTGACCCTCCTCCAATTATGCGGATCGTCTGGCGGCCGGTACGTCACGAAAAACTTCTCCCGGTTCGACTTATCCCTCCACGACATCGACAAATTCAATATCCAAACTGTCTGCAGCTCATGATGGATCTGCTCCCGCCAAACACTCGTCGTCTCGCTTCTCAAATCAGTCCGTGAACTCTCCAGGTCACTATTATCCCCCTGTCCTCCCTGAGCAGGGGCAGATCCCGCAGGCGTAGCCAAACCACTCCACTCTGGCGGCGGGCCCGGCGAGGTCGGCGTGCTGAACGGCTGCTGCTGTCGTCTACCAGTGACCTCGCTTTCGCTTGCTGCGGCTGAATCAAACGCACTTGTCGAAGCTCTTATGCGTCTGTCTACCGAGAGGGCTCGTCTCTCGGCTGAAGAGGGACGCACGGGTTCGAGGCGGCTGCGGACCTCGGAGCGCTGACGTTTCAGGGTCTGGGTTCGGGGCAGGCCCGGGATGGCTTTGCGGGGTGTGCGGCGTTGGGTGAGGAAGCCATTCCAGCTGTCGTCTTGGGGTTTCTGTTGCTGGGTCTGAGGCTGATCGGGGGTACCATTAGATGCTTTGGTTGAGGGAAGTCAAGGCGCGTCAGTACGATGGACTCTGCGATGCATGTTCCTGTCATGGAGGGAGAAGGACCTACGGAAGAAGGATTGTTTTGTGGGGTTGTGAGCGTGGCCGTGGCCTTTTGGGGACGAGGCCACGGGTTCGGTGTCTTCTGGTTGAGCCATGGTGATGCTGATTAGGTATGTGAGTTGACGTCAAGTGTGTTGACGCTGAGTATGCCAACTCGATGTTGAATAACTCAGTGAGCTCACCGGCAATCCTGCTGTTAAAGCAGACCCCGCCGGTTACCAACTGGGCAAGGCTTCTTGGACGGCGTACTGTCTCCTTTCAGCGTCGTCGTCACCTGACGCTCGCACCTTCGTGATCCTTTATGCTCCTGAAATCATCGACGTGGAGATGTCCTTTAAGTCTACCGACCAACATGCAAGGAACGCATCACAGGCAGGATATTGTTGATGCCGAGTATGGGAACACGCGTAAAGACAACTAGAAAGTGTCGAAGTTGTAAGGACAAGGATGAGGATGAAGCTAAGAATGAAAGCGGCTCAACACCCGCCGTTCTGCAACATCGATACTTGATCAACCTCGGGCTCAGTGAATCCAAGCGTCCGGCCCAGCCGACAGATTTTGACGATGATGATGATGATGATGATGATGATGATGACGTGGGGGTAACACTCAGTGACCGTCGGGGTAATCGGGGGTCAGGGTCGGGGTCACAGCGTGGTGGTCATGCGGGCATTCCCCCCTCAGACCTCAGACTGTTCGAGTTAGAGTGGAAAGGAGGGGTATTCACGGGCACTGTCTGTTCATGTCGTGGGTGAATAATGATGCATAAGAGACAGGAGTCAAGATCCAAGATAGTGTGAGACCGTAACACGGGAAGAACCTGAGAAGGTCAGGTTAGGGATGAAAGGAAAGTAGGCTTGTAAGATTGGATTGACTAGAATTGGGCTTGAGTTGGTTTTGGCCTTGCTCTCTCTAAAACAAGGCTTAGAACCACAGCAGAGTGATTGGCGATTGATCAGTTCGTTAGGTAGTTGGCGCTGACTACTGATTACTGTATGTTACCCGGGGCCCAGCCCGAGAATCTCCTCTGGGTCTTGGGTCTTGGGCGGCGGCTTGCGCGCGATACCCTCCCATCATGATCTCCTGCATGATGCTGCTGCATCTGCTTTGAGCTGAGCGTGCAGAAAGTCGCATGCACAAATGTGAGGCAGCGAGGCAGACCCGCATCGAATGGGCGTGGAACATGGAGCCATGAGACAAATGAGCCTTGTGCGCAGCAGCAGACAGTGGTTGTCCCAATGCGCAATGTGCGGGGCTCGCTGTCGCGAGGTTCTGTGGGGTTGGCTGACGGATCTGGACACCAGGGTAGTTAGTGTAACGGTACGGTACCATCACACAACGGTACGAGGTTGGCAAGGATGGTACGGTTACGTTACGGTATTGGAGTCTGGACTCGTGAAATGGAAGCCCGGGCGCATGTTCGCTGAGGTTGACTCTCGAGAATCGAATGCCGTTTCCATCTATTAAACTCCCTCGACACAACCACAGCCATCTTCTCCATCAGCCTGACGCGGCACAACACGAGATCTTGTGTGTGGGTGGCAAGTGAGCCATTTTTTAATGCATGTTCACCTCCCTGCTACCCTCTTCTTGCCATCCTCCAATGTGATCCCCTTTACACCTTTCATACACTATAGTAGGTAACTTACCATGCTACGTTACACCGTAACAAAGATAAGCCATCCTATCGCGGACCTCGCACGGCGGCAGGCGGGGCTCCTGCTCCAGGCGTCCACCCCACCGGTCATGGGCAACGACGACGGCGGAACATCCGACATGCTGACGACTTGACAACTCATCACCATCTATTCCCATTTTCCTCGAAGCGAGCGAAAGGGCAGCGGTATATTTTGGCTCGAGCGTCTCGTCTGGGTGTCCAATGTACAATGTACGTATAAGGGAGGATCTGAACCTGATGAGGTTGGGGCAAACTCTTGCCTTTTTTTTTAATTTTTTTTTGCAAGGCGCTCATCGATGGCATCAAGGTCTGAAGGAAAGCTTCTGGTCCTGGCTCGGCTGTGAAAAATATGCGGGGTTGAGCTGCTTGAATGGACTCATGAGAGCGCAAGCCAGGCGCCAGTCCATCACAATTCACCAGGTCGTGATGCGCTATGGCCACCCACAGAACCGACTGACAGGAATGAGCCGCATTTTACTTGGATCGGATTGGATTTGGGATTCCTGCCCGAGCCAAACAGCCCAACGGTACTTAACCCAGGCCTCAGCCCAATACCGGTCAGGCCGGTACCGATGACAGAAGGCAAAGGGAAATAGAAAATTTATCCCATGGTTCAAGGCTCACTCAACCTCGTTTACCTATCTATATACTCGCTGAGTTGTTCTTCATCACTTGTCTCCAGCAGCCCCCCCCCCTCCCCCCTCGGGCGCCCCGATCTCAAACACCGCACATCTCGACAATAATGTTGATGATCCTCACCTGACATGACTTGAACCAACTCTTCCAAACTATATCCCGATGTACATCGCCTACGATACCCGCCCTTCCCGTTCTGCCTTGACCCTTCATCGGCATCGGCATCGGCATCGGCATCGGATGCAGCCAATGCGGCAATGCCTGCTTGCCTACGGATCCATACAGGCGAGATGCAGATTCAGTTGCTCAAAGCCTTATTCTGGCCCGGTAAGCAAGCGGACTGGGGCATATCCCTACATACTTAATCGGGGCAGCAGCATATTGCTAGATACTACCTGCAGATTTGTTAATCGGCCAACCAACCATTCTTATCTAACTCTTCCCGTTGCTTGGTCTAGAAGAGCTCTACTGCTAGGGCTTGTTGATGCCCGAGCTTATTCTAATCTCTCTATCATCTATCTGAAGCTTGTCAGAGCTCTAGAAACAGGGAACGGGACGATCCTAATCCCATAGACGTACTGCTGACCAACACGCATGCAATCGACACATACACAATAACTGATGCTGCACATCAGTCAACAAATCTCACTTGTCCCTCCTCCGATTACTTACATATGCTGCTAGGAGACCTATATCATTTTGGTATTCTGCTCAGAAACAAAATTACACATGCACAATAAGCCTTGATGGAAAGGCAAGGTACTACATTGACACGTCTCCCGGGTCGTGTCCAACGGCCCACAAGCTGAAGCCAAGGCTCTGACTGCCGAGCCAACATCTTACAAACACATAATACAACCGCTTTGAGTGAGGGAAAGATTTGAGTGTTGAGCAGCAGAACCATGTGCCTGCGTGCAAGGTCTGTGTAAGACTTATTCATCATGTTTGGAGCTCATCCCTGCGTAATAAAGAGGCAGACGACTGGACTTTTGTGTGGCCACGATATCATTGGGTTGGCGAATGTCAAGCCCTAAGGATGGAACTACCTAGCCCTGATTTTGAGAGGTAGTGGCCAATTGTAAGCCTTTTCGACAAGTTCAGGTACATCCACTACGTGCAGCAAGAGCTCCAGGCGCTCTCCCATGAACAACTGCACGGACGGCCTGTGGAACACAAAGCTCCTCACCTAATATCTTCCTATCCATTTCTGGAATGACATCGGTATCGTGTTTGAGCAGAGTTTGGTTCCACATTTGGATGAAAATCAGCCGTGAAGAGTATACAAAAAACTACGGAAAAAAGGGGGAATTTATGAGGCCGCAGCTGATCTTGGGATGGAACTACCAAACTGTTTCATATAAACAGTATATAACTTGTAGGAAGGCCCGCATTTGCGAAACTCAAGATGCCAATCCAGCTCATTCCGAGATTCCAGGCTGGGGGTTTGCTTCAAGATCTCGACTTTGGGCATGTGTGTCTCTTACCTCTCCGTCCGTCCGTCTCTACGTATTCAGGAGTCAACGTTAGGAGCTGTCTTGAAACTATGTCCAGGCCGATGAAGGGCTCTTTGGCAGGTCGAATCACACAACAGACAATTCGGCAACGAGGATATCTACTTTTTTCCTATCTGTGAGTTAGTTGTATGTCCTATATCGGCAATGCTACCGGTCAAGAGCCTTCCGTCCATCCGCCAACCCCCAACCGTCTATAAAGATGAACATGACTCTGACGGACCTACACTCTCCGATCCCTAAGCCTCTTTTATCACCCATTCTTTCGTGCATGTTTCCAAGTATACAACTCTTCTTCCCACCGATATGACAACAAATACATGCTTCGGTAACCACATATTTTCTTGGGAACCATCTTTTGCTGCTGCTGCTGCTGTTGTTGTTGTTACTTGTTCTTTCCGACCCCCTAAAACCTTGCTTATGTAGAGTGAAGATGATCAAGACAATAAAGTGAGGTGAGAATGACTTCCGTAGTATGTAATAGCTTGCGTGTATGTATGAATGCGCTCTTCCAACCCGTCCCAAACTCCCCATCCCACATTCCTTCCGTCCATCCACCAGTGTAATAGATCCCAAACATACCTTTCTTAGTCTCACAGCACTAGTCGTACAACCAATCCCCGCGCCTAGTCTAAACATCTCCTGGTCTCGCCTAGACGAGACTCAAGTTTTGTTATGTAAATGAGAAGAAAGCCTTCTCACGTTAAAGATGGAAAGTCCACCACCCAACAAGAAAGACCGAGTCCAGACTGACTCAGTCACTCTCCTCCTTCTCCTCGCTCTCCCCCTTCTTCTTCTTCGCCTCGTTCTTGGCCTTCTCCTCCGCCTCCTGCTTCTTCTTCAGCTCGCACGCCACACACTTATTTGCCTTTTCGCGGTCCAGGTTCGGGAAGATGATGTCAAACACCTCCGAGTACCAGCTGACCGGGCGTCCCTCGATGCCCTCCTTGATGTTCTGTACGCACAGTCAGTATCCATAGCTGCTAGTACGTTAGTGAGCAAACGGGGGAAACTCACCTCCGGCAACTCCAGCCAATCCGACATATTATCCTGCGGGAACACAATCATCTTACAACCTGCCCGTCTCGCCGCAACAGTCTTCTCCCTCAACCCGCCAATCCTCAACACCTTGCCCGTCAGCGTCAGCTCACCCGTCATCGCGACTGTCGGATCAACGGGTGTATCCAGCGCCAGCGAAAGCAACGACGTGGCCATAGTAATACCCGCCGACGGACCATCTTTCTGCACGGCACCCTCCGGCACATGCACATGAATCTTGGCCCGCTCAAGGAAATGGTTATCAGGGAACTGGCGCGCCATCCAGGACTTGGCAAACGAGTAGGCAATGGTCGAGGACTCTTTCATGACGGTCTTAAGGTTGCCCGTGATTTCGAAGGAAGGGCGCGAGCCCGGTTTGAGAGAAGCTTGCAGGATGGCCTCGACATACATGGCTGCGCCGCCCAGCTGGGTCCAGGCGAGGCCCATGGTCACGCCGGGGGGCGTGACGTCGTAGAGGCGGTCGGAGGTGAAGACAGGGGGGCCGACGTAGTCTTTGAGGTTGTCTTTGGAGATGGTGACGTGGACAGTGTCGGGAACTTTGAGAGGTTGGCGAGGCTTGGCGGTCGTTTCTTTGGCAGAAGCAGTGGTAGCCTCAGAGCTGGCAGACTTGTCCTTCTTGTCTTTGGCCTTCCTGTCCTTCTCCTCCTTCTCCTTCTCCACAAGCTTCTGCTTCTCGGTCTCTTCCTTAGCCTGAGCCTCCTTCCCCTCCTCGGTCAGTGCCTCCGCTTCAGGCAACGCCTCCTCGCCCAAATCCTGCACAATTTTCAGCGCGCTCTTCCGATAAATCTTCTCGATATGCTTCTTCAGATTGCGCACACCTGCCTCACGGCAGTAAGACTTGATCAGCTCCTGAATCGCGTCCTTGGTCAACTGCACATCGACACCCTTTAACCCAGCCAGCTCCTGCGCCTGCGGCGCCAGATACCGCTCCGCGATGGCCACCTTCTCGTCCGACACGTACCCCGACAGGCGGATTACCTCCATGCGATCGAGCAGCGGGCGCGGGATGGTATCCGTCATGTTGGCGGTGCAGACGAAAAGCACTTTAGACAAGTCGACGGGGACATCCATATAGTGATCCAAGAACGAACTGTTCTGTTCTGGATCAAGTAGCTCGAGCAGGGCAGATGACGGATCGCCCTGCCAGCCGCGGCCGAGCTTGTCGATCTCGTCAATCAAGATAAGCGGGTTCTCGGTCTGGCACTTCTTGAGGGCCTGGATGACGCGGCCGGGGAGGGCACCAACGTAGGTGCGGCGGTGGCCCTTAATCTCGGCTACGTCGGTAAGGCCGCCGACGCTGAAGCGGTAATATTGACGGTTGAGGGCGCGCGCGATAGACTTGCCGATCGAAGTCTTGCCGACACCCGGGGGACCGACGAAACAAAGGATCTTGCCCTCCACAGACCCGCGCAGCTTGCCGACGGCAATGAACTCCAGAATCCGGTCCTTGACATCCTTCAGCCCGTAATGATCTTCATCGAGCACCTTCATCGCATTCTTGATGTCAAAGTTCTCCACACTCTGCATGCCCCACGGGATCTGCGTCAGCCAGTCGAGGTAATTCCGCGTGACGTTGAACTCGGACGCGGCCGGCTCGAGATGAGCGAGTTTGTTTAGCTCTTCGTCAAAGACCTTCCTCACAGCCTCGGGCATGGCCAGACTATCTGCCTTTTCTTTGAACTTCTCTACCAGCTTGTCCTTGCCGTCCGACTCGATTCCCAGCTCGCGGCGGATGCCCTTCATCTGCTCCATCAACCAGTACTCGCGCTGGCGCTTGGTGATCTTTTGCTCGACGTCCTTGGTGATGCGGGCCTGCAGCTGGGCGTTGGCTAGCTCCTTCTTGAGCACCAGGAGCGCTTTGTGCATGCGGTCCTCGACGTTCAGAGCTTCCAAGACCTCCTGTAGCTCTTGGGGCTCTCCGGCCGAGACGGCGGCGGCGAAGTCGGCCAACTTAGCAGGCTCTGACATGACGTTGCCGGCGGACTGGCTGATGGAGAAGGTCGAGATCTGGTCTCTGAACAGGCTGTTCATGCTGGCGACCTCCTTGAAGACATTGACGATCTCGTTCGTCACGGCGCGGATGACCTGGCTCTTGGGGTCGTGCGGCTCCTCGACGAGGTTCTCGACGTTCGCAATGCTGACGGGATACTTTTTCAGGAACGAAGTCACCTCGTAACCCTTGCGCACAGGCTCAGGCTTGCGCGTCTCAACGGCGCTCTCCTCGAAGCTGGCGACCACATCACCCTTTTCCTCGGACTCCTTGGATGGAATAACCTCGGGCACCGTCTCCGCGGCAGCCTCCTTCTCTTTCTGCTTTTCCTCCTCGCTCTTCGGCGCGATCAGCGAGGTAAGCTTGATCCTGCGGTGCGGGTACAAGATCGCAGTAATACCGGTGCCCTCGCCGTTCTGCGAGTTCATGGGGAATGCGCTGGTAACCTGGGCGAAGACACCAACGTCGTAGACATCATCCAGGCTATGGATCACATCATCGTCGGCGTTCTCGTCCTTGAGCATGAAGGCACCGACATAGGGTTGGCCTCGACGGAACATCTCCGTAATAGCAGCGGCGACGTTCGGGTCCTTAATAGTAATTGCCTTGTAAAATCCAGGGAACAGCGGGCGCTTAGCAATCGGTATAGCCAGCACCTGAGGATAAATTTCCGGCACGGCAGGCTTCACGAGCGCCTTTTCGCCCCTGCGCCCTCGCCTGCCGCCGCTGCTGCCCCCAGAGCCGACGTCATCACCACCCGACCCCGATGAGCCCGCTCCTCCAGCGGCAGTTCCCCTACTGTCCGGGGGCTCCGGCTTGCCCTGGCTGTTCCCACTCGAAGCCTCCGAGGAAGAGGACTTCGACTTGGTCGTCACAGCCTTCTCCTTCTCCTCGGCCTCAGTATGCTGCTTGTTTGCCTTCTTCTCCTCCTCCGACAGCGGCTCTGCCGGCTCGAAGAAACTGTTGTTATTGCTGCTGCTCTTCTTCCCTAGCGCGGGATATGTGGAGAAGCTGGCCAACGGTGCGGGCCTAGTGCCGTGAGAGCTTGAGAGGGAGACCCCATTGTGCCGAGAGTGAGGTCTTTGCCGTATTGAGAGGGGAAGAGACGAACGGAGGGCCAGGGCCCGCGAGGATGTGCTGCGCAGAAGCGGAGAGGTGGTCGAGGAAGGTAACCGGAGGACGCGTTGTCGGGGGAGCATTGTGATAGGGAAAAGTATGAGTTAAGTGTGGGAGTGGTGGTGTGGTGAGCTTCTTGGACGGTTTGACGTCAGACGGACGGGAAGATTTGCGTAGACGGATCCGAAGCAGAGCTCTTCGTCACCGTGGCTGACTGCTCGACTCGGTGGGTTCGTGAGGGGAGAGAGAGGAGGGGGGGGGTTATGCTGAGTCAAAAAAAAAAAGTATTGAGAAAAAAAGATAATGTACAATTCGCAGCAGGAAAATGCGCAAAATCGAGAGCAGCGCGCGAGGGGAGCCAGGGTCTGGTCACAGCGGTGTCGAGAAGTCAAACGGCGTCAAATGGTCAGAGATCAATGGCGTTCTGGGGGACGGAGCAGGACAAGGACGGGGATCCATGGACCAATTCGATGATGTCTGAATAATCAAGTGCCTGCCTAAGAGCTTCGCTGCGGCTGTCGGCAATCGTAGAAGCTGCTCGCAAACCCGTAAATCTTGGCGCTCGCGCGAGCGTGTAACAGTGGGGTTCATAGGGTCCACCTGAGCCACGGGAGCTTCAGCCGCAACAATAATTGGCTGTCTCGAAGTGGACGTGGGTCTGCTGTGGCGATGTCAGGCCATCGGGACCGACAAGTGCGAACAGTAATCCTCGCGATGCGCCACACTGTATAAGTTGACAACCCGAACCCTGAGAGACCACAGCTGCCCCGCCCCCGCACTTCAGATAAGGTCGTCTCGGGAGCAATCAGGCTGTCCAGTTGAGTTGTGTCTTGCATGTGCTTTCATCAGAGTTATATCGAGTTATATCAAGCCGCGTGTTGTTATGTTGGGCTCTTTGTTTGCGTCTGTCGCTACCAGCTATTATAAACCAGACGCATTTTCTTACGGCTTCCGACTTTTGCCATATTTCCACATTTTACCTTTATCCCATAGCTGCATCATCCCCCGTCGACCGACACATTCATGAGCTAGCAGCGCTTTCATCTGTACTACTAGTACCAGTATCATCATTCTATAATTATATTCACAACTCACCCTCTATTGCCAACCGTCAATATAACCAATATAACCAACCATGGCGCCCAAACCAGACGAACTCTCAACCAACCTCTCCAAACTCTCCATCAATACCTCCCTCGACACATCCTCCTCAAAGTCAAAGAAGCCCAAGAAAGCCACCAGCCCCGTCGCCGACAGCTGGGAAGACGAAGTCGACAGCGACGACGGCTCCTCCTCCGAAAAAGAAAACCCCCCCACCACAGCCACAGAAAACCTCGACACTCCCAAACCCTCAGGCAGTGGCACCTCCGCCCCGCCACCAACCCCCCTCTCCCCCTTCGCAACGAAACCCTCTGCCAGCAACTTCCCCCTAACCTGCCCCAGCACCGGGCCAGGGGGCTTCACCCTCCCTCCTATCGACCCCTGCTCCTCTGACTCAACCAAGCCTTCATCTGGAGAGAGGAGACGCCCCGAAAAGACAGATGCTGTCGCTAGAAGGATGATCGCCAGTGCACTGGGGATGAAGGTACCTCGTAGGACAGAGGAGCAGAGGGCGTACGACCGGGCGTTAATGGAGGCGGAGAAGAAGAGGAGGGAGGCTGAGAAGGAAGCACAGCGCAAGCGGGAGAAGGAGATCGAGGATGCGAGAAAGGCTATTTGGGGGGATGATTAAGTTTTGCAGTTCAAGAATTTTGTATACGGGGATTTTTGGGTATCATGGAGGTATGTTTCGGGCATCTCGATCTCTATTTTGGCCGGATATCTGGATATCATATGAATGCTTGGTTGGTAGAATCCCGGGCTGCTCTTCTCAGAGAAACAGCCCGAATCAAACATATTCTTGGCCTTAGCGGCCGGCGTGTTCGAACAGTCGCATGATAAGCAGACCAATGGCTACGAGTCCAGGCAGTGGGCCCAAGACAGGTTACGAGCCTGGCATCCGTCAGTCTACCACTTCATCTCGCCAGCCCAGTGGCTTACCTATCCTCCTGAACGTGAGCCCCTGATATCGTCTAAAACGCTCTATGACCTCTCCCAGTCTCCTCAACTCTTCCCTTCCCCCAGTTCCGCCAACGGCAAATTCCTCCCCCTCCAAGTCAACACAACCTCCTTCCCTTCCTGCCCCCCCTCCTCCCTATAATACCTTGTCGTTACCCCAAGCCCCTCCAACCCTTCTTCTTCAGCCCTCCGGTTCCACAACATCTGCAACACCCTTCCCTCCTTCGTACACATCACAAATGCCATCGGCCAGGAACTCCTCCCCAACGCCTCCCTTATCCCCCTCGTCGCCGGCCTCCCCGTAACCAACAACCCCAACACCCCACTAGACCCCCTCCACCCTACGGGCGCAGACGCGAACGCGCCTTCTAACTCCCTGACTAAATGCGGCCCTGGCTTCCTAACAGCCTTACACTGCGCTATGACCTTCAGATTGGGCACGCTGGCGTGTTTGCGCACGCCTGGTGGACTGAAAGTGCCGAGGAGGTCGACGCCCCCGTCGGAAACGCCGCCTACGCGCCGGAGGGAGAAGCCGTACCGGGCGAGGGCCGCGCAGGTCGTGTATTCAAAGAGAGTGCCGACGTAGACGGAGGTTTCGGGGTCGAGGTTTGTGCGCGAGGCGTATTCTAGAAAGGTGGGGAGGTCGTGGTGGTTGGGGGCGGAGGGGGGGGAGGGGTAGATTAGGGGCTGGTCGACACGCGATTGAGGCTTTGGCGGGGATTGTGAAGGTTCAGTGGTTTGTAGTTGAGGAGGGGAGGGGTCGAGTGAGGTTGAGGAGGTCGGCTCTTGAGATTCTGGAGGTTTCGGAGGTTGCAATGCCTCGTCGGGATGTTCATCTTCTGGAAAAGAGAAATCTGCTACTAGGCGAGTGGCAGCAGCAGAGAAAGATCTTCGCAAAAGTGTTGATGCTGTGTGCGCTCTTAGGAGACTAGGAAATAAACTTGATCTCATATTGCATTGTCTATAATTAACAAAAAAAATCGAGCGAAAGAAAACCGAGCAGGATCCTAGTCAATTGAAAAACTGTTGGACGGAGAGTTGTCAAAAATGCGAACCTTGACGGCATCGTCTGCAATCAATTCAGCGAATTTCTTGGCACATTCCAAAACTTTTATCTTATCGCACAGTCTCTATACAGTGTCACCAACCAGGTCGTGACGTCTTACCCTTTACCGGCACCATCTGGTCGCGATCGCATACGCAATATCACAAGCTTCAAGATCTACAATCACCCCCCATCGCACCAACCATTCCCCTAACGTTCCTTTTTAAGTCCGCAAAGATGGGGGACAGACTCACGCAGCTCCAGGAGGCTATGGACGAGGTAAGTTTCCAATCAGCCCCCCCCCAATTGCCCTTCTTTTTCCTGTCCGCTAACACCCAGTCCCCAGCTCCTGGAAATGTTCCTCTCTGCTTTCTTCTGGGTCGAGCGCCACCACGACCTCAAAACCTTCGGACCAAACGACAAGATCCCCGATCTCAAAGCCGACCAGCCAAAAGAGGGTACGCAGTAGCGACGTTCCTTCTGGTGCTTCTGCCTGCTAACACCCCACCCCCCGCAGTCGACACCAAATCCCCAGAAGAATACAAAGCCGGCCAGCTGCAGCTCGCAAGGGATATCATTGTGAAAGAGCAGCAGATTGAGTATTTGATTTCGACGTTGCCGGGGCTGGATAATAGTGAGAGGGAGCAGATACAGTTGTTAAGGGAGTTGGAGGATGATTTGGTAACGGCGGAGGCGCAGAGGCAAGAAGCGCTGAAGGAGAGGGATGAGGTGTTGGGGAAGTTGGATGCGCTTTTGAGGGGGTTGGAGAGGCCTTAGCCTTGGCATGATACGTTGAGAAGGTTTGGGGATCCCCTAAGGCTGGGTGCGGTTGTTGTTAAAATGGATGTCGTCTGGTTTAGGAGAGATATGGCCTCACAGGTTGGTTCATCATCACAGATCCACCAGGAGAAGGTAATCTTCGGAACGGTAATGCGTTGGGATTGGGACTGGGAACGAGCATAAACGGCGTTTGATGGGCAAGGATTAATCAGGAGTTAAGATCTAATTGATATCCTTCATTACGAGCTGTATAAGTCCATCCCGTGAACATGTCTATCCTGTATCCGTATCTAATCAACCCTCTCCTCAGTTTGCCGCAATACTCTCAGGCTTAAAGAACTGCGGAAACACCGTCCGCAGGTCATCCAGATGCCGGATCTGGTACTTACAGGCCGGTGTATCCGGCACCTTGACCCCGTCTTCCACTAGATGGGCAACGTTCCACCCAATCTCCTCTGCTTTTTGGCAGTTGAGATAGGAGTCATCTAACGCCATCAGCAACATAATCAACCATATTCAAAAAGAAAAGAGGTACTCACCGACAAAGTAACAATCCTCAAACCTCTCCACGCCCGCTTCCCGCATCGCCTTCTCATACATTCCCCTCTGCGGCTTACACACTAACGGTACCTGGCTATAATCGCAGTACGTCACCCCATCAAAAAATTCCTCTACCTCCAGCAGTCTTACGACTCTCTTCGCATGATTGACATACGCATTCGTCAGCAGCCACAACTTCACTTTGCTCCTGTCGATATCCCTAAGCAGCTTTTTGAGCTCGTCCCGTGGTTTGATCACCCCGTCGAGCGGAAGTGCGTCGTCTACCTTGGCGTTATATTCCAGCGGGTCGATCTGGTGGTGTCGGACAAGGCCTTCAATGGCGAGCCCGTAGGATTGGTAGTACTCGCGGTGTAGGCGGACTGCTTCTTCCCAGGGGAGGGAGAGGTGCTCGTGGAAGTAACGGTCAATTAAATCTTTCATTAAGTCATGGACGCGAGCGCCTGGAATTGTTAGTAAGGGTTGGGGTTCAGGGGGTGAGGAAGGCGGCGACGCACTCTTGGGGTAAAGGCAATTGTCAATGTCACTGTGAGAGTTAGCATGTGTCATCGGCTCATAGATTCTGCTTGGCTTGGGATAGCTTACAAGAAGAGCACCTGCTTGGGCTCGACCCGGTTGGTAAGGGGGTGATCTGAGTCTGCGGACCCCATGACTGGCGGGGATCCCGGATGCAACGCGTTGGATTGAGGTTGAGCGAGAATCTGGGCCTAGCCAAGGAAATAGAGGAGGATTCTGAGTCTTGATGCCGTAGAACAAGGCTATGCTGGATGGTAGACTTGAGATTTTACGGGTATATAAAGAGGGCCTGCTGAGAGCAGTCAAAACGTTCAACAATATAAGGTCAAGTGCAATCCAACAGTCCGAGTATCAACGCCTGGATGTTTCCAGTGGATGCTAGACAGGGCAGTCACTCGCAGTGAGAGTGTCCTATGTATTCAGTACAGAACACATGGAATATGTCTAGACAGCTCTCTCTTCATAACCCTTCACAATTTATATCTTGGTCCTGTATACGAGGTTCGACCAACAATCAGATTCCATCCCCTTCCTTTCCTTTTGACTCTGGCGGCCTGGATGGACGACCCCACCGTCGTGGCACGCCCCACCGCTGCAAGCTCTGCCGTGAGTGGCCGCCATCGCGTGCACGTGCCACCGCTTCACTGAATCACGTGCAGGCAGCCATCGCTATATGGTCCGTGTGCGCCTTGTCACGTTGCATTCTCGGCGTGCTTGGCTCGTGGTTTGTCGTCGCCTTGTGCAGCTGGGTCGATCGCTTCTTCCTTGAGTTCCCTGTATCCGAACCTTGAACTTCTAACGTTCATCAGCAAAGTTTGACTTGCTCTGTACCGACTGCAAGGCTGCAACGCCATACCTTTGCAATCCCCATAATTTGCTGGGTTGCTACTTAAAACCGTGACGAGTTGACCCTATCTAGTTTTCATCGTGGATGAAAAGGATAGGCGGTGGTAGACACGCATGCGCACATCAATTTCTGGCCACGACCGACTTGCTACTGCCGAAGCATTAAACTTCAGTCGCCGAGAGAGTCACCTAAGCAGCCAGGACAAGGTCAACCAATGGCTGGCGCATCCGCTGTCGCGGTGCTGCCGAGCACCAACACAGGTGAAGGCAGAGATGAACAGCCGGGGTCATCGAGCGCGACCTCGAGCAACAATCTGCTGGCGTCGTTGAAGCCAGAAGAACAGAAGGAGCTCCGCGAGTATGACAAGCTGCTGCTGTTTTACGACGAAGTCGTCCGCGGCCAACATCCTCGCATCAAGTTGCCCGAGAAAGCTGTTGTGGCCTCGGGCCAGCCTGCGCTCGAATTTCTTGCTCCTTCTGTGCCTCTGGCTACAACTAGCCAACCCGCCACGCCCTCTTCTGCCCCTGCTGGTGACAAGAGCACAGTAACTTCTGCTACTACCGACCGTTCTGCAGTAGTTGACAGCGCCCGTGCGTACCAGGCAAACCAGAAGGCCCCGAGAGTACCTGTCCAAGCAAACAACAGTGCCAGCGTTAGCCTTCCCGGCCTCGGGAACTTTCCTGCTCCCTCGTCTAAGTCCCCCAGCTCTTCCAAGCCCGAAGCTGAAAACAAGATGCCAGACGGTTTGCAACAGGAGAAGGACGCGATCCAGAAGGAGCGCGAGCGCATAGAGCAACGCCTCAGGGAGCAGCTCGAACAACGACGCGCCGCCGGTAAGGCCGGAGCTGAGCAGTTGCCAGACCTTGACGTCGCCGATATTTTTGAGAAAGTCATGTCCCAGAGTCAAGAAGCGCCCGCGGCGGCCAGTGCTGCTGCTCAACAACAACCTGTCCGAGCTACTGATCACACAGCTGCCAATGCCTCGACTTCCTCTGCCGAGCCGGTATCTGACAATTCGACCTTCTACTCGAGCCACCTTGACACGCCCGAGTCGGGCCTGGTTGCCCGCATCCCTACATCCCCGTCTGATACTGAGATGCGCGAGGCGTCGCGCGAAGGTTCGCCGTATGAGCCCGAACTGGATGAGCCCGTTGTCATTCAAGCCCAACCTGCGCCCGCGCTTGCTCAAGCTATTCCTGGGATTGCTCCCGGGCAGCCTGTACAACAACCTCAAACATATCAGGGTCCTGGTGTTGCTGGCCCCTCCAGGGCGTATGCTCCTGCTGGTCCTAGCCAACTGAGGGATTCTGCCCGGCGTGAGGAAGCATACCAACAGGCTATGGCTCGTCCTCCTTCTCCTCGTATCTACTCCCATGAGCTCTCACCTGTTGCTCCCCAGCCTACTCATGTCCTCCCCCCAGGCATAACCAGACGACAAGAGATGCGCGCCACTGCCTCCAGCAGCGGCTCCCAGGCGACCCCAGCCCAAGTTTCTGCCCTGAGGAAGCAGGGCTCCAACCCAAGCACCCCCGAAGGCTCCCCGCGACAGGGCAGTCGTGGCGTCGAAAAGAAGAAGAAGAAGAAAAAGAGAAAGGCCGACCGTGCTGCCGAGAATGCCGCACCCTCTCCGTACATCAAGCCCGAACCCCGTTCCCCATCTCCTTTTTCCTCTCGTCCGGCTAAGCGGCAGAAGCAGTCACAGAACCAGCAACAGCAGCCTGTTGAGATCCATGACGATGAGCCCGCTAGGTATGAGCCACCTCCTCCTCCGGCCCGCGTTGACGAAGGCAGCCAGGAGCGCTATCCGCCTCGGGTTGTCAGGCAGGAACGTGTCGTGGGCTATGAGCGCGCCGATGACTACCATCATCGTTATGAGACCTCGCCTAGATACCAGCGCGTTGAGGCCGTTTATTATGACGACTGTAGGGCACCGCCTCCTCCGGGTAGTGCGTATGAGTACCGCGAAGTACGTACCGTGCGACCTGCTTCTCGGTTGGTCGAGGCTCAGTACGAAGACGGTCCTGGTGCGGCTTACTACCGGGAAGTTCCTCCCCGGGCGGTGTCGAGGATGAGTATGCACCCTCCCTCGCCGGTCATATATGAGCAGCCGCCGCCGCGCCGCATCGTTGTCGACCAGTATGGCCGCGAGTACATTGAGCCTGTCCGCGCGACGGCTATTGTGCGGGAGGAGCCCTACGACAGGCCCCCTCCCCCTAGGGCTGTCTCTCGTCGACCTGATCCTCTCGATGACGAAGTCCACATGTACCGGCCCACGTCCTCAGGTTATGCGGTTCCTCCTAGGCGTGTTCTTACCACTCAACAACCGGAGTATGCCTACCGTGACCCCGAACCCCGCGGCACCATGCCCCCTCCGCCTCTCCCACAAGAATATGCTCGCCCTGAACCCCCGAGGGAGTACATCCCCCGACCGGCGAGCGTACGCCCTGTCGAAACTGTCCGCTACGAACCTGTTCCTGCAAGCTACGAGCGAGTCCCCCCTCCTCCACCTGCACATCTAGACGACCGTCCCCCAAGAGAGAGCCAGAGGGAAGCGGGTTATTACCGCGCTGCAAGCGTCCATCCAACCCTATCAAGCAGCATCCCCCGCTACGAAGTCTACGACCGCCGTCCTCCCCCTCCTCCTGCAGAGCGTCCTCCGGAAGATAGACATTTCGTCCCCCCTCCGCAGCCTGCTTTGGGAAGAGCGGGGAGTGTCCGCCCTGTTGACCCCACACCTCCTACAGCACGGTATGAGTACGCACCGCCGCCGTCGAGTAGGGGGGTTGTCTACGCGGAGAGTGTGACGGCTACGCCGGTGTTGGGGAGGGAAGTTAGGGCTTGGAGCGTCATGCCTGATGGAGAGGTGCCAGTTAGGAGGGAGTTCCCTCCTCCTCCTCCTCCTCCTCCTCCTCCTCCTCCTCCGCCGCCGCCGCCGCCGCCGCCGCCGCCTCCACAATACATCCGTCCGGTGCAAGACAGAGAGCGAGATGATGATGTTATTTACATTGAGAGGGGGCTTGCACAGGGAAGGGATAGGGAACGTGAGCGAGAGAGGGAGTATCGGTGATTGAGTATGTGGATGAGCAAAATGGGTGTTTGTTGAGGTGTTGTCCATATCGCTTTTGGCTTTTGGCTTTAATGGATTTGTGTTTGGTTCGGCATTGGTTTGCATGCCGTGGAAGGAGAGTAATACATCGGGAGCTAAACAACCTTGTCCTAGTCCTGTCTGGTTCCAGTTGGGTCGACATACTCTATCGTGGGAAAGAGTGACATCCTCTTTTCTTGATTGCCTAGCAAACTGCTGAGTTGTTGAAGGATTCTTTTGCGTACACCTTTTTGTACGGCGTGTGTAATACCTACCTGACCTTTGTCGGGTTTTGTACGGTTCGTTATCGTACGGATGAAAGGAGGATATTGGAGCATCGGAGGAAACGGAATTATTACCCAGGTAGCTACCTAGCCACTGACAACGGCCAACAAAGTTGTCTCTTAGTCATCATATCTCAGCGTTTGCTGTAGCTGTTCACTCATCGCAGCAGTATATATATATATATATATATATATATATATGTCTTCTGCTTACTTGCCTATCTTTGGCGGGACAGTTGAAAGAAAGGACAAAAGCGAACTTGAAGGGACACCTATACGGCATCTAGCATTGAGCGTACATAACATTGCTGGCTGGCTGGCTGGCTGGCTGGCTGGCTGGAGGCTGGAGTTGCTACTAGAGGGAAATGGAATGGGTCTGTGTTTGTATGGATAGTGTATGAGTTTGTCCTATTTGGGTGTTAATACCATGTCTGGGTTCTGTACTTGTCATCTCCAGCATCACCGGTGTTATGTATGGATTCCTCACTAAGTAGGTCCGGGTGAGGACAACACATGTGAATATCGAGGATGCCCGGTGTTCGGGTACTACTTGTATGCCGACTACCTGACGCAGCTGGGTTTGTCGACCGAAGTATGGCTTAGTGTCTGTTTCATGTCTCATCCCAAGATCAGTTGGGATCGGACAGGCAGACGATGCGTAACCTTGACGGGCAGACTGGATTGGTCCCATTCGATTCACACACACTCCAGGGACCAGGGGACTAGTCTTCTTGGATCGTCGTACGTAGATGCGTATGTGTTCACATCAAATTTTAATCGGATGCTGTTCGCGTCGAAATCATGACCGGCATGTATGTGCATTTCGGATGAAAGCTTAGGGGAGGTAGAGCCAAGCTGCACAGCCTCCCCTAAGATGTACGGTTTTGGTGTCGGACGTACCACCTTGACCGTGGACTTAACGGCTTACTTGTACTTTGATTCATGGTGTGCTGTGTATACTGCCACGGAGACGAGGGACAAGGAATAGGGGGTTATGAAACTTGAGTCCCGAAGGTGCCGTAGGGAGAGAAGAGGGATTGTACGACCTGCCTGTTTTACCTTCTTTTTCCTAACTTAACTACCACAAGGTTTAGACAATCGATCTTACTGCTCCCTATCAAGCTTCCCTCTCCCCATATGTCTTAAGAGGGGTGCAAGATTTGAGACGATATGTCTTGCCCATCCCTCAACGGAGCCCCCTCTGTGTGGCTTGTGCAAGGGAAAGGACTGCAATATGGGGTGGTGTGGTGTGACCCCCACGAACCACCCACAGGAGAGATCGTCTTCGTCCTTGGCAGGTGATGGGAGAAAAAGCCGGCAGCGGGAGATCGGCCACTTGGAATTTACACTACAAACGAGAGATTCTTAGGAAGTGGGCATCAGATGCAATTACACCAGCCCTGAGGGGCAGAGTTAGTGGGGTGACTCAAAACGAGAATTACGATCTTGAGTTTAGAGGTTCGGATCAAAATGCATGAAGGGATGGTGCTAACGGATTTCTACGGAGGTAAAAAGCTGCGAAATTTCTAACCCCTGAAGTTTTCAAGATCTTGCAAAAGCTGCATCCGAGAAAGCTCGTGGCTTTGCCGGACGAATGTTCGCTGCTGCGGAGGGAGACCAGCCACGTGACTTGAAACCCTGAAACCTGGGGGTGTCATGACACCTGCAGCAGGAGGGTAACAAAGGTCGCTCGTCAGCTGCCTCAAGTGTTTTTGGCTACGACGTCTGGAGAGTTCTTGTTCCGACTCGAGCTTCCTGTTGACAAAAGTGAGGGAAGCTGCGTGATCGTGTGCTTCCGTTCTCAAGAAGGAACAGGGAGTCGGGCGACGTTGGAAACCTGCGCGGACGGGATGCAATTGAGGGACAAACATCTGCTTGCCTTGCATCGAAGTGCCGTCCGGTCCGGCAGTGGCGGGTGACCAAGCTCCACTACTTGGATGGGGACCTGGAAGCAAGTGACAGGCCAAAGCTCGAGGGGCAATAGCCGTCGGATGTTTTGACGGGAGCTGCTCAAGGGCACAAAGTTCGATGTTCAACCAGCTGTGCTTTTTGTGCTGCTCCTGTTCGTTTTGTACACAGACTGGGACCCACGCTTGCCCGGGGTAGAGATGAAGAGGGGTTCAATGGATAAGCAATGCAATCGCATGCGATGGATAGATGAATGCCATTGCTTCACTAACCCGAATGTCATGCCTCGAGCCTCATTTGCCGTGGTAATACCTCCCATTCACGTCATGGATTTGAGACATGCAAGGCACTGGGGAATTCAGGACTCAGGAGAGAGAGAGAAAGGGGGGGGGGGACGGGGGGAAGAACGGGCCATGATGATCTGCGGAACGAGATGCTTCCACCGCAGCGCCAATGGCCCGTAGAAACACGTCGCCGAGCCGAGGAGCGCAGATCCCGCTGTGCTGCGCCCAGGTGCGCGTTTAGGGACAACAACAATAATAACAGAAGGTGCTATGTTTGGGAGGAAACATAGTTGCTGCCGTCGTGAAGCTGGAGATGGTAATTTTGGTCCCCTTGCTGACGCTACTTCCATGAACCATGTACTGCTGTCACGAGCACAGGAGAAGCAACTCCCTCCGAACGAGCCTCTCAACGTTTGAATCTGAGTGAAAGCCGTAATATCAACCCAACAGTCTGGAAGCTACTGCTGCCGGCATGTGTTGACAGGCTGCACATCAGCGGTTGATCAATTTTACGACGGTGTTTTGCGTGCCAGCTCGCGGCGCCAGGTACATCAACTGCCCCAGACCTTCGAGACTGCCCAGACTTGCTTGCGCACGGACCATGCAGCGTGTGGAGAGAGAGGCTCTCTTGCCAGTGGCTACCGGACGCACCCCCCTTCGGACCGCAGCTGGGCCCCACTCTCACTGGCTGCTTGGCTGTTTTGGGGCACTGGCAGTGGCTCGCGGAGAGGGCCCACGGCCTAGCCCAGAGGCTCCAGTGCTCCAGCAGTGGGTTGAGAGTGCTCCAGTAGGCAGCGAGCACCCGCCAATCGGCCGCCAAGCGCTCACAGCTGATGACCCAGGCTGAGTGGCTCGCTCGGGCCCAGGCTTTCCCGCACCAGAAAGCAGCAAGACGTGACCCGACCCCGATGTGTCCTGTCTCATTCTCGCACCTTGCCCTTGCCTACCTTTTACTCTCACTGCTGGACTTGGACTTCCACTTATTCCTCCACATTCATCCATCCATCCTTTCCCCTCCCCCCTCCCCTCCCCTCCAACAACACTGGAACTGGACTGGACCTAGACTGGACTGAGAGTGGACTGGATCTGGATCTGGAGATCGTAGGACGGAGCAGAGAACACGACAGTTTCCCTCTCATTTTTCCTCTCTTCGTTTCTTTCCGTTCTCCTTTCTCCGTTCTCTCCTCTCCTCTCCTCTCCTCTCCTCTCTCCTCGTTTTCCTTCCCCTCCCCCTCATCGTGATACCCATCCCCCATATCGGTGCCCCCAGTATACCTGTTCCGTACCCATTCCCCATACCCATACCTGTTTCCATTCTGGTTCCAGATCGATTCGTTTTCATTTGCGTCCGTTCTAGTTCGATTCGATTCGCATTCCACGCCGTGCCATTCCGTTCGGTCTCGTTCCTGTTTCTTACCTATCTGCCTAGGTGCCTACCTACGGTTACCGTTTCTTCGTGTCGTTGTCGTGAGCAGAGCTTCTCTTCTCCAAGATTCCTTTTTTTTTCTCGTCGCGCGGGCAGCCTTCCAGCTTCGAGGTCCTCCATTTTTCAAGTCAGGTCGTCCTGAGGTCGCGGTGCCTTGCAGCTTTGACGTTTTGGCATTCCGAGTCCGCGGGTCTAAAGTCAGACTGCTTGCCAGTCAGGTCTTTTTTAGGAGTCAGGTCTAGGCTCGGTTTCGCCCTCTTGCCCTGCTGAGAGCGTCCCTCATTAGCCCCAATTGCCTCGCACCTCCCGCCCACTCCGCGTCACTCCCTTTCCCCCCCCCCCTCTCTCCTCTCCCCACTCAAGCAGCAGCAGCGGCAGTAGCAGCAACGACAACAACAAGCAGCAAGCAACAGCAGCACACTGCCTGCGCCACTGCTCCTGCTCCATATCACCACTGCGACAATCACAACCACAACTACACAACTACACCGACGACCTGCACTACGGTTCACGGCTCCCGCTAGCCAGCCCGTCAACGGTCAGCCCCTCGATTCGGGTTTACGCGACCACGACAGCGTCAGCGTCCACGGTACCCCTTCCAAAAAAAAAAAAAAAAGAATCCACGACAGCGACCCCGACGCCGGCAGTCCAGTGCGTGCGTGCACTCCAGCGTCTGCCGACCGGTGTTATCAACATCGACATCGACATCAACGACGACATTTCAATCAAAGATACCCCTCATCGTAGCGAACACGAGCACAATTAGCAAATCCATCGACCTGGCCCGCCGACATCGTCTCCATCTTCATCGCCGTCGACAACTCGCACATTTCAGCCCACACACTCTGCATCCGCCGACACCGGGCAGCGGGCGGGCTTCGTCACCACAACTCCATCCACCATGAACAAACTCGCAAGCATGCGTCACTGGCCCGAGCGGATGAGCCCTGCCAACTTCAGCATGTCTCGGGCCAACATGGGCATGCAGGCCGCCATCAACCCGCGCAGAGATCTCGCCGCTCAGCCGCCGCCGCCCCCCATAGCCGCGCCGCCCCTGGCCGACGGGCCCATCTTCTACAGCTTCAACGTGCCCCTCTCATCCGATCTCGCCGGCCCGGATACCGAGGACATCCTGCACGCCACTACCGACGCCGTCCTGCGCTGGACACACCCCGCCGAGGCCCCCGACGACGTGCCTGTATATGAGCTGCCCGTGCACCAGCAGAACCTGGCCCAGCTGCGCCAGCTGTGTCGTGATATTACCGCGAACCCGCTGCCCATCGAGGCGCATGTTATTTCGACTACCCCGAAGCATGTGCGCGGTCAGGTTACCACCGTGTGTCTGTCTGGCGCTCCCGAAGTCGTCTACCAGACGCGGGAGACTATTTTGAACTCGGTTCCTCTTGGACTGGTGGGTATCTTGAAAGAGGGTTATCTTGATCATTATGCTAATGAGACAACAGCGCTGCACTGAGGTCGTTGTCGATGGGCACCTGGTTGCCAACCTGTCCGAAGGCGTCCTTAAGAAGCCGGTGATGGACTTTCTGGACGAGACATCGTCTTTCTGTGGCGTCGACATCTTCCTGCTCGGCCCCAAGCTGACCCCGCTCGGTGGCAGTTTGGAAGCTGATGTCGACTCACGCCGCGACCAGCGCTGGCGTGTGGCCATCTACGGCGACTACCTCTCGTCTGAACATGCGAAGACACGCGTGCTCATCCATATTGACCAACTTGTATGTGAAATGGGGAACTCGCTGTGGTGGATGATGCTGACCAGGGCAGCTCGGGAGGATCGTTGATGCCGTCAAGTTTGACTCGTCCCTGCATCAGATCGTGTGCGGCCGCAACCGCAAGAACATCAAGCTCATCGAGTCCATGACCAACACGGCCATCTACTTCCCGCCACCCTTCTCTCAGTGTTACCGGTACTGCCCGCCGAAGGCTCAGCGCCGCGACCCCACCGAGATCTTCATCACGGGCGAGAACCCGCAGAACATAGAGCAGGCCAAGTTCCGGCTGCACGAGCTGCTTGCCCGCATGCGCATTTTCGTCAAGGACGTCACGATCCTGCCGTCCAAGATCGATAGCATCCTGCTCACCCGCATGGACAAGGTGCGCAAGATCATCGAGGCCAACGGCACCTTTATCATGTTTCCGACCCTGGGTGCCCGTCAGTTGGCTGTGCGCGGCCAGGCCCTCGAGAATCTGCACGTGGAACGGTCTATTCGCGAGTTGATGTCTTTGGTAGGTCTGACAGTCCGAACGTATAGAATGCAGCTAACGTAGTAGGTCGGGCAATTCTACACGGCCTCCTGGACCTTCTTGCAGCCGGTGCTCAACCAGCCGAGCCCGATCGACATCCGCGCCATGCTGGGCGACATCTGCGCAAACTCGGACGCCGAGGTCGCCTTCGACCGCCAATCTTTCCAGATCACCGGCTCGGACGAGTCGGTCAAGGCCGCCCTGATGGTCATCTCGCAGATCAAGTTCGCCTTGCACGCCCCGTACCAGATCCGGGTGCGCATCGAGCTGGCGAACGAGCACAAGGAGTTTGTCAGCGGCAAGAAGAACGGCAAGATCAACAAGATCATGGGCCAGAGCAACGTGCAGATCATGTTCGACAACTTTGGCGAGTACAACTTCAACATCGAAGTCATTGGCAACACGTACGAGTCCCTGAAGCAGGGCTTGACCCTGGTCGAGCAGGAGATGCCCGCCTCCATCTCGTTCCACGTGCCCGACCAGTACCACAAGCGCATCATCGGCATCGGCGGCCAGCACATCCAGCGCATCATGAAGAAGCACTCGGTCTTTGTCAAGTTTTCGAATGCCATGGATCGGGGTAAGTGGCTCGAGTTCGAGGCTGGGGGCAGGCTAACAGGCGAAGGTGGTTTAGGCCGCGATGATGATGACAGCAGAGTGGACAACGTCATCTGCCGCACGCCCGCCCGTAACGCGCAAAACCTGGAGCTTGTCAAGAGCGAGATCCTCGAGATGGTCGACCGCGTCGACTCGGAGTTCACGTCGCAGATTGTCAACGTCGACCGCCTGTACCACCGCCAGCTGCTGACCCGCCTGCCCGAAATCGAGGAGCTGGAGCGCAAGTGGAACTGCAAGATCAACTTTCCCAGCACCGAGCAGGCCAGCGACGAGATCACCGTTACTGGTCCACAGTGGCTGGTGCCGAAGTGCATTGATGCGTTTTTGGTAGGGTCTGCAGGCTAACTTAATTATTACCTCCTTCAAAGCTAACAAGCCCAGGGCATGGTCCCCGACAAGCACGAGCTCGTGTTGGAGCGGTCAACGCCGCTCATCAAGTTCTTGGAGTCGCCCGAGTTTGTGCAGACGATCGTGCCGAAGCTCAAGACGCAGTACGAGATTGACCTCACCGTGCACGAGGACCCCAAGGAGCGCACCGTCGACGGCGCGCAGACGGTCACGTTGCTGTGGCAGTTCACCCGCAACAGCGCCCCGGGCCTGCGCGACGCCATGGACTACCTGCAGACGCAGTTTGCCACGGCCAACGTGGAGCCGGTCGTTGTGCGGGGTGCTATTCCGCGTCCCAAGTCGGACACCTTCGAGGAGGCGCTGCCTTACTTCAACGCCAAGGTGCTGCAGCAGGCGCCGCCGTCAGTGGCAACGGACTCGCCGACTCGCTCTGGCTTCGGCGACGAGGTGGCCCGCGAGAAGAGCAACCTGCTGGCGTGCCTGCGCAAGCCGGGCAGTATGTCGTCCATCTCGTCGTTCCTGGACCGGCGCAAGAACAGCTCGCAAAACGCAAGCAGCTTCTTCAAGGGGTCCAGCAACGTGTCCAAGTCGTCGCTTATCTCCATCGAGTCGACGCGCAGCTTCAACGCGGACCGCAACCCTTGGAACGATAGCGGCGTCAACTTGCCCGAGGATGACCACAACATCTGGGGCCCGCCTACCAACCCTTACGGCAACGGTGTCGACAACAAGCTGACGGTGCCACATCCGGGTGACGTCACGCCGCGACACCACGCCCGCCAGTCGGCCGACAGCGGGCGGCCGTCCACGTCTCATTCTACCAATTCAGGATACCCCGGCCCGATTCCCGGGCCATTTCGTTAGATTCCTCTTTCGAATCACGGTCATCGTCATCATAACAACAATATCATGGTGTTCTCGGCTCTTTGTTTTTTTTTCCCCGCAAGGTTTTAGACAAATGGAAATTGTGGTTTGTTTTTTTTTTCGTTCTATTCGTTGGGGGGGGGAGCACAAGAGATAGGATGTGAGTGAAAGATGAGAAGATGGGAGATTGGGAGAGTGGAAGGAAGAGAAATACCCTAACGTATCGGCTGGATATACCCCTGGCGCAAAAATACCCCGGTAGTTGCTCTTGCTCTGCATATTTGATTGATTGACTTTGAGACTTGAACTTGAAACGGTCGGTTGCTTTGCGAAAAGAAAAAAAAACAAAAGTCGCCGAAGTTATCATTACGAAGATTGTTGTTGTGTTGTTGAAGAGAGGTTGAGTGTTTTAGTTGAGTGCCCCAAACAGTATCGAAACGAGGAGAGACAAAAACAATGTCTCGAGTCTACGGAGTAACTTGAGAAAGTTGAAGTCGAGATGAGGGAACGATCATCCCTCGTTCGCGGTCCCTGCCTTCCGTTGTCGTAGTCTTGGTACCTTGGGGGGTTAGCTTCGTTTGCTAATTCACTCGCTCCTTTCCGTATCTTGCTTCGGGAGGTTTTGCTGGTCCTGAGTTTAACTTCGTGCTTTAGTTTTCGGTTTGTCTTAAACCTCGGTTTGGAGAAAGGAAGGAAAAAGGAAAAGGAAAGGGAAACATGCAAAAGGGCTGGGAGATGGATGGCAGGGAACCGGGTCAGCCCCGGGGATACAGTGAGAGATGGAGTCGAGTTGGTCCTGGTTTCCACGACTCTTCTGGCTGACATTGACGAGGGGGAGGGACTGATCGAGATTGGGTTAAGTTGGTGAACTCATTTAGTAAAGACCTACCTTCCGTTCTCTTTCTATCTCTAAAGTCGAGTTGGGAATTCGACTTGAAAGATAAAAACATGGTCACGGAAGCGCATGGTTGGGTCTATTAGGTGGTACCTAAGCTAGGCTAAGAAGCAGTCTGAATGGAAGGAAACCGGGAACGTGATCGCCAGATAGGAAGTCTTCCTCAATATACCATCATCATTTGTGGCTACCTACCTACATAAACGGCATAATTAAGTAGCTGTTTATAGCAATCCCCATCATCGCAACCGATGTACCCATCGCAGACTCGTCATATAATGAAAGGAAGAATTGACTCAAAGAATTGGGAGTTGGCTGAATGAACAATCAATGGAGATAGAGAGAATTGAGGTATCGAGGAGGAGGAACCAGCAAGTTCGAAGGACGCATGATGGCGCCAGGCTGGCTTAGAATGGTATTCTCCCTTGATGTCTCAGGTAGGTGTTAGGTGCTAGGTAGGTAAGGGGTACTTAACAGGTACATTACTTGTCTGCACAACTCAATGTTTTTTTATCATACAACAACTTCACAAGACTCTTCCATCCGATGTATGGATTGTGAATAAATGACAATATCATTTCCCCCCTTCCCCCCCCCCCCTCCCTCCCTTATCACAGCATGAGATAGAGGCAGGTCAGGTGCCCTAGTCCCTTTGAGTTAGACGTAAATGAGGGCTGTGGATAGTCTTACCAAGCTTGTACTCCATACGTCAGCCTTTAGTTGTAGCCATAATGTTGCTATAGAGTAAAATAAAATACACTTGAGCAAGTTGACATCAAACACTTAGGTAGGGATATGTCTCCCGGTAGGTAGTCAATTAAACACCCCCTTTCCTTAACCACTGACATTTCACTCCCATCCAGTAAACCATGCAATACCCATTTGCGTTTCATAAACCATTCCGATTCCCTCTTTCCCATCCATCACAATCACACACACACACACACACACACACACACACACACACACATCCAAAAAAAAAAAAAAACTCCATACAGAAACTTAACAAACCGCCTTCCACCCATCGCCCGAAAGCAAGATGCGTACGTATCCTTACAAGCTCACTAAACCACAACATCCCCCACCACCCCAACACTTTCATCTTCAGTCCTCCCCCGTCCCGCCCACTCCGTCCCCTGATTTGCTGTGCTCGGTCTCGCGCACAAACTCAGTAAGACCACGGTTTCAGTCGCCGCATAGTGGTTCAAGGCGTCCAGCAGTATCTGGAGGTGCCTGCTAAAGTTTGTCTCCCACTTGCGGATGACATCGAAGAGTTCGGTGATCTTGGCGGATTCTTTGTCCTCTTTCTCTTTTGTACTCTTGTCGTTATCTTTGGAAGGGTCACCACTTCCTTCGGATTGGGGTTGTTGTTGTGTGTTTGAGTCCGGTTGAGAGGTTGATTGGGATTGGGATTGGGATTGTGAAGAGGAGGAGGATGATTGAGAGGGACGAGCAGCGCGGATGGCCTGGAAATGCTTCCACTGCGCGTCGGTCATGGTAGGGGGTTTGGTCGTTCCCGACAAGTCGGGGTCAGCCTTTTCCAGCTCGCGCGAAAGCCAATTCGTGTAGGTGGCGAAGACAGTGCAGGTCTGCATTAGTTTGGAGTGAATCTACTCCAGTCAGCGCCTAACCCATCACCCATCACCCAACAACGTAGAGAAAAATATATATATATATATATATATATAGTAAGATAGGTTGGTTGGTTGGTTTTTTTTTTGAGGGGGGGGGGAAAGGGGTTTGGTTGAAAAACTCACCCTGAGCAGCTTACTATTCGTCAGCATGCACTCCTTCAAACACGTATCCAAAAAATCCACATGATCCTGCATCAATTCATCCACCGTCCTCGTCACGCCCTCCCCAGCTCCAACCCCAGTCCCATCCGCCCCTTCACCCGTTTTGAGTCGCGCCATCAGAGCCTGCCAATTCGGCTCAATCACCTCGGCCGTACAAAAGTACAATAACTGCTGCACGAAGACTAGCATCCTTGCACGCAGAGTCCACACCCGGCGTTTCCACATCTCCAACCTTTTTGCCGTGGCAGACTTGTGTATCCACGCCGGGTTGCGCGTATGCGTCTGCCACGTCGATGATAGCTGCGACTCGAGGTACCGTAGTGAGAGTAGGTACCGAAATAAAGCCTGATACCGCCAGATCGTCTTGCGCGAAATCACCAACGATACCGGGAAGGGAACGGTATAATCCAGCTGCAGCGAGGTAAACCCGGTAGCATGCTTATCCGTTTCCGGCGCGGCCGACGCTGATGTTAATGCAGAGGTAATATTTGCCAAAGGCTGCAGCGCATCCCCCTGCTCGATGCCGGTGATGTTCACGACCCGTTGGAGGGATTTGACGAGCGTGATCTCGTTCATTTCCACTTTCACATCCTCCTTGAACGGGTCTAGCGAGACGATACTCCCCGGCTGACGGAGGACAAGGTCGAGGAGGGATTGCAGCTTGCTCGTGTTGACCGACTTAACGGGCTTGCGCAGCTCGGAGGCGCCGAGCTCGAGGAAGTAGGAGAAGTAATCGGATGGGTCAAGGAAGAAATAGTGTTTTAATGACCGTAACCGGGCCGGCAGATCGTGTGCTGTGAGGAGCAGACGCATGAGCGATGCATTGGCGTGCGCGTAGGCACTATTAACGTTGTCGAGAAACCTGGGATCGTCAAATGACACGGGCAGGTCGCGCACGTGCAGGGAGACATCGACGCCGCCACACTCGCGGACGACGTTCAGATACTTCCCCGCCAGCAGCACCTTGTGCTTGACGGGTTCCAGCTGCGGCGGTACGTCCGCTTCGCGGATGGTGTACCTTCTCTCCCAGTATTCATCTGTATAATCCTGCTCGAGCCGTTCCCGTTTGATGCTACTCTGCTCCTTGATGAGGAACTCGCCGTGCGGGTCGTTGATGGCGCCGTGGTGCAGCCACTCGTTCAGCATGGTCATGTAAGGCCGAGAAGCGTCGCGGAGCAGGGAGGTGAGGAGCGTTCTCGCGGCCGGGTCGCCCGACATGCACTCCAACCTGTTGGTCAGTATCCCTAACACCGCGCCCCCCTTACATATCTTCTTCGCCGTCATCGCGCCCACCGCCAACTCGCCTGTATTCTGCAGCTGCTCCAGAATAGCATCGATATCATCCGTCGAATCATTACTCTCATCATCCCCTGCGCTCTCGTCCTCCGCCAACAACCCATTTCTCCTCAACAACTCCCTCGCCAAATCATACAACTGTGCCAACACGTGCGCCGTGGGCAGCACATGTATGTTCAGCACCTGCAGTGTGAATCCCTCATCCGTCAGAAACTGCGTTTCCAGCTGCGCTACCATGACTAAGTACTCGTGCAGCAGCCTCCGGATAGCAGCACACAGCGCGTGGTTGACACTCCCGTACTCTTCTCGGCTCAGCACGTCCACGAAGGCCTCTAAAGCAGAATAGTGCGTCGCCACGCGCAACATGCCCTGTGTCAGGTCCGCCAAGCTGGGATCCAAACCTGGTAAGATACGCCAGCTGGGCCCCGTCAGCCGGGCTTGCTCGTCGTGTGGGTTGTACCCCTTCGCAAAGCGGATGTATTGTCCTTCGTAGCCCATGAACACAAATAACAAATCATCCAGTATGACGGCCTCTTGCGCCTCAAGCGAGAGCTCGCTCAGCGGCTTAGGCTGGAGCGAACCCGGTGCATTAGCCGCCAAAGGGGGCACCGAAACGCGACATGCCAATGGGGCGGTTGTTAGCGGCAATAAACTCGCCTCAGGCTCCCACGGGGGAGGCGGGAGGGGATGCTGTGGTTTATCCTGGGAGAAGCTTGACGACAGCGGGGGCGGGATGCCGGGGGAGCCGAGGCGCATATCTCGTACCGCCGGTCTAGACGACGGGCCTGAGGAGCGCTGTTTCTTTTCGGGAGGGGGGGCAGCTGACCGACGCTGGGCAGGAGGACTGCGTGCGCGCGAGATGAGTGTTTCGCGTGTGGTGATCTGGATGCGTTCAGTGCGACGCTCTTCGAAGGAGGCGTTTGCTGACCGCGAACCACCGCCTGCTCCTCCTCCTCCTCCTCCTCCTCCTCCTCCTGCTGCTGCTGCTGCTGGATGTGGGGGTTGGCTGGTTGGCAGGGGAATGCCAGAGTTATTCCTCTTGTGTGCTGTTGTCGACGAGGACTCTGCATACCGCGCGCTGTTGTTGGTGGTAGTCCTCGACTCGGTCCGGGAGAAGTTAGAATTGGGGTTGTTCAGGTTTGTGTTACTTGTGCTGTTCGGGTCTGGGATACGTGTGCGCGAGGAACGATCTCCTCCTCCGGCGGCAGAGGCAGAGGCTACGCCGTTGGGACGCTTTTCGGTGTAGGTGCTCGGGCGGGACGACATGGTAGGTGATGTTTTCGTAAGTGTCGCTGGTGGTGTCGAGAGAGGAGCTTACATTCACCGAGGAGCGGGCGGGGTGTGCGAGGGGGCATCGACGGGGTTTATGTGTGCATGAGAAGCGCTGTCGAGGTGGAATTTCTGGGACAAATATCGAATTATTTTACTTCATGATATTTCTCTCCCCCAAACAAAAATCGGTTCGGCGGGGCGCTACGCAGGTTCTTGCCTCTGGTGATGCGCCGTTTGTACTTTTCTCTTCGCTTTCATACAGCCCAGCGCGACACGGTCCACGCCCACGTCGCTCCTGCTCAACGCGATGGATGGAGCTAACCTGTTTATGGTTAGTACCATCTAAGGTGGGGTTCCCGGCAGGGTACGTACCTGACTGCCCGCCGCCAACCACTGTCCGCTAGATGCTGTGGAGAGTGGGGAGCTGCGTCGACCTTCGTGCCTGGACCTCAGCTTCAGCCTTACTTCATCTTCCCGCTTTTACCTCCCATCTCGACTGCTGCCGACATCAACAACACCCCGCTTGACGACTCTTTGCTCCGTCTGCGCCATTATCGCCTTTTCTTTTTCTTCCCCCGCCCACAACCCAACAATAGCCTGACTTGGAAGCCGGCCAACTCTCAATACCCTCCGCCTAAGGAACCCACTTCCATCACCAACATGTTCGTCGCCAGATCAGAATACGGTGAGTTTTGCCCCTCATTAGGGCTTCGTTTTGGAGTTCAGAAGGCTGACAGATATTCAGACCGGGGGATTAAGTAAGCTCTTTCTTTCCATCCAACCATTACCCCTTGAAACCCCTCTCCGAACCCCTCCCTCTCTCTCCAAGCGCAGCTTCACCTCCTCGGAGATCAACCCCTCCCCCCTAGCTAACATACCCAGCACCTTCTCCCCCGAAGGCCGCCTCTTCCAAGTCGAATACTCCCTCGAAGCGATCAAACTCGGCTCGACTGCGATCGGCGTCGCCACCTCGGAAGGTGTCATCCTCGGCGTGGAAAAGCGCGTAACCTCTACCCTCCTGGAAACCTCCTCGGTCGAAAAGATCGTCGAAATCGACCGGCACATTGGCTGCGCCATGTCCGGGCTGCAAGCCGACGCCCGGTCGATGGTCGAACACGCACGAGTCGAATGCCAGTCCCACGCGTTCCATTATAACGAGCCGTTGAGAGTGGAAAGCTGCACGCAGGCGATTTGCGATCTGGCTCTGAGATTCGGAGAGAGTGCCGATGGGGAGGAGAGTATCATGAGCCGGCCGTTCGGCGTGGCGCTGCTGATTGCGGGGATTGATGAAGATGGGCCGCAGCTGTATCACGCAGAGCCATCGGGAACATTTTATCGCTATGATGCGAAGGCGATCGGGAGCGGGAGTGAGGGGGCGCAGGCGGAGTTGCAGAATGAGTATCACAAGGTACCGCCATATTTCCCCCGTCTCTACTATTTCTAAGGATGTGTGAATGGTTTACTAACGAGGATGTAGTCCCTCACCCTCGCCGACGCCGAGACACTTGTGCTCAAGACGCTCAAGCAGGTCATGGAGGAGAAGCTCGATGCCAAGAACGTGCAGCTGGCCAGCGTCACCAAGGAGCGCGGCTTCAGAATATACACTGACGAGGAGATGGCTGCTGTTGTCGCCCGTCTGCCGGCCAACTGAACTGACATTGTTGGCCTAGGGGGATACAGCGTCTGGAGCTAAGGAGATGAAAAGGGGGGGGGGGGGAAAAAAACAATATATAATAATATGAATGGTATTTGATGCGTCGATTTCCTCCCTATGCCTGTTACAGACCCCATACCATAAAGACGTGATGCAAAGTGAAGATGCCAACACTTCTCTTACCCTTCATATTGCCTACTGTTTATTTAACTATTATTTTTAATCTTTTGTTCATTTCCAGGGCCACCCAGCCCATTATTGATCCCCATATGTACTCCCAAATTATCAACAAAAGACCTACCCAGCCCTGGCATCACCCATCACCCTACCTTCGCCCATTAAGTAGTAGTTAGTGCCCAACCGTCTCTAGTTCATACGCATCCAAAATGCACAGTCCTCCCCCACCCCCCCCACCCATCCCCCAACCAAAACTTCCAAGCCAAACCATTAATTACTCCCTTCGCTCTTACCATTATCCTTCAACCCCCCCCTCCCCTCTCTCTCTCCATACTCATACTCACCCTTGAGATTCACTACACCCTGTTTACCTCTACCCTATTGCTTCTCTTCCTCCTCATCTTTCAGCCTCAACGTATACAAATCTCTCTCCACGCTCAACAACCCCAGCGCATAATGCGCCTGCTCGCTCCGCTGCAGCACTAGTCTATCCTCGCCCCTCCGCACCGCCTGTAGCTCATGAATGCGTCGCTCAATCCCCCGCGGACGATGCCACGTCTGCGTGGTGGGCGGGAAGAGAGGACCCAGCTCAGGCGGGGATTCGTACGCCGGGCCCCGACCCATTTCATGAGCTTTGCGCCAACTTGTCTCGCAGCCGTCGGCTATCTGGCGGGCGGACTGCCAACCGGTGAGGCGGGCGATTTCACGCACGCGGCGGATGAGCCAATGCCGTTGGTGGAGGTCATTGAACTATTTTTGCTCTGTTAGCATCACTTCTTCTCATGAGGGTAACGAGGTGAAGAGAGTGGGTGAAAAACTAAAAGAAAAAGAAAAGAAAAGAGAAGAGAAGAGAAGAGAAGAGAAGAAAATACTAGCCTGAACGCCCGCCACAAAGAGACAAAAACCACTCTCTAAAAACGCCGCCGCCACCGTCGTCGGGATCTCCTGTAATCCCGTCGTATCCTCATACAATCCCGCAGCAATCCTAGCCACTTCATTCGCGTACTGCGCCGTCTGCTGAGCGGCCATCCCTGCGGCTACTAACGCCAACGGAGGCATCGCCGGATGCGACCTGTGTAAAATAATCATACCCATGTAGTAGTTCATCCATATCCCTGCTATGCTGTAAGTTCTGTACATCAGCGCCGGCCCGAAGGGCGTCATCTCCGGGAAGGAGTATTCTGCGCTCATGGGCTCGAAATCTGGCCCTAGGCGGGAACGAAACACATCGAATGCGCGACGGATTTCTTCCCATTCACGATGGGCAGCGGCAGTGGCGGCCGCTAAGTCGGCTTCGGGATTATCGAGGGGGTCGGACGAAGGCGATGGCGGTTGCTCGCGGGGCGGGGAGAAGCCCCGAGGGATGTTGATTTGGCCTGAGGAGGGCATAAGACCGGGGAATGGGGGCGGGGAGTGGCCACGGCCGAAGCCAGCGGGACCAAAGCCGGGAGGGGGGCCGGAGCCGCGACCTGCGCCGGCACCTATGGGTGGTCCCTGACCTGGGGGAGCTTGACCCGGAGGGCCCGGGGGACCGGGGGGACCTCCGGGAGAACCGCCTGGAGGGCCTCCGCGACCCATGGCCGCGCCAGGAGGGCCGCCATGGCCCTTCCAGACTTTGCGTTTGCGGGCGAGGTCGCGAGACGCAAAGTTGGCGAGCCGGCCGAGGAGGAGAAGGAGGTGGTCGAAGGTGCCGTAGCTGGGTGTGTCAGTGAGATGTCAACCAACTAACTCGGGGGAGCTGGGTGACTTACATCTGATTGATATTCCCAAACGGCCCCCGCGGCGTGCACTGCGTCCACTTACTGTACTCCATCCTGCTTCCGTCAGCATCTTCCCTCATCCATCAACTTCTCCTCGAGTCCATCAAGTGTCAGTCACTTACAGCAACTTCGTCCCTCCCAAGAAGCTCTGATACACATCCATCTTCAAATACCACCAGTACAGATCCCTCAAATGCTCATACGTCTCAACATCCCTCTCCGTCAAATACTTGTCCCTCCTATACTCCCCGCCGCCCTCCCCCAACACAAACCCCTCCGGCCGTTCATACTCCACCTCCTGGCCCGTCAACTCCCAAATCAACCGCGTATCCACATCCTCCAGCACGTGCAATCCATTCTGGGGGCGAAAATGATGCCTCTGTCCTTCTCCTCGACCCCCTTCAAAGAGGCAATGCTCATCACAAACATGTTTTTTCACCTCCTCTTCCCACTTCCTCCTCCTCCAAGCCAGCACGTCCCTCGTCATCCTCCCCAGCGGAATCTCCCTCAGGATCGCCCTCGCTCCCCATAGATGCTTACACCACTTATCATGATCCGAATTCCACACCTCATAAAACCCTAGAAGCAACGTTGCGGCCAGAGTAGCCGGCTGCGTCCTGCGCTGTGGGCTTTGATAATTCTTCGCGATCCTCCTAATACACAAGTGATAGTGCTTCATCGCCGCCGTAGGCGGATACCCCTGCAGTTTAGAAATCTGCAGCGACGCGAGCGCAAGCATGGCTTGCATCAGGGCCGGGTGGTTGAAGGCCATGATGGGGAATGTGTACGTCCAGATGTGCTGCCGATACTTGGGAACCGGCTGGCCCTGGAAGACGGGGGTCGGGTCGAACGGGTGGCGCTCGTACAGCGACATGCTCTGGCCGGTGATGTTGACAAAGTGCCAGAAGACGGCGGCGGTCTGGGGGTCGTTGAGCGGGGAGGAGGCCGACGAGGGAGTGTATTCGGCGAGCGTGAAATTGTACTCGTTCATGCCGGCGAAGGTGCGGATGCGCACGCCATATACGTCGGATTGGTGGTGTTCCGGGGCGAGTTGCTTGGCGACCTGGATGCCGAGGTCGTTGGACTGGAGATGGACGAGGTGGTCTTCAGGGGGCGCCTCGTCGTCGGATTCGCCGATCGAGGCTTCGTCGTCGGGTTCCCAATAACCTTCTTTTTCGGGGAGCTCATCGGGGACAACGGGCTGGACCATGCTCACTTTGCCGGTGCCGTCGGCGAGGAAGGTTGCTGAGCCGGCTTCGGCTATCTGCTTCTCGAGCTGCATCTCCAGCTCCTGCTCAGATGGCAGACCGGGAGACTCGCGCGGCGGCGTAGGCTGCATGAACGGCGCAGGCTCGAAGGTCTGCCTGGGGAACGGCAGGCTCCCCAGCGCACCGTAGAACTCTCCCTGAGTTGCGTTTGGTGACGGATCCCCCCCGACAAATGAGACCTGGCTGGGTGTCGAGAGAGGCGAAGGACTCTGCGGTTGATACGGCGCAGGCCTCTGCTGTACAAAGCCCCTGGTAGCCCCGGAACTCGAAGATGCCGCGGCATGTCCATGACCATGAGCTTGTCCATACGCCTGCTGCGCATAGGTAAGCGGCGTGGTATTCGAGAACTCGACAATCGGCGGCTTAGGCGCAATCAGCGGCGCCTGGGACGAGCCGCCCTGCGCCCTCTGGGCGTTGATCAGCTCCTGCTGGCGACGATGGTTAAGGGAAAAGGCCGGACGAAACTGGAGCTTCTGCGTATAACCCTCGCACTCTCGCTTGGACTTGATGCAGTTATTACAGATCGGTTTGCCCTCGTCGCACTTGATGCGGCGTTTGCGGCAGGCTAGGCATGTCAGTATGTGCCTAGACGCTAAACTGAGTGAAGAACTTACTACGACAGCCCGTTTTGGTCCTCTTCCTCTTCCTTTGGGCCTGCTCAGAGGACGGCTGGTTCCCCTGACTCCCCTCAGATGGGACAGTCGATCCAGCAACAGGCTGGGCCTGCTCGACCGGCTCGACAGACTCCATGCTCAGTTCTCCCTGGGCCAAACAGGATGCGTAATGTGTTTCTGAGTAAGTATATGATTTGTTTATGATCTGTGACTTGCGATCCGCCCCACTGTACGGACGGAGTTCTTAAACAAACAATTCAGGAGCAGTATATGTATATGCCGAGGTGAATGGGACGGTCTGGATCCTACCGGGGAAGTACGCATACATGATCAATCGGCGAAAAGATGTAATCTCCCAGGCACGTATGTCGATCGGGATTAGGCAGGTAGGGCTGAACGTTGAATATACGCCCGGACGGACGTACACAGAAAAAGATACTGTAGCACCCCGAGTTATCCGTACCTAGGTAATATGGAAATATGTAACAGTGTAAGTGAAAGCAGATGACCACCCGGAGGCAACGTGGGCGTCGTGTGTGTGTGTGTGTGTGTGGTGGGTGGGTGGGTGGGTGAGTGGGGGGAGGGGGGGGGGGGGGAATTGAGAGCGTGTGGGTTATCAAGCTCTGTCGACCGAAAAGCCAGCGGCCAGGGGTTCCGGGGCGCAACGTCGGCCTGCCCTTTTTAGGGTCTTGGACTGTGGTCCAGGACTCTTCTTGGGTCGTCTTTAGGGCCGGCACCTCCCGGCAACGTCCCTGCAGCCGTATATGAGAGCAGGGGGATGAGGTCAATGGCAGGCCGGCTAGGGCTAAGAGTGCCCCGGGGGGGAGGGGGGGAAGGGTTGGAGAGAAGGAACAACAGGCTAGGAATAAATCTCTGCTGCTGTGTAGCAGAGGTTGTAGAAGAGGTCGAGCTGGTTGGCGGATGTGAATCGAAGAGTCTGACTGTAGAGCAGACAATGGACTAAACGGACAGGCCAAACAAGCCAACAGACTCTTGAATGTGACTGAGACAGGTCTGGTGTAACGGAGGGTGAAGGCAATGAGCGAGGGCTTGTCTTTAGACGGGTGGTGGCAACACGCCAGAGCAGTGTGCGACGAGTTGAGTAAGTGAGTGAGTGTAGGGAGAGATATTGTCCGAGGCTATGTGTATGTAGTAACAACGATGAAAATAATCACGAAATGACAGGAACTCAAAGGATCATGAGTGGTGAGGCGAGATGTAACCAGGTAGGACGGGATCCGTAGCGTCGATCACGACAGCCCGGTGGCTCTCTGTCAATAAGTACTGGGTAGGCGGGTACGAGATGCAAGCTAGTGCTTGAGAGTCCACTCCAAGTTTGTATACATGAAAGTTAGCATAAAGGCAAGTAGACACGGGAGTAGCATCAACAACATCTCGCGGCTCAGGTATTGGACGGTCTAAGTAATTACGTGAAGGACTAAAAAGTAGGTATGGTATGCTCTGTCCTTCCTCTCCGCAGCTAATAAGGTACGGACTACTCGAGTACGGGGCTGGCTGCTGCAACGTCGGATGCTGAGACGGCCAGCAAAACAGTTGTCAGTTGCTGTGGGACAGTGCGAAAACACAAGGGGCTTGGACTTGTCCTTGGAGTCCTGGACCCTGACCCTGGTCGTAGACTCCAAGACGGAAGCACCCGGGGTTGGATCACGGTCGAGCAGGCCAGGCCGTTAGGGGTTCTGCGTTGACGTTGTGGGTTTGGATTGGATTTGGGATTGGATTTGACTTTGATTTCTTTTTTTTTCTTTTCTTTTTTTTTTTTTAACGGTTACGGATCCATCCATCCATCCATCCATCGCAGCGGCATTGGCGTTGGCATCACAGCATGCGAGTGTGACATCTGCAGAAAGCGTAGTGCAGTGTAATGGAAATTGCCCAGTTGGAGAGTCTCATGAGAGCTGAACAATGAAGCTGGAACTGACCTCTTCAAATGCGTGAAGGAGGCGTTGTTATCACGGCATCACCCGCTGAACATCCTCACCAGTCATCAACCACCAACTGCCCGTTGATGACGCTGCTGCTGCTCAGCCGGGCTGTGATCGACACGCCCATTGCCCATATCAGTCTGCCGCGCGCGCTGTGGATGTGGATGTGGATGTGGATGTATGTGCTTGGATGTGAGTGATGGTGGTCTCTCCCCTCATGAACATCCTGGGCTTGCGGGAGATGAAAAGCCATCCACAATCCTCCAGGTGCCAGGAGCTATGCCACAAGCCACAAGCCAGGGACCGGGGGGGGGGGATGAGATTGGGAAGGGGGGAGACCGACGGCCACAGAATGCGGGACGAGCCTGAGTGGCTGGAGATCGTTAGGATCGAGGAGGCCTGCTTGTGACGAGGTACTCGAGAGCCTTGGCGATGGGCTGCTGTTCAGCTGTTTACTCTGTTATTTGTGATCGTTTTTTATTTCTCTTTGATTGCTTCATTTCTGTCTTTTTTTTTACTATCGTTGGAAAAAGCTGGACCAGAGCAAACTCTGACGCTCCAGCGTTGCGCAAGGCTTGCCAGGGCCGACGTTGCATAGTGGTAACCCCCGAGCCGCCCACACACAAGCCTCGACAGATCCCCTTTTTTTTTCTCTTCCATCCTCTTCACTTTCCCAGGTCCATCGTCCAGAGTCCGTTGGCAACTACAACTTTCCAGCAGTGCCAAGAACAAAGGAAAAGTGCAGGAAGGGCTGCGGAAGCTTTTCGCAGTTGCCCCAATCGTCCGCTGTCCGCTGGCCGCTGTGCCAGGGGCAGTCCAGTGACCAGGGCCAAGGGGCACACAGAACCGTTCGGCTCCACATAACAGATCCACCCTCGTCCTCGTGCTTGCATGGTGGATGCTGTGAGTACTGCCGATACCTCTGCGAAGCAGGGGCCACCTGCCTAGGCTGCTGAGGATGGAGGGGTGCTGGATGGCAACCCCGCGGTCAAAGCAGCCTCGATGCCATCACTAACAAAATTACCTGAAATCTTGGATTGGTTTGAATTGGAAATTGACCATATTTAAAATTAAATCAAATCACATCTGGGATCCAAGAAACCTTCCATTGACGGAATTCTGCTGGCCGTTGTGCGGTAGCGATCCATCGGTCTGTCATACCCCCAGCAACTCAACGTCACACCAAAGACATCAAAATCAGCGCCGGTGCCTTTCTTTCCCCTGTAAAATAAAAAAGAAAAAAAAGGCTACGTACGATGCCGCTGTCGCTACGTCTCTGCCGAGGCCGCAATACATTCTTCTGACTGCAGCTGCATGCCGTAGCTTGCCATCGTCGCTGCTCGCTACAACATCTGCAGGGTTTGGCCTTCTGCAACGCACGATGCCCATGACAAACTGCCTATAATGTCAACCTCTGCGGTATGTGTGGAGTTGGGCCGGGACAGGACATAGGGGCAAGGCAGTCTGGTTCTGGTTCACTGGACCGGCTTCCGAGGTCTTGAGTTTTCACTTGTCTTCTTCAAGCCCGGAACACGGAGCTTCCAGCAGAAGTGGAATGGTTCTGGTTCTGTTCTGGCATCCGGAACAGGCCACGACATAAAACTGTCAGAGCTTTGAAGCAAACTGCAGATTGCAGTCGTCTTTGCGAGGCAAGCAAAGTTTGTGATACATAGCCCTCCGCTTCTTTGTGTCTCCATCACTTCCAGCCCAGTATCCCTGGGTCAAAAGAGCGGGATTCACAGCAACCAAATCCGCGATCACGCTCGTACCTCGTGGTTTTCCAACCGCCGGCTGGGGAATCGACAGAATCCAAGACCCACAGACTGCTCTGCTGGCCGGTGTCTATCTCGATGTCGATGGAGACCGAGCCGGCTCCAGTCCACAGAAGCCCCTCCGAGAGCTCCATGTCTAGATCCGAAGCCACCCGCCCCGTTTTGAGGTGTTCGCTCTTAACCCAGCCGCTTTGGCGCTGCATTATGGAAGCTTCAGGAGGTCTTCAATTCGATGGAAGGCTTCCAGAAGTGCAGCTAGAAGGTCTTAGCTGCATCTTAGGGTGTCAATGGTTCTGGGCTAACTGCTAGGGAAAAAAAAAAAAGTCCAGCTTGCAGAGCCTGGAGCTCTCCCACTGGCTATCTCGAAATCAACTGCAGTACAACTTCGCCACCAGGCCAGGTTCAATCAAACCCGATCCGTCTTTTTTCTCGGCCTTACCTATTCTTCCAGGTTTCATGGCAATGAGATTGAACTTCCATGCTGACTTTCGGCTTTAGTTGTTGGCAGCAGGGTCCACCGGGACTGGCCAAGTCATGCGAAAGAAAGACGGAGATGAAAATGACGAAAGTGGACAAAAGGCTTTCGTTGGCCGTCGTACTCGCACGCCGGTTCCTACCATCGGACTAGCACTGACGTCCCAAAAGCTGCTGTGTCACTGATGGTATGCAGCAACCCCATTGTTGGCACACCGAGAGAGGAGTCGTTCTTCGGGTTTCCATCCGTGCGGCGACATGTAGGTAAGCATCACGTCTGATTCATCTGAATGGCGGGCATCAAATGGCGGCTGCTGTTGTTCGATTGGTTGTGTTGTTTTGATACGTAGGTTCGATATCCCAGCCTTAAGACAGGGACAGGGTTAAGCCATCAGTATGTAAAACTGTCTCATTCTAACTCCAGCTCTTTGTCCGATACTCGGGTAGTGTGTCCATAGTTTGTAGGATTTTCCAAACTGTCAGTCTTGTGCCTCGGTATGTTGAGAAAGACTGAAGAGACGGGATGGAGATGACGATGATGGGATACGTCAGGAACGAGGGGAATCAGAAACACGGACAATGTGACAAATGTTTGATTCGTGGAGACAGAGATGGGGAAAGGGTGGTTGATGATAGACTTGATGCGGTTGTTGTGAAAGGAGAAGATTTGGAGAGTCGAGAGCTTCCCGTGCCAATTGCCCTTGAGATAGCAGTTGGCTCGAGACGATTAGCTTCTCTCAAATCTAAATTCGAGTTTTCACTGGCAGGCTGCACTTCGAAAAACTCTTCAGACACTTCCGTGATGTGTGCCCGACCAGAGTCACATTGATAACAGCGACAACAAGACAGCTCCAGCGGAAGCCAAAGCTGCTGTCAGGGGCAGGGGCTCCGGCGCACGGGCCCTATCAAGAAGAATTTGCTCAACCATTGGCTCGGCGCGTGTTGCGCGACGCCAGAGGAGCGTCATTACAGTGCGAGAAACTGTATAGCTCTTCCACTCGGTCTCAGCGGCTGCAGCAGCAGAGCGTTTTGCTGCAGCCCTCTCTGTTCAGAGCGACCCACTGCCCGCGGCACCTGCCGATCGAGCCCCACTAAAATTTTGGAAATCTCAACTTCATTTTCGGTATCGATTGTCGATTGCGGCCGTCACATTGAGGTGCCGGCAAAAGCATTGGGGACATACATACCTACCTACAGCAAAATGTTCCCCGTTAAAGGGCTGAGCGTCTCAGCCGACAAGCTCAAGGTCGAGCCAGGCGCCATCGTGGGCACTGCCCCTGCTGCCCCAGCGCCTGCGTCGGCTCCCGCTGTCTCTTCTTCGAAACCATCCAAGAAGAGGAAGAGGCATGGCGGTGACAAGGACGTCAATGTTGATGCGTCCAATTTGGTAGATCTCTGGGAGAAGGTGATTGAGCAAAAGAAAGAGGGGGTTGCTGATGGTGTCAAGAAGCATGAGAATAAGCGGTTGAAGAAGGAACATGAGGGTCAGGGTGAGAAGCTGAGCAACAGCAACAACGATGGCAATCAGGGGGAGCGGAAGAACAACAAGAAGAAGAATAAGAACAAGAATAAGAACCAGGGAGAGCATGGCATTCAGGTTGCACAGAAGAAGGGTCCCAAGAAGGTTGAGGGGGAGGAGGACGAGGACGACAACAACGACGACGCCGACGAGTGGGAGGGCATTGATGAGGACGAGAAGCATGCTTCTTCTGAGAAGCCAACCCCCAAGAAGGACGACAAGAAGCAGCAACAGCTTCAACAACAGCAACAACAAAAGAAGCAGCAAAAAAACCAAGAAAAAGACAACCGCAATGGCACCACCTCCAACTGGCAACAGGACAAACCGCAGCCCAAGACGGCTACTCCCGCACCCAAACTAACCCCTCTCCAAGCCTCTATGCGCGAGAAACTCATCTCCGCCCGCTTCCGTCACCTCAACGAAACCCTCTACACTCGCCCCTCGACCGAAGCCTTCAAGCTATTCGAAGAGTCCCCCGAAATGTTCACCGAGTACCACGAAGGCTTCCGTCGCCAAGTCGACGTCTGGCCCGAGAACCCCGTCGATGTCTACATCAAGGAGATTAAAGAGCGGGCTAAGGTTCGGTTCGCTCCCAAGATTAGCGGGGGAGCGGAAGGGGGAAAGAGTTTGCCTCCGGCAAGGTTCCCCCTGCCGAGGGACCAAAAGACAAAGGTGTGCACGATTGCGGATTTGGGTTGCGGCGATGCCAAACTGGCGAAGACGCTCGTTCCTCTGAAACAGAAACTCCGTTTGGAGATTCACAGTTTTGACTTACAGACCGGAGGATGCGAGCTCGTCACGCGGGCGGATATCGCCAACCTGCCGTTGCCAGACAACTCCGTTGACCTGGCCATCTTCTGCTTGGCGCTCATGGGCACCAACTGGCTCGACTTTGTCGAAGAAGCGTACCGCATTCTGCGCTGGCGCGGTGAGCTCTGGGTGGCCGAGATCAAGTCTCGGTTTGCAGGCTCCCAGGCCAGAGTCAAGCAGCCCCCTCAAAAGAAGGTCGTTGCGCATAGCGTCGGCAAGCGCAAGAAGGGCTCTGCCCTTGCTGTCGCAGAAGAAGAAGAAGGCGATCCCGAACAAAACAACCTCGACCTTGCAGTGCACGTCGACGGCGACACCTCCAAGCTCAAGAAACCCCACGAAACGGACATTACCGCTTTCGTTGAGGCCCTAAAACGTCGCGGCTTTTTGCTCAACCGCGATTTTGGCGACAACTCCGTGGACATGGGCAACAAGATGTTTGTGCGGATGCACTTTGTCAAGGCGGCGGTGCCGACGAGGGGGAAGTGCGTTCCGAAGGATGGACAGGAAGATACTACTAAGAACAAGAAGGGGGGCAAAAGCCAAAACCGAAGTTTATTGAAGAGAAGGATGAACAGGAAGAGGTGAAGGATGAGGCGGCTGTGTTAAAGCCTTGTGTTTATAAGATTCGGTGAGAAAAGGGCATGGGGGAATAGGTGGGGGGAGAGGGGGGGAAGTGGGAGTATATGGATCAGCAGGACTGGGGTACGTTGCTCCTGACTCGGTCCCTTGCGAGAGATGTGATCGATGATCGGTAATAGCATGGACAGTCAAGAGGATGTGTTTTTTATGTAGGCAATAGGTATTGGGGAAAATAAAATGGGTTTTGTCATTAAATATATATATATATATATATATTACGAAAAAAAACTTGTTCCATGATAAGAGGTGAGGGTGGTGATCATGAGGCGTGTCTTGTATCAGAAATCTCTTGCCAGAGTTAGTGGTCAGAAGAACCAGGGTTCTTTTGAGTAACAAATCCAATCAACTGCACACTGAAGTTGAAGGAAACCTTACATCCATGAGAAATCCTCATTCAACAGCTCTAGCTGTCAGTGACCATGAATTTTAAGAGAGAGAGAGAGAGAGAGAGAGAGGCGAGCTCTTCAATTTATCCTTGTGACCATCGATCTCGTGAAGCGAACGCAACAAATGCCGGTTGCTGAATGCTACCGTAGATGATGATCCTCGGTTTATTGTCTACGTCTCTCGCTCATGTAATGTTTCCCCATCCTACCGCCTAGCCTAACCCACTTGTAAAAGAGAAAAGCCTATGCAACTGTGCCTGCCATTTACCATTTGTTTGTCTGACCTATCTGCCCAGAGTAGAAAAGAAAAAAGTTCTTTGATTAAAAGCCATTCCATGCATCCATTTGTTCTTTTTGTTCCATGTCTTTACTGTCTCGTTATCGAGCAACAGAGCAAACGTTCATCATCAGTCGTGTTGAACACCCATATGGTTCGCTCCCCAAGCGTCAATCCTGGAAGATCAAACTCGCTGCATACTCCACATTCCCACCCGTCGCCTCCAGCGCCTGAATGGCCCTCTGCTCCGACGCACCCAGCGCCATCAGCTGATCGATATGCTCTCTAGGGAACTGAGGCCGTGGTGGCGCACTTGGTCTTGCCGCTGCTTGTGATGATGATGGCCCGGCAGTAACAGCCCCAGACCGCTGCCCGATACTAGTCCCAGCCGGCCCAGGCACCGTCGGCTCACGATGGATCGCATCCTCCGTTTCCTTGGGGATATCCGCTTCGCCCAAGAAGGGAATCTCAACCCCTTGGATGACAAGCTTATCCTTCTTGAGATCGATACAAGCCTGGTGCCGGCGAAGCATGTCCAGGCCGAGCAGGAGCTCGACGGACTTGCCTTCCATGACGGTGAAAGAGCAGGGTAGGAAGAGAGGGCCGATCTTAATCTGCGCTGAGTGCACGCGGCCGATGATGTTGGCGGTGCCGACGCCGCGGGCTACGCCGGCGAATCGCTTGTCAACGAGGCGCATTATGCCACAGGCTTCGGCGCAGGACGGGGACATGATGGTTGCTTGGGCGCCGGAGTCGACCAGCGCTTTCACCTTGTAGCCGTTTACTTCGACCTCGATGTAGAGCATGTGGACGACGCCGAAGACTAGACGTCAAATGTCAGCTTTGGGACATGAGAGGGGAGGTGAAAAAAAAAAACAAATCACCTGGGGAGACCTACCCTCCGGATTATGCTCCATCGCATTCTGCAAGTTCTCCATGACCCTCTCCTGGCGAATGATCTCCTCAATCTTCGCCTGCGCCTCGGGATCAAAAGGATCCGCATTCAGCAGCGCGATCTGGCGCTGTCTCTCGGCGCGCTCCCTGCGCTCCCTCTCCAAACTCTCGGCATACATCCTTGCAAACCGCACGGGATCTTCCAACGCCGCCGCCAAATCAGGCCTCGTCCGGCTCAGCTCTGCCTTGAGGTTCGGATCGCCCAGAAGCTGCAGGCGGATCATCTCCGGGTCCTGCTCCATGTATCCTGCCTGTCTCTCAGCGGCAGATGGGCCGGGTCTACTCGACCCGCGCATGCCGCGCACGTGCAGGGCCAGCATGTCCCCGTCGGTCACGCCTAGCTCGGCGAGGGTCTTGGAATTTTGGTCCGGGGTCAGCAGGTTGCCGTTGTGGTAGAGGTGCTGGGCGGTCGGGTGGAAGCCCGTCTCGACTTGGATCGAGCTGCGGAGGGTTTCGATGGTCATTTCGGGGTAGACTTCCAGAGAGAGGAGGTCCGTGTCGTCGCCCTCAGGTTGGGGATCGGAGTTGGTGATGGTCAGGGTGATGCGCCTGGTTGGGGGTTAGGGGGTTAGTAGGGGGGGGGGGGGGATTTAGAGAAGGGGATTGAGGGTTGGATCATAGGAGGAAGAACTCACATCTTGGTTGGTTGGTAGTCTGGAGAGTTGATGTTGTGTTCAGTTGATGGAGGAGAAAGGGTCAGGCCAGACACAAGGCTGATATCTGAACTGTCGGTATGTGGTAGGTAGTTTGCCGAGGAGAAAGAAAGAAAACTGAGAGTCGAGTGTGTCTAGCTGTTGGTGGGGTGGGGGGAGGGTGGGAGGGAATCGAGGAAAGAAATGCGGAACAAACAGAGCAATCAATGCTTTGCTCTCCGGAAGCTATCTGCAGATCAGAAGATAAACACGGGCTTCGCTCACAAGTGTCAGCGTCGTCGTCGGATGACAACTTTGGTTGAACACCCAGGCCATGAACTATTTGAAACTGCTAGCCCAGAGCAACGAAACGCAACGCACGCCCTTACTCTCTTGAGACTACCTCAAGTAGGTAGGGAAGCTCCTCGTTCACTCAGAGGGACAGGTGGAGTGAAGGAGGGGCTGGTCCGCAGTGGTCCGCCGCAAGTGGAGCCTCTTTGGGGCCTGGGCAAAGAATCAAACGGCACAGGGGTGTTTGCCTCAGAAACATCGCTCAAGATGCGGGGTGTTTGGCTCCAGCGCCACGGACTGCGGTCCACGAGGAGGAGCTCGGCCAGTGGGAATTTGAACTAAGTGGTTTTTCTCGATCTTCTCTTTGCACTGTTGAGAATTCCGATGGAATTCATTGCAGTTGGCGATCGAATTATTGAACGGATTGTGTTGCAGAGACAAACTGTGAATGGAATTTTAAAAAATAAAAAGAAGTTCTCCAGATCAGCTTTTATCTAGGAGCAGCCCCGCCAAGCTCCAAGCATATCTCAAGCATGCGTCTGTCTATTCCTGGAGCTCATCCATGACAGAATGACAGAACATGGGCAGATCACAGGTCTGCTTCATCAGACAGCAGTGATGACGTGGGTAGTTCATACGGGTGAAGCTCCTGGTCCAGTCATCATAGCAAGCCTGGAACCCGCATAACTTGCCTCATCATACTCTTACACTCCCACCAGTCACAACTGCAGTCAGTCACCTGGCCTGGACTGGTCTTGCACGACACTCTGGCACTCTGGCACTTCCATCCATCCATCCACGGCATCGGCTAAAACAGGTGTCATCCGCACGACGAGACATTGAGACATGCAGGCCGGGACCGCGGAGAATTTGGCCTGGGCGGCGTGTATGTGTTCTTGTGTGCCTGTGACTGCCCAGTTCTTCAACGGCTTATGGCTTGGTTTGTGATCAATGTCTGTGTTCATGTCCTTCCACGTCCTGTCCATTTGTGCGAGTTTCTCATGGAATTCACTTTCTGTATGGGTGTGTCTGCTGGGGCATTTGCTGCCGATATTGCATGGATGGAGGAGGGTAACTACCCGTCTCGTCCCGGGTTTCTGGTACCATCCATCCATGGCGAGCCTTCTAGGGTAGTAAGGCTAGCCCTGCTGCTATCCTGCTGCCTTGAGCAGCTCGATGCTGGATGCACGGAAGCATTCAGTCCTGGTGTGGCATCTTTAGAACTGGCACCTGACTTAGACTTCGATGGTGTTCTGCCGTCAAGGTTCTTGTCCCTTACACAGTGAACCATTCAACACATGCTGTATTGAGCTTTTACGTACCCAGGCAGGAGAGTGCATTGCAGATTATCTCAATACCCCGCTGCCTTATCTCGAAATTCAGTCAAAACGACGCAAAGTTCACTAGAAGGGCATGCTCTATGATTGAGCCACTGTGCTCTACAACTTTCGCAGGTTGTGGAGGGTAATAGTATTTTTTTTTATTGCCTGACGAATAGCATTTGCTTGACACTGGTCCTTGGACCTGCCTTCCCAAACCCAATCCCAACCACCATCTGCAGACCATCTTGGCTCGCATCATCTAATCATCAGAAGTCGGTTGCCAACCTCCAACGGCTTCAAAATAAACAGAACGCCGAACCCTTTTACTACCATCAACTTGCTACCATAACCAGACGGGCAGAACGTAGCGACACCCGCGGCAGCTAGGTATACTATTTATTTCGGGGAAGCTACCGTACCTCGCAGGAGTAGCTAGTCTCAAACTAAGCCAGTCCAGAGTCCAGACCTGCCCTTAGGTCCTGTCTGGTCTGCCCCTCATCCACAGCGGCTCGCCCCTCCTCAACTGTGGCCCTCCCATCCTCGCAACCTCAGCCTCGCTCGGCTCAAAAAGCTGAGGCTAAGCTAGGGCAATGGTTGTTTCCGACAGTCCCGCCGCGGCAACGGCTTCCGAGGCGGGCGACTCGGCCCGGGCCAGCAACAGCAGCATCAACCTTTCCGCAGCGCCCACGTTCCCGCACGAAACGCCACACTGTCCTGGTCATGATGTTACCACTGCCCCTGACAGTGAGACGAACAACGTCAACACAGCAGTGGTACCCGATCTAACAGCCACAACGGACCCCGACTCGGATGCCGTCGACGAGACGTCGGATGTCGACGGCGACTTTGCCACGCTGCAGAAGATGTTGAGCCAGAAGCGCCGCGCGGCCAAGGACAGCCCCGAGGCCCGGCTGCAAAAGGCGCTGCCCTTTGTCCCGACCTTTGCGCCCAATATTCGACCGCTGACCATTGCCGATGTGGATGCCTGCGTTGCGCTCGAGAATGCTGCCTTCCCTAACCCGGAGCATCGCGCTACTCGCGATAAGGTAGCTTCTCTCTTTAACAAGCCCCTCATAGCTTAAGCAATGGCTAATGCTTTGACACAGTTCGAATACCGCCTAACTGTCTGCCCCGAACTCTCGCTCGGCGTCTTCATCACCATCGTCCCCTCGCAAGCCCACTCCTTCTTCGGTGACGCTACCACTGCTGCCGAAAAGCTCGAAACCCTGCCCTACGCCCGCCCCGTCGAGACCGACCGTGCAGACGGCGCCGTCAGTTTGTTACTTGCACACATCGTCTCGACGCGCTGCCGCGGCGCCATCATCACGGACGCGGATATGGCCGTGCCCGACGGCTGGCGCTCGCTGAATGGGAAGTCCACGGAGGTCGGGCATCAAGAGACTGCGGGAACGGTCGGGCTGCATTCATTGGCGGTGTTGCCCAGGCTTCAGAGGTGTGGCATTGGGCAGTTAATTATGAAGGCTTTTCTGGATCAGATGCGGAATATGGGGTTGGTGGAGAGGGTGGCGTTGATTTGCCAGGAGGTGGGTGAGCGCCTGTTCCGTGATTGCAGGGTGTACAGTGTTTGAGAACTTGAGAGGCTAACAAGGGTGTTGCAGAACCTTATTTCGTATTATGAAAGGACGGGATTTAAGCACGCCGGAGAGAGTAGAGTTAGGTATGGGGGTGGTGGCTGGCATGATATGGTGAGTGTAACTATCCCCTGCGACTCTGTTAATCATAGTATCGCTGCTAATCGGCCCAGGTATATGACCTCCCGCGCCAGCCGGCCAAACCAGGCCTGGCTCTCTAGGAGAGAGAGGTTCAGGTCGACGGTACTGATTCACCGCCGGATATTACGATTGAGGTGTCTTTGGATCCCCCAAGTATCAAAGTTGACGGCGTTGAAGTTGATCAAATCGAACTGAATGTGCCACGGAAATAGACTAGGCACAAGGAGTAAACTCCTAGTCAGCGAAGATGCAGCGGATAACAGTAACGCTGCTTTTTGTTTTGTGTTTTTTTTTTCCCTCGACTTTTCATACCCTACTAAACAGATTTGTTGTGTTTTTTTTTTTCCTGATATTTGTTTCGGGCTGTTGGGCTGCCGGATCGAGGGTCATGGTGGATAAAACCAACCTACCTACCTTAGATATTAGGTGCTTAGGCAGTATCAAAACCCAAAAAGTACATACCCCTCCTCAGAGGGTAGGGCCAATTCTTGAGCCCCTCTAACCGCCTGGTCTATTCTAACCATGATATCAAGTGCGTGTACGAAACAATTGAGGTTACGCTCTGTCTACGCCCGCTCAATCTGTAGCCTTATACTTAGCCCTATACTCCTCCGTCTTCCTAATATCCTCCTCCGACGCCAGCCCCTTCATACCCGCAATTATATCATCCAGCGTCAAAATCGCAATAATCGGCAACCCATACTCCTTCCTCAGCTCCCCAATCGCGCTCGGCATCGGCTTGCTATCATCGCCATCCGGCGACGGCAACTTCTCCTGCCGATCCAGCGCAACCACAATGCCCGCCACTTCGCCTCCCTCCTTCTGGATCTTGGCAATCGCCTCCCGCTTGGCTGTGCCGGCGGTAATCACGTCGTCAACAATCAGCACCCTCTTCCCCTTCAGCGGAGCGCCGACAATATTCCCCCCCTCCCCATGATCCTTCGCTTCTTTCCGATCAAAAGAATAACACTTATCCCCAAATTTTTCGGGGTTCAGTTGTCCCAAACGGATGGTAGCTGCTGTGGCTAGGGGGATGCCCTTGTAGGCCGGGCCGAAGATAACATCGAAGTCGCCGAGGGCGCCCGAAGCACGGGCCTCGGCGATGGCCTTTGCGTAGGCAGTCGCGATCGCCTCGAGAAGGTCGGCGCGGTAGAAGTCGCCGGCGTTGAAGAAGTATGGAGAGATGCGCTTGGACTTGAGCTCGAAGGAGCCGAATTTGAGGACACCGCCTGTGATGGCGGCGTGGAGGAAGGCTTGTTTGTAGTCGGGAAGGGCAGACATTTTGATCTTGGTCAGGAACTTTCCTGGTGAATTTTCTCGGGGGAAGGTGTTCAATGGAGGGGTTAAAAACGACGACGAGGATGGTGAACTTGCAGTTGCTGCCCCTCCATATCGTCGCCCGTCAACTCTCCATGGTGGGGCACGGCAGGTGAAATTTTGGCGGGGTCACCTCGGCGTCCCTTGCCCCCCCCCTCCCCACCTCGAAAAAAGCTTGGGGCTTCGCCTCTTGTGCTCGCAGGCGACGAAATCTTGGCAAGTGGATACTTGTGGCTCTCACCGCCCTTCTTATCTTATCGATCGACAGCCGTGCTCACTGGCTGGGCAGAAGTGCGGAACGAGGAAAAAAAATATTTCGAGGGGGGGGAAACAGACAGACTGAGAGGTCATTGTGATTTGAGAGCGCTGCCGGCATATCGAGACACCGCCCCGCTGCCAGGCTGCTGCTCCTCCGTCTGTTTTGCAGCAACCTCTTTTTTTTTCGTTCTTACTTTTCAGGGACAACAGCTATAGACAGTTGCCCGCCGCCATGACTGGGTGGAAAGACATCCCTCCTGTGCCGACGTAAGAATCGCATTGTCCACAGGAATTGCGGAAGTTTTGAGACTGACGACCTCGACAGGGCGCAGGAGTTTATTGATATCGTTCTTTCGTAAGTCTTGGACCGGCAATCAAATTGCATGTTTAGCGGGCTTTGACTGACAGAATAATAGCCGGACTCAGAGGCGACTGCCCACTCAAAGTGCGTTGACTAAAAGGGTGCGATAGTGATGTATTAGGATCGTTGACTAACATAGATCTGTCTAGTCCGTCCTGGATTTAAGAGTAAGACGTCCTGTCGCAAGGCTCAAAAATACAGCCAGATAGTCGCTGACATGGTGCGAAACAGTTAGCAGAATTCGGGCCTTCTACACCCGCAAGGTCAAGTCAGTATCACCGTTGCCATCGACCACACCCCAAACCAGGGGCTAACCCCCCTCCAGGTTCACCCAGGAAACATGCAGCGAGAAGTTCGGCGCCATCATTTCCAGCTTCCCCGTCCTCAGCGACCAGCATCCCTTCCACCGCGACCTGATGAACATCCTCTACGGTGAGCCGTCCTGGCCTTTATGGGAGGATTAGGGCAGCAATTAACCTTGGCGCTTAGATGCCGACCACTTCAAGGTTGCCCTCGGCCAGATCTCGACCGCCAAGAACCTGATTGAGACCATCTCCCGCGACTACGTGCGCCTGCTCAAGTATGCGCAGAGCTTGTACCAGTGCAAGCAGCTCAAGCGGGCCGCCCTCGGCCGCATGGCCACCCTGATCAAGCGCCTCAAGGACCCCCTCATTTATCTCGACCAGGTCCGCCAGCACTTGGCTAGGTTACCCGATATCAACCCCACGACTCGTACTCTACTTGTTGCTGGCTTCCCTAATGTCGGCAAGAGTTCGTTTGTGCGCTCGGTCACACGGGCTGATACCCCTGTTGAGCCGTATGCTTTCGTAAGTGTGCTGCTTCTGGCTGAAATACAGAATCAATGCTGACAGTTGAACAGACAACGAAGAGCTTGGTACGTGGCCTAACCGGGCAAATCACGAGATGATATACTGACAGCAGGGAAGTTCGTCGGTCACCTCGACTATAAGTACCTTCGCTACCAAGTAATAGACACTCCGGGAATGTATGTCACCCCTGAGGATCCCCACAGGCACAGCAGCATGCTAACTTCTGCAGTCTGGATCATCCTCTTGAAGAGATGAATACCATCGAAATGCAGAGCGTCACAGCCCTGGCGCATCTCCGTGCTGCCGTCCTCTACTTCATGGACATCAGCGAGCAGTGCGGCTTCTCGCTCAAGGCCCAGATCAACCTGTTCAAGTCCATCAAGCCGCTGTTCGCCAACAAGATGGTCTTCATCGTCCTCAACAAGATGGATATCAAGAAGTTCGAGGAGCTGGACCCCGAGATGCAGCAGGAGATCAACGACCTCACCAAGTCCGGCGAAGTCGAGATTCTGCGCGCATCCTGCGCCACGCAGGAGGGTGTCCAGGAAGTAAAGAACCACGTCTGTGAGCGGTTGCTGGTCGAGCGAGTCTCTCAGAAGCTCAAGGCAGGCACCCACAGCAACGGCAACATCGGTACCCGTCTGCAGGAGGTCATGGCCCGCATCCACGTCGCCACGCCCATGGACGGCACCACCCGCGAGACCTTCATCCCCGAGGCCGTCAAGAACCTCAAGAAGTACGACAAGAACGACCCGAATCGGCGCGTCCTGGCCCGGGACATCGAGGAGGCCAACGGTGGCGCGGGCGTCTTCAACGTCGACTTGCGCAAGGACTGGATCCTAGAGAATCCCGAGTGGAAGTACGACAAGATCCCCGAGATCTTCGACGGCAAGAACGTCTACGACTACATCGACCCGGACATCGACGCCAAGCTGCAAGCTCTCGAGGAAGAAGAAGAGCGCCTCGAGAAGGAAGGCTTCTATGACGAGGACGACGACCTGCCCGACGAGGAGGAGGAAGAAATTCTCCAAAAGGCCGAGTATATCCGCGAGCAGCACGCGCTCATCCGCAACGAGGCCAAGATGCGCAAGTCCCTCAAGAACCGCGCCATCATCCCCCGCAAGGCGGTCAAGAAGCCCCTCTCCCAGCTCGAGGACCACCTCGACCAGCTCGGCGTCGACACCGAGGCCATCGGTCTGCGCGCCCGCGCCCAGACGGCGCAGTCCTCGCGCGGCCGCTCGCTCGTGCGCTCCCGTGGCACCACCGCCGATCCGGACGCCATGGATATCGACGACGGTGCCGCTTCGGCCAAAGAGAGGCTTGCTCGCTCGCGCAGCCGCGCTCGATCGGTCGCCGCTACCAACCGTCTGCAGGACGGCGTGCAGGGTACGACGCTGCGGTCGAAGGCCGAGAGGCAGGCCAAGCTGGCGCAGAGAAAGATGAATCGCATGGCCAGGCAGGGAGAGGCGGATCGGCATATTCATGCTTCGATGCCGAAGCATTTGGTACGTCCCAACCTTTGGAGGATTGAAGTGAAGTTAGTTCTGACGTTGTGTGTGTGTACAGTTCTCCGGCAAGCGGACGATTGGCAAGACAGACCGTCGTTAAGTTTTCACACATGCTCGATTTTGGTTCCGTTATGTTGGGGTTGACTGGCAGGTTGGTTGGGTGGAGGGTTTACATCTGGCAGGCAGTAGTGGTGGTAATGATGCGATACCTACATACATACATCAATCATGAACCCATATTCTCGCATACTCTAGGGGTGTTGAACGACACAAAAAGGATGAAATACCATGAAGGTGAAGAGGATCAGGGAAATTAACATCGAGGAGAGAGGAACAACCGGGAGGGGAAGAACAGGTCCAGAAAGGCTTTGGGGGTGGGGGGAAGGGGGGAATCAAAGGAAAAAAACAAAAAGAGGGGGGGTAAGAACGGCTACTTTTCTCGTATGTTTGGTTTTGTAACATGGCGCTCTGGGTCGATTATATAGTATGCTATTACATATGGTTTTCGTACAGTTTGTTCTCGTTGCTCTTTGCTTGGCCGTGTGTCCATTTCTCAAGAGACATGCTCTTTTTTTCTGCTCCTATGCTGATTGGACCTCAGACGGAGCCCTTCCCACAAGTAGGTACCGTACGTTAGGGGAACTCGAGCCTGGTAGCAGGATACAGAGACATACTCTACAGCAAAGTTTTGAAACGAATGGGTTTCATGGGTTGTCTCTTCTACCCAGAATCAAGGATCATTGCTTAACTGTCCACCTCTGAATCTAGAAGCACTTAACCAACTAAAAGTGGCCACGATTATGTTTCAAATCATTATTATATTCGCATACGCGAACAGTATATCCATCCATCCCTTCGCCCACCGACCAGGCGAACAAGGCGTAACATCCATCAAGTAACTCCCACTTCGACAGCTACCACTTAATTCTCCCCGTCCAACCCCCATTAGAGGAACCCTTTCCCCTCGTATATATATAGCTTACTCTGCAGCAACCTGGATCCCCTCCCTAAGCCCCTCGACAACGAGCTCCTCGCCCGACAGACGACGATAGATATCCTTGACATCGTCAGTAGTGGTCTCGAAGTGCGAGGTGGCGTCGTAGCTCTTGGAGATGTAGATGTTGTCGCTGCGGCCGTCGCTGATGGGCTCGTAGAGGGGGATCGGCGGGCCCTGTTTTACCCATACCGTCAGCACAAATTATTTTCGTGTAGGGAAAAAAAAAAAAAGGGGGGGGGGGGAGAAGAAGATGAGGGACTCACCATGAACTGCTCCTCGATCTTGCCCAGGCGCTCCAGACCCGGCTGCAGCTCAAGGTGGTGGTTGGCCGAGGTCTCGGCGATGGTGGACACGATGGCGATCCAGTAGCCCTTGGGGCAGACGTTGTGGGCCGAGGAGACGCAGGCGATGTAAATGTCTACGTATTATCACGAGGGTCAGTGGAGCGCCATTCCAGCAAGCGAAATGAGCCCTTAATATAAATGAAGACCTACCATTCTTCCGACCAACCTGGCTCTGTGGAATAATAATCTGGCACGAATCGCTATCGTTGGTCTGGGCAATAGGGTGCTTCAAGATGCAGATGGCACGCAGGACATGGCCAACGACGCGCACCTTGCCGGGGAAGTAGCTCGGATCGCCGAGAATCATCTTGGCACGCGTCTCGAACTTCATCTCGGGCTCCATGCCGCGCATGGTAGCCTTGATGCCGACTGCCTTCTCGCCCTCGTAGATGATCTCGTCGACGCTCGTGTTGAGCATGTAGGTGCCGCCGTAGATGGCGCTAAGGCGCGCAAAGCCCTGCGGCAGCTCGCCCAGCCCGTACAGCGGGTAGATGTAGGGGGACTTGCCGTAGCGCGCCACGCTGTTGCCGTACAGGCGCAGCCGCTCGATCGCCTCGGGCGCGCCGCCCGGGACGTCCATGTAGTCGTCAGTTAGGTAGAGCGCCATGGCGTGCCCGCAGAAGTCGCGGGTCGGGGCTTCCAGGCCGAACTTATCGTAGACGTCTCTCATGGTGCACGTGCTCATGTCGAGACCTGGGGGAGGTTAGCGGCTGTGGCAGAGCCAACTGGGAGTTTCACAGATAGCACACCCACCCTTGTGTGTCGAGGGATCCTTAGGATCAAACTGGCCGATCCACTCGATAAACGTCTTCATGCGACGCTTCTCGAAGATGCCCATCAGCGGGCTCTTGAGGGCCTCGGCAGCATCTGACGGCACCTTGGCCACAGTGGCCTTGGAGCCAGCGCCCTGCTGGACATAGCTACCGGCGACTTGCTTGAACTCGAGGTAGCGGGTGACGTCAGTGGAGACGAGGATGTTGGTGAGCTCGCCCGACGACATGAGGAACTTGGGGATGAGGTCGATGTTCCAGTCGTTCAGGCGGCCGTACTGCTTCCACGGTTCCGTGCCCGGCTGGTAGTTGCCATACTTCTTGAAGAGCTGTCGTGGGGAATTGTGTCAGCTGTGTGTATGCGGGGGAGCTTGGAGCCTTCGTTAGGCTCGTTCAGGGGCATACCTGCTCGAGGTTGAGGGAAGCCGCCTCACTATGGGAGATAGGTCAGCTTTTCTGTCTACTCGTTGATGGATGGAGGTAGAGGACCGACTACACACCCGCCATAGTGGTCGTTGCGGTCAATGTGCAGCACCTTCTTCCCCTTGACGGAGAGCACACCCGACAGGATGCACTCGGTCAACCCTGTGCCCAGCACGATGGCGTCGTACTCGGGGGCAATCTCGTCGGCCATGGTGGAGGATGTGCGTGCCTGTGTGTATGCCGAAGGGAGTGGTGGTAGTGTACTGTGTAGAGTTGAGGTGCGGTCGAGAAGTGGATGTCCCGTTGGGCTGCTAGACACAGGAGTGGTTCAGGTCCAGGAGCTCCCACGCTAAGGTCGGTCAGTGACCGGGAGGGATGGTGGAGGTAAGAGGAAGAAACTGGCGGACAGGTAGGACGACAGAAAGGTCACGAAACCAAAAGATTGCACACGGGGTTCTGTCCAGCTGCAATCTTTTCGCGTTGGTATTTTAATGCACGTTAATTTGGCTTATTTGTCCTTGTTCCAGCTTATGGCAGGGCAATAAGTAAGGAATCAGGGAGAGGCCGATCCCTGGGGGCCCAGCGGAGTGTTGGCGGGTTGCTTGGCTGCTCTCAGCGCGCGCTGCGTGGTCCAGTTGCTGTGGTGCAGGCCCTGTGGTGGTGGGTGGGGGGGGGGAGTTTCTCTCTTGGTGAGGGGTGGAGTTGCCCCGCTCTAGACCCCTTGTCCCCTCTCACCCAGTCCCCTTCCTTGGGAAACGCCCAGAAGCGGTCAACTGGATCAACTGCCGCCTGCGAATCTCTGATTCGCCTATGATTCGATGCTTGGCCTCAGGCGGTCTGGGACTGGTCTCGTCTGGGTCTCGACTGATTTTATCATTTATTAATGCCGACGCCGTCCAACTTGAACAAGTGTTGAACAGCCCAAAGCGCAGCAAAAGTAAGTCGTGACAGCCCGCTGGATGACTTGTGGATGACTTGTCCTCTGGCAGCCAACCGATAACCAAGGAGAAAATGAAATGCCGCCTTTCCTCTAAAAAGTGGCATATCATCATGACATTTTCGGTTCATGATTCATGGCTCACACCTACCTACACATACCTCCCAGAGACCCCAGTGCCAGAATGCCAATGTTCCGCCCAACGTGAAAATGTTCAATACACTATCTGTACAGGTATATGTCGAAGCCAACGGCGCCCATGTAACGGCGTCAAGTCGTCGTAGAGGTGGAAAATATATGTATGGTACACGCGCATCCAATCTGAAGCCTCTTATCTCCCATAAGGCCAGATGGATGTCCGAGACGCTCGCCCTCCGCGTTGCTGCTTCTCCCCTTTATCTATCACCCCTATCATTCATGAAAGTGTGTACTCATAACCTGGTCTCAGCTTGCTGCGACTGCGAGGCTGACGTGGTTATCATGGCCGGGTCAACTGCCGCTTCAACAGCAGCTTTCTCAGCCTGCCCCTCCGCAGCCTGCGGCTCGCCCTCTGCCGGCTCCTCCGATTCCAGGTATTGCCGCGGCGTGAAGGCCGGGCCGTTGCCAGACAGATCTACCTCGGGATCGTTCTCCGCCAGCTTGCGCGCATCCTCCCACAAATAGAACCGTTCCGTTAGGACGTGCTTAATAGCGCGCATGGTTGAGCGCACCTGTGAGATATTCACTTGTCAGCACTCTGCTCTTCCACACAATGACTTCTCCAAAGAAGATGATGAAGCCCAACTCACCGTACGATCCCTCGCTTCAGCCTCCGCTTCACCAAACCCTAACTTCTGCTTCCTCCTCTCCCAATTGGCCGTAGCAATGCGATTCCTCTCCTTGACACACACCCACCAAAGCTTGTGCAAATCCTCCCAGCTCTTATGCCTCAACTCCTCAACCGTCCAGGCCCGCCCATGCGCAGCATCCTGTTCCGGCGTCTGCACGATCTTCTTCCGGTCATAGAAGAACTCCCACAGTCCGTGGTTCGGATCCGTCTCGATCGGCGGCAGGGCTTCCTTGGAAACAGGCCGCGGCAGGGGCTCGTCGGACATAGAGAGACGCCAGCGTGTGCCGGTCCGGCGGATGGCGGACTCGCCGCGCTTCTTGCTGTAGTCCCGGTTGTCGCGGGCGCCGGGGTACTTGTGGCGCTTGAGGAGGACGGCCGTCGTGGAGATAGATGCAATCTGCTGGTGCGGGAGGAGAGCGGACAGTGTCTGACGGGGGGTGACTGCTGCCGTGGCTGCCGTCGTCGTCGTTGAAGATATCCTGCCGAGGGCGCCCATAGCGGGGCGAATTGCGGCCGAGGAGGCCATTGGTGGTGAGGGATGAGGGACAGGAAGGGGGGAAACGGTCGAGGGGATCTAGACGTAGGGGAGAGAAAGAAAGGGCTTCGCGTCACCCCCTAGTCGAGTAATTGGCGTGGACTGGAACTGTCCGTTTGTCCTCAGAAGCCAGTGATACTGGACCGGCAGCAACACCTCTCAGGTCGAGGTTCGCAGCAGTCAGTCCCACGCCCACGCTCTGCAGTTGCACACTCTGAAAATTTGGGTGGCCCGAGCGTCTTGCTTCCGTTGAGCCACCTGCAGCCTTGCAGCCTTGCAGCCTCGCCGGGTCGACCCGAGAGAGTCTCGGCAGCTGTTCACAGCTGGTGGCAGCTGATGGGATAAGTTCACCTCGCTTCCCCGTTCATGTGCGGCAGGACGACGACTTACAACAAGTTCATCATTCAATTCTGGGGCCCATCATAAAATAATGTCCCTGAGAGTCTGAACCTCCCATTTGGCCTACACAGACCCATAATATATTATTTACCAAATCAGGATGTCCCTCTTTCAGTATGTTTCTCGTCTTTCGCTCTCCTATCCCTCCTGAAATTTCTCGACCCCTTGAGCCTGACCTCAAACACACAATAACCCACTAACTGGTCCCAAGGTCCTATCGCAACCTCTCACCCAAAGCTCGTCTAGGCGTGGGGCTTGGCCTTCTAGCCTGGGGGTTTTTGGGCCTCAACTATGGCGATGAGATTGGCGAGAAACTTTTTGGTCTCAAGCCCACCGAGCAAGACAAAGCCGAGTTGGAGCGGCTCAAACCCAAGATCCATGTCATGCCTAGGGAGAAGTGAACCACTCTGCCTGTTCCTTGCTCGTCAGACGAGCTTCAAGAGTATATGTTGCTTACGATTTATTAGTGAATCATCGTCAAGTCGAAGTGGATGATGGAGTGCTTGGATGGTATGCTGATAGTGTTCAGGTCAAGGTCTGAAAAGGAGTGACATGGTGGGCTGGGCAGCCTGATAATGGTGCCCAAGGTTTTAATGACATATACCTCATGTACAATATCATGCACATTTCCATGACGCATACTAGATGGAGTGGTCCAATAAGTTTGGAAGAGAGTCTTTGAGCATGTGCCATTTACTCAAATGCTCGATCACAGGTGCAGTTAGGGCTCAAGACTGTCCAAGATGGAGGAGACAGCTGCGTTCAGAGGTTCTTGATATGAAGGGTCAGGACTTTGGGCAGTATAACCCTCGAGCAATCGCAGCTCGAATACAGACACAGATCTACGGCGAAGACCATCAGTCTATACCAGAATCCTTGTTCTCAAGGCCTAGCAGGTTGATATCATAAGGAATCGCCAGAAAAACAACATGGTAGGTAAACAGAGTAAGCTAAGCGTATAATGGAAGGGAGAAGACAATGTACATCACACTCAACACAATATCCGGACCCTTTTTCTTCTCAGTGTTCCATGTCTCTAAGCACGCAACAGTCTTTTTTTTTCCATATTTTTCCCATGCCTTCCTTGCCGACCATACCATCATTCACCGAGACAAAGTCCAGTTGGTTAAGTAGGTAGCAGGCAGTGAGGCGCTGAGAGAAATGTGAAAAGGGAGCAGCCGCAGCAACAAGCATACTGAGACATACATACACCACATGAGCCAACTGCCTTCATGCCGAAAAAGAGCAAGTTGGTAGGAAGGTAGCAAAGAAGGTTTGGAAAACAAGGCAATCCGATCTGGTCAACTAGAATAACACAACGAAGGAAACGAGTAATACGTAATTTCGTCTCTTCCATTACCAAAAAGATTACCCCGTCAATCGTGTCGTTGACTTTGTTCCATCGGTCAAGAGCAATAGAGACGAGAGAACTTTTTTTTCGCTTTTCCCGATGTCAAAAACCCTAAACCACATACACTCACATGCACGCGCAAGATCAAGAAAAAAAAGGAGAACCGGAAAATAGAGACGCATGCACACAACCTGCCACTCTTTTGTTGTTCACTTCTCTCGGTCTATCTGCTGCTGCTGCCATTTGTTGTCGTTGTTTTGTTTGTGGATTGTGGGAGTAGTAAGAAAAAAACCTCTCTAATGCAATAAGTAGCCGTTAAGAAATCTATTTATTCACACCCCAACCCAACCATCGTTGATGCAAGCAAACAAGCCACCGTGTGCCAATCTTATGAAGGAGATGCAACAGGAAGACTTTTTGCCAATATGGATCTTTTTTTACTTTTTGTTACCCCCGGAGAGCGAGAGAGAGAAAGAGAGGGAACCAAAGAGATCGGTTGCACGCACGAACCCCTTTCTTTAGACAACATTGACGGGAGCTGGGAAAAAAGCATGATCAAAGAGGGAAAAAAAGAGAGTTAAAATAAGATGCCAAACAGGTACCCCACACACGTTTAGATAATGGTAAGGGAAAGACGACTGGAAATGCCAGAGGAGAAACGCCGGTGATGCAGAGGGAGATTGTGGCCCCAACATATTAGTGTAGGAATACCCGCGTCACATCATGGTTTCTGCGACGAAGCACGCTCCCTAAGCGGCTACGACAGCTGATGAAGGTTCGAACGACGAAAGTGGCCGAAATAATTGTGTCATGTCGAGTATCATATCCCCAGATGCCCCATAGGATGCGTCAATCGCCCCAACCGAACCAAGCTCCTCTCCGCGCGAATAAGCATCCGCGATCACATTTTGCTTTGCCGATTTCAATAATTGAAAAACGTAAGGAAACCGCTGTTCCGGTGCCGCCTGCAAATCTGCCGCCCGCATGTTCTTGAGTAGGTACATAGCCAACCAATAGAAGTGAATGCCGTCCCGAGTGAAGCCATAACGGTGAGGATTAGGATTAAGTGCCGCAGTGGCTGCTTGAGGAGAAAACTGCACAGACATGTCATAATCCCAATTGGCCTTGAACTTATCGAGCGCAGTCTGAAATGTCTTGAACGACTGCGCATCCAGCAAATTGGACCCAGGGTCGACTGGCGTGGCTCTGCCGCTGTTGTTTGCACTTGCGGTGCCCTGAGCCCCCGCGAACCAGGCATTGTTGGTAGGGATAGGCGTGCTCGAGCGGTTGATGATGGCAGAACCGCCTTCCAACCAGGCCTTGCGCATGAGGGAAAGCAGCGCATGAATTATGATGAACTTGCCAAATAGGTTGGTTGAGCCGGGCTGGATCTGGATATTGGGGTCGAGGAGAGCCTTGAGAGCCATGTGCAGCTGGGGCTGGTTCCATCTACCAGTACCGTCAGGATTAAGAAGCTTGACGGCCTCAGGACCGCGGAGCCCGAGAGCCTTCGCACAATCTTCAGCGGTCCGAGCTTCCCAAGCAGCATCATCTGATGGCAAGGGAAGGCGAATCTCGAAAGGGTCAAACTCCGGGCCAATATTGAAATAGAGGCCGAGGGCTATATCATAGGTGAAGATCATGTACATGGTACGAATGCGCTTCTCCTGCTCGACCCAGCTGAGCCAGTCAAACGGGGTGACGGCTGCGCTCTGGAGAGTGAAATCAGGGTGATGGACGGTACTATGCAGCGTGCCATTGGTCACCAGGCTCAATAGGCCAGCCTTCCGGGCGGACGAGGCGATGAGAGGGAACACCTTGCGCGCCTTGTCGCGTTGCTCAGGGGTGCCGTGCCATGTGAACAAGATCTGGGTGAGCATGATAGCCTGTAGCTCTTCGAGATCTGTCTTGTTGCTGCCAAACAAGGTCCACTCGTACTGCGGGTCCGCGCTTCCGTTTTGCAGAAGAGATGCAAACATGCGAGAAGAGCTCTCGAGGGCTGCTTTGAGCAGCTCCATGACTTCACGGAGGTTGGCAGAAGAGATCCGGTTAGCATAGCAGGCGCCTACGCAGCACATGGCAGCAACAAGGCCGATATGCGCCTCGAGCGCGCGGAATGTGGGAACATGCAGAATGGACAAGTGGGCATGGAAGTTAGTATAACCTAGCAGGTTGGCCTGGACATCATCGGGCTGGAAGAACGAGTCGAGAAGGGCAGAGACGGGAGAGGTAGCGGCAGCGGGAGAGGAACGTAGAAAGTCGAGGATCTTGGCGGAGAGATGCTGGTACGGGTTCGGGAAGGACGAAGGAATGCCCCAATCAAGCAAGGGGGAGGAGGTCGAGGCGTCGGCGGTCGTCGAAATGTCGCCAGAGGTCGTGCTGACCGGTCGGGGCGCACAGGCGCCGGGGTTAGGCTCGTGAGGTTTGAGTGTTACGGTCTGCATCTGTCCCTGTCCGATATTAGGAGGGTTCGCGTAGGTATAGGCAGTGTGCGCACCCTGGAACATTTGAGACCAATCGGTCGAGCCCGATTGATTGAACATGGGCATTCCATTTTGGCTCTGAGGCATGCTGTAGTTGGCCAGTTGGGGGTTGATATTGGCGGTCATGTTGTTGGCCACTTCGCCGCTGCTGTAAGTCTGCTCGAAGCCGCCCGGGCGCGTCGTCGCGGGGGGCATGACGGACGCGGGTATGTTTCTCCTATCGCGGTTCGCGTCGTCGAGTCTGTTCATGCTGCTAGATCTCGAGAGCTGGCTCTGATCGTTGGCAAGGTTGTTCATCCCATCAGAAGCGGGAATAAGGCCAAACGGATGAACCATTCCGTCGGCAGGCATGTTTCCCATACCGTTAATATGATTCACATCGCCTTCAGTGCCCATAGCCTTCTGCTGAGCAGCAGCATTCTTCTTAACATGCGCTTGAGGGTGGGACAGGTGACTTGCTCCAGTCGGGTTGCCGCGGCGCACAGAACACTTGATGAAGTGACGCTTGAGGATATCGCTGCGCGAGAACGTATCGTGACAGAGCACGCACATATACGGGCGGTCGCCGGTGTCTGCGAGGGAAGAGTTGGTCAAGTCGTTGTCATGGTGTTTTTTTTAAGGGGAGGAAGGGGGGGGGAGTGGGAGAGGATATCAAGTCTCAACCAAAACCAATCACAACGTGTATGCACAGAGGGGGCACAGGGAACCACTTACGTCGCAGGAGATGGCGCTTGAGGTGCTTCGCGTGCAGGTAGGTCTTGGTGCAGTGGGGGCACGGGAACTTGCCGTCGGCATCCTTCTGCGGGATCTGCGTCTTGGCTGCGGGAGAACCAGCCGGGGGAGCGGCGGGTCTGCCGGGGGCGCTGGGGAGAATGCCTCTCCGGCCTTGGGTTCCGACGACGTGGGTCGGCTGCTCACCCTCCGGAAGCATGGAGGTCTGGGGCATGAGTGGGGCCTGGCCGTACGGCGAGCTCATGCCGGGCTGGGTCCCCATGACGCCACCGGCGGGCATGGGACGGAGCACGGGTGGGGCGCGACCGCTGGTCGGGGCCGGAGCGGGAGCAATGGGCTGCGGATGTGACGCAGCCGTGGTGGTCTGCGGCAGCATGGTCGAAGATGCGCCCGGATAAGGCTGCTGAGGATAGGTGTTGTTGCCCAGGATGGGATAGGTCGCGCCGCGACCGGCGTTCTGCGGAGGCGGAGGCGGGTAGCTCGCCATGTTGCCAGAGCTGGTGGGAGTGTTGGGGGTGCCTGGAGTCCTGGGAGTGTGGGGATAGCTGCCGTAGGGCGGCTGTTGCATAACAGGATTGCTCGGCTGGAGAGGAGGAAGAGTCTGCGGAGGCGCGGCCGAAGACTGTTGCTGGTGGTGATGATGGTGCTGCTGCAGCTGCGGGTGGTGCGTGGAGACCGTGGACGACGCGGGGTACGAAGCCGTGGTCGTGTTTATAGCATTCGCCGCGTTGTTGGGCAGACCTTCCATAATCCGAATCTCAGACAACTGTCAAGCTGCAGGACCAAGAAAACCGTCCGGGCCGCGCGAGGGCACGAATGGTTTTGATGTGTCCTGGGATTGACCGACGAAAAGGGGGAAGAAGAACGCGCGAGAGACGCGTGCACTTGTCACGGAACCTCGCTAGACGCGACTTCGAGACAGCCGATGGAGTGTTGTTGGGCGGGCGACGCGACAAACGACAATTGACTGAGAGAGGAACTCGTCAATTGACGATGGCGATGTCCTTTCTGGGCTGCGGTCCTGGAGTCGACGACGCGTTGCAACAAAGCCAGATCAGAGTAGTTGGTCGGCGGGCGCCTCGAACTTTTTTTGTTCAGACCTCGTCGACGTGTTGTTTTGTGCCTTTGTCGTGATGCGCGGCGCGATGCGGTCGATGCGTCGAGCGGAACTCTTGTGGGACCTGCAGACGCAACTTGGTTTGGTTTGCCTTGCCCTCGCCTTGGGACTGACTAGATGGAGCAATTGTTCTTGTCTCAACCCGCGTCCACCAGCTGGAGCAGTTGGTGGTCGTTCTGTGGTGGAGAATGCCGAATGCCCTAAGCGGGAAAATGAGGCTCAAGGGAAAAGCGCCGTCTCGGTTGCGGTAAAGTGGAGAGAGAAATGGGGAGCGTGAGTGGAAAGACAGTGTGGGGACCACCCTCTTTTTCTGTGCTGCACCTCCTTTTGTATTTTTTTTCCTGTCCAAGAATTTGTGCGGCGACTCCCGGCCCCCTTACTTCCAAATTGGCTATGGCCGGGTGGCGGGCAGGTGGACTCGCTGTCCGCGCGCTGGTACTGGACACTGGGCACTGGCACTGGGCAGCAGGCGCGAGCAGCCGTTGCGGTTGCAGTTGCGGTTGACTTGGCTGTTAAACTTGCCCAGGTGGGGCAGTATCCAAACCGCAAGAAAATTTCAAGGTCAAGGCGGGGCCGTTTTTCTGATGCAGGGCCACAAACCCTCTGCTGGCAGGGCAGGCGCAGATGGCGCTGGAAAAGGAAAGCTTGGGAAGGCTCAAGGAATGGTTTGGAAAGGGAAATGGAGATGGAAATGGACTCGTGATGGAGATGAAAAGTGGAAATCGAGATATTTTTGACGAGAATAAAAGGCGATCGGGTCTCTGGCCGTCTGTTCTTCTGCTCAACAGCCTGAGTCCTGATGTTCTCTGGCGCAAGGTCCGCAGATGCAGGGGAGTTTGCACTGCGAATTGCCGTGTTGTTGTGAGCGAGTGAGCACGGTGGACGCGTTGCAGTGTGGAAAGAAGAAAAGTGGATAAAAATCAGGAAGAGCGGAAGAAAAGTGTGTCTGAGCTCCGCGAGCGGAGAAAGGGGTCCACGAGTGAAGGGGAACTTCGCAAAGTGAAGAACAGTGGAATGGAAGACCAAAAATTGGACACGAAGGGAAAGGTTAGGCAAAAAGCAAAATACTGTGCCACTTTTCCATTTATGTTCATAGGTACCTGCCCAGAAAGGCACTAAAATGACAAAGGACGACCACGACAGTGTCAGAAAAGCCAACAAATCTCCTGCTTTTTGCCCGTCTTTTTCACGGTGTTGGCCACTGATGCCGCCGACTTGTCGCTGGCTGTAGAAGAGGCATCCGGTATCGCTCTTCGCTTCCGGCAACAAACTACAATGTCTGGTTGACTTTTACTTGTGACTTGACTGGTCACGCTGCCTCACCTTGCTGCCGCCTGTCCTAATCAGGCGCTCGAAATTTGATCCAGAAATTCGAAACAGCCTCTGGCAACACGGCGAGAGCGATTGGGTAGCAACACTCGACGCGGGGTACAAAAGCAGGGACGGAGATGATTCTGCCGCTCGCTGAACGATAGCAATGCACGCAGTCCAAACAACCGGCGGCGTCCCTGATGACTATCGCCTGAGGCGACAAAGGACGCGGAGGGAACCATGACTTGGGTAACGCAGCGTATTCCCAGCATGATGGCAATCACAGGCGCTGCTGGCGCCCGGCTGCAGCATACAGTACCCGACCTCGGGCCCAGATCTCTTCAAGCCTTCTTTATACTTTTGCGTACAGCGATACAGCGAATGAGAGCGAGCAGAGTGGACGATTAGCGTGCCAACAACAGCGCCGCCGACCTCACCTTGCAGCGCGTCTGGCAGGAACACAGATTGGCGATGAACGATTGGGGTCTGCGATGCTACGGCGTGCCTTTTTGTAGCACGTACTGCTGCCCAGCCGCCGGCACCATTCCATGTTGTTGTGGAGGGTTTTAATGATGTCCCCCCAATCACGGCCATCATAGCCGCCAGAAACCCCCTCGGGCACTTACAACTCGCATTGAACTATCGTAGGTTCTGTAGCTCCCGGAATTCTCATCCAAAACACTTCACGTTGTGCTGTGTAAGAGAAACCGTCTTCCTCAAAGACCAAAAGGGATGAATATCTTGAGCTGATCATCCAGCCGCCTGTCTTTTGCCATCGTTGCCTGACCATCTTCTTTACAATGCAGAGACAACGTCCGTCAATCCACCTACGGCTGATTCCCCCCGCCTAGCCTGTTGAGGCAATCTTGTCCATCCATATTGTACGTCACTCCTCGACACGTGTGTCTGGCTCTCGAGCTGGTGAGAGATTCTAACACTGTTTCGCACTGTGCCTTTGCATTTCCGCAGATCTCGCCACCCTGCGGACACCGCGCTCAAGAAGAAAAAGCATCTCAAAAGACCCAAAAAAAGGCTTCAGAGCACAGATGCCCAATATGCAAGGCGACGAAGATCGAGATTGAGCGCGGTTGTTGGACAGGCTAAGCATTGATAATGTGGCCATAGGCTTAGTTGGCGGCAGACGTAGCCTACGACTCCATACTGTGTCCGTTGCGTATCATCGTCGCTGGCCGTGGTCGACGGTCTCATCGACGCGACTCCAGTCGGCCACGGAGAGGTACCCCCCACGCGGAATCGGCGCTACACTTGGTCGTCTGGTAATGTTACGCAGGTTACAATAGAAGGAAACCTCCTTCAATTGCATTTGAAGAAACGCTCAAAAAGCAACATAAAAGCAACAAGATGGAGGTGGCCGTGAAGTAACCCAAGAGGTTGGCCTACCCGGAAATCCACCCAGAGCGCAAAGGCATCTGCCGTGAGGGCGGGTGCGGCAAAACCCGGGTCCGCTGGCAAGCGACAACGTTGAGTGTGGCCTGAGAAAGCGCGATTTCTTTGGGGTCAAAAGAATGAGAACATGCCAGACAAGCATCGGAGACAGCCATCAGAAGCACTCATGTCAGGACTGCCCGCGGTGTGATGTGTGCGTCTTGCGCTGTCCTGTCCAGTAACTGCGATCATCGACTGCGACTGTGATCAGGGCGGTTTTGTCCTCACTAAGAGCCGGGGTACCCGGGGCAAAACCCGTGTGTTCGGGACCATAAGCTAATGCGCTAGCGGGGATTAACCAGGTTATCGGAAAGCTACATCACGAAACAATCGGGTCTATATCGAGGTCGAGACGCAATGGTTGGTGATGACGTGACTGAAGAACTCCAGCGGCGACAACAGCAAAATAGAAATTAACCAAAAGTCACCACGGCTAACCTGACTTGCGGTGTGCAGTATTCTTGTGTCGTGAGGTGAGTGAGCCTGGTTTGGTTGAACTGCGCCGGCTACTTCGGTTATCTGAGAACAGCCATCGGATACTGGACTTGCATTACTGGATCTCAAGATTTCGTACTTCACACCAGTCAGCAAACAAATGTTGACATTTCTGTTCCCTGCCTTTGCTATGTACAAGGCACCTGCTTGCCGCCAGAACGACACACTGGTTCTTCTGTTGCCGTCATCAATCTCGCCGTCGTGCCGCCCATTTTCCTGCTTTCATCCTATCGTAACGCAACCCCATTCAATTACTCGACGTAAGCGACTTGATGAGTGACGCCGAGACGATCAGAAAATGCCAGACCAGCCGCCCGCCTTCCGAAACCCTGTTTGTGCTCTCCCGCCGCCCACATCCCTCTCCGCAACGCAACTGACGGATTGGGTGCGATGATGTGCAGCGCCCACGAGTCAAGACGAGAATGTCGGGTGGAACCGACCAGCGCACATCCCTGCCGCTTTTTGCCTCGGCTTGGGTGGGCTGCACTGACACTCGCGCAGGGCCCAACAAAACATGACTGATGCTAAGAAAAAGGGACCTGATTCGCACTGTGCATACAGAAATCAGGCCGATGCTGGCTGGGCCGTGTATCAGCGACCAGGCAAAGAAAAAAAATTGTCAATCTTCTGACCTCGCTCTCGGTGATGACTTGACTAAGGCTGTCAATATCCAGCAGACAATGCGGCCTTTTGGAATGGACACGGCAAGCATAAAACTCGGGTTGGGTGCAAAGATAGTGGAACTGTCTCAGAAACGAAACGCGTTCCGGACGTCGCAGACTGTGTGGGCAGAGGTGGAGAAAATGCTCCCCCTCTCTACATAAGCGTCCAAGCAGACAACACAAAAACATTGTCGGATTGAATAACCGTCGATATTTTCCAAGCTGGAACACTTAAGGCATAGCAGAGCGATTACAGGACGCTGCATGCAACACTGAATGGTGTAGAATACTGCACAGCTAGGCGCAGGTCTGGCAGAACTGGCCTGTTTCCGGACTTATCGCTAAGGGCGCTTCCTCAGACTGTTGTTTGACTGCCCAAACCTTTGTAGCAACATCACAAACCGCTGTCAGCTTCGCGCGTGGTTGAACCTTGAACAAAAAAAAAAGTTAACATCCCAAGATGGCGAGTGGGGGAGCTGGCGATCCCAAGAAGTGAGGCTCTTGGGAGGGTCCAAAACGTGAACCCACACCTGTGGGCTCAGCAAGCTCTGTGTGACATATAAAAATATGGAGTTAAGAGGGGCAGGTTTTCTAGAAGCCAAGTTGGAAGGTCAGCAAGAGCTGCTCCACATATGTCCATGTCAAAAAGAAATATCAAATATCGTTACCCAGGAAGCTTTTGAAAAAGGAGCTACAAAATTGGTGTTTGAGACTTCAACACACCTACGTTTCTCGCCCCTTCCCCGGGCACTCTACCCATTTCTGGGAGATGATGTTTTTGTTCTCGGGTGTCGCGCCAAGACACAATGTCCCTCTTTTTTGTTCCGGGTCCCCCTCCTTTTTTTTCTCCCGGCTGGGACAGATTAAAGGAATGCCTGCTTGCGACAGATACATGCCACGTTGCCCGCCGGCAACGAGTCAGTCAGGCTCATCTTTGATTATTTTACTCCCTTTTTGCTGAACCAGCCAGGGCACCTGCCGAAATCGATTTGGCAATTGCTCTTTTTTTTTTTCTCGGCAGCCCTCGGGCGCTGGACCGGGCTGATGCGATGCTTTGGTTCTTCCCTGTGGTGCAAAAGATTTTACTCTTTTTGTGATACTTTTCTCGGCGGACATCGGCAGAGGAAGTAACGGATGCAAGGGTTTCCATGTCCCTCCGACAGCCTAGCCCTCTCTTTGCTTTTTCTGATTTCCCAGCGCAGCAAAGAAACAACTCTGGGGCTGACACGCCCGCGATGGAAGATCCATTGACTGGGCAGGCGCACATTGCAGCATGTTGTTACCATGGGGTTATCTCCAGGAGCGCATCTACGCAGCTGAGGTTTATCTTAGGGTTACAAGATTGGCGAGGCCACGAGGGGTACGACCATGACAAAAACTAGGGTGAGAACGAGGGAAGGATTGCGTCTGCCCGTGCCATACTATCCCATGCCATGCCCCCTGCTCCGCATCGAAGAGAAGATACGACAAGGCGTCCATGATGACAACGGAGGGAGCCTTAGGTCCGGGCAATTCCCGAATCCGAGAGACCATCTGCGAAGATGCGGCGACGCACAGGTCACCAACAACACATTATCGAGAATCTAGCTATGACACTGAACTTGACAAAAACAAGCGAGAAAAGGGTTGTATAGCTTGATTCGGGCAACGGCATAAGAGCAAGAAATTCTATATACGATTTTACGACCTCTCCCTCGCGAACGGTCCGTCGGGCAGGTACTTGGGCGCCAGCTAAGAAAAGAGATGATGTCCCGCGTCGACGGGAATGCACCGCAAAGAACATGACAGATCAAGACCGAAGCCTAACCCTCAAAATGACGGCAAATTGGTGCCATAATTGCATCACCTTGCAGTTCAGTCCGAACTTTGTCCGATGAAGGAGGCCAATACCAATGAAAAGACATAGGCCAGCCGTTAGGATGGAATACGTGCCGCTCGCCCCAGGATTTTGCTCATCCATATCGTTACCGTATATCACACACCCCGCGCGCAGGCGCAGGTTTCCCAACGCTTCGAGACGCTCGGCTTTGGCTTTGTAGTTAACCCAGGTATCCAAGCAGGCGGCAGGCGGAGAGGCGTGTCTGCCGCACAACTGGCCACAATGTCACCTTGGAAGGCTTGGAGCCATGCCAATCTCCGGAAGAGCGGTCCATCCATCCCAGGAGAAACCCTACCTTACCTACCGTAATTGCACAAGTGGCGACCCTATCCTACCCTATCCCGCGGAGTGCTGTACATGGAACGCCCGAGTCTCGCATCCTCGGCCGCATTGTTGTAGTGCAATGCTGCTGCCATTCCTCACTTCCGGTAATAATCATTATCAACGTCAGTTCAACGTCCATGAAACGATGCCCTGCCACGTCGCCGCTGCCACGGCCTCGCGAAAAGCGAAAAGGACCAGGGGTAATGTACAAGAAGAATTAACGGTCTCGGTAAGAGGTGATGGTATTTGTGAACCGAGATCCGTCCACTGTCAGCAAATCAGTGGCCGCGGCCGTTCCGCTGATTTCTGGCTGAGGTGAAGAGACAAAGACACACCCGAAAATGAGAAAACAGCTCCACGAAAAATCAACAACCCCAAAAAATCATCGTGGCAGTTCTCTTTGTCGTTCTTCTCAATATTATCCCAGCTGCTCCCGGCTTTAGAATATTCTAGTGCTAATTGCGACATCTCGCATTAGGAAGCCCTTCCCTGAATGCCCGACGTTGACGTCGATTCGATTCGATCAGTACTTTCGGCGACAGTCGCCAGGCGAGCCCTTTGTTTCCAAACGGATGTCGGGCGGTACTTCCTGAAACGGCATACCGACGAGGGGAAAGTTGATGAACTGGCAAATCAGGCAGCGTGGCTTCGTACGGTAATACCGAACAAAAATCACGATCCTCGTTGTCGTAAATTTCGTTTTGAGGAAAGAACGACAACAACAACAGCGACAAGGGGGAGGGAAGCAACGCTATCCTTCGCGCACACGTCTGGCAACCAGGTTATCTGACGATCATCATGACAACAATCAGGGGATTTGCTGGCTGGCAAAACCGGCAGACATGGTCTGCTGGCAGCAGATATGCAACCACAATGCAGTGGTAAGGTAAAGGTTCGTTGTTAAAAAGAAGTCCCGCTTTTTTTACGCGCGCGAACCTCGGCCTGGCGGAGCATCCCGTCGTCGTCGTCGTCGTGGCCCCCGCGCGCTATCCACACTAGTTTTTTTTTTTGTTTTGTACCTAATATACATTCCCTCATCAGATACATGCATAAACCGCTGTATCGGAGTGCTACAGTGGTGAGTTTTAGCCCTAGGGCATTGATCAAGGTGACTTGTTGGGTGGTGTAGGGTTGCAGGATTTGGCCGCTGCAAGCCGTTGATAGCCCGGAGATGGACTTATCGTCATTGAAAGTGTTGGGGGAGGGCGAGAGAACGTCATTAGCCAAGGTGAGATGGTTGGGTGATTTTCTCTGAAGCACAGCAGGCCGCCTGTTCAATTTTAGTATAATTGTATAGGATAAGTCTTTTATCGGAGTTGAGCTTCTATGTAAGAAAGCCAAGTCTACAACTGCCGTGCTGTCCGGAATTTCTGTGTTTGATTACCATCATTTCGGCCCTTCATTTCTGGCTTTTCTCATTTTCGTCGTCTTCGCTGTTTCCTCGGCCCAGAAAAACACCGAGTCATGAGCCCCGGCTACCTAGCCCAGCCCCTGACTTTTGGCGATTGTTGTGTCTGGTCTGTCTGTCTCTACAGTCCGATCCAGTAATCGCCCTTTGTCCGCGCCCGTCCGCCAATTGCACTCGAGATTTTCTTAATATCAACGTAAAAACTGCCATCAATAATATTGACAACAGCATATATGCAGAGATCTCGTGATTCATGCCCCGGTTTCGGTTCCTCTCCCCCTCCGCCTCTCCCAGCCCGTTGTTTCGTCGGAGTCGGCACGGGGTTCGGAAGCAGGACGCTGCGCAGCAGCAGCAGGCCAGGGGTACCACATTCCACCATACCCTCCTCCTCCTGCTGCTGCTCTTCTGCTGGCTTCGGAGGCGGCGGCTGCGGCTGCGGCGATGGACTGGACAACGGTGAGGGGTGGATCCCTGCCCGCCTGAGTGGTCCTCCCTCGCCGCCTGGCTCGGTGCGGTGCGGTGCCACTCTCTGACTGCCTGGCCTGCCACCTGGAGGACGCTACGGATGGAATGGGAGGCGGTCTGTTTTGAGCCGACAAGACACACTAGGTAAGTAACTGTCGGCGCTGCTGTCTGGCTGAGTGGCCGGCCGGCCTCTCCTCGGTGTGAGGGCTGGGTTTGTGAGCAGTTAACGTGGCGGACGGCCAATGGCGGTGATGGGTTTTGCCTGATATCGATTGATCAATCATGGACGTGGTGCTTGATGATATGAAGATTGTGGTTGTCAATGAACGAACATGAGGGGGATGTACATATTGTTGTTGTTTTTTTCTGCCCGATTTTGGCATGTGCTTGGAAGCGAAGCGAGCGATATCGCTTGGAGGCAAAATGATGTATCTTGAATAACGCGAAAGATCGACTGCAACTGTGGTCACGGCATCGATCCAGGTGGTTCTCTACCTATGAAAAAGAGGCTGCAGTATTTGCCCATTGCCGCTCATCTGTCATTCATAGTTGACCACACCGCACCCCGCTGCTGGCTGATTGGCAAACTATCGTGCTCTTTGACTGCCTAGTCTAAATTCCTAGAACAGAAGGCTTGTATCAGCATGGCATGGCACAGAGTGGTGACACAACAGCTTAAAAACCGATGCCTCGTTGATGGAAGACTTCCGCGGGCTCGGCGGTGTCCGATCGGATCAGTGCTGACAGCTGTAGTGTGCCTGCCTACTACCTACACTGAACCCAGAAGTAGAAGTTGGTCTTTTACCTTGGCAGTGGGCATCTACGTCTAGGAGAGAATATGGCGTCAGATCTTGCCATACCGGTTCAATACTACACCTGTTTTTTACCTTCGGGTTGTCTTTCTCTTCGGGCCGTTTCACCGCATTTCTCGAAACCCGGACAAGGAATCTGTCGAGTCCTCTACGGGCAATGGGAGCCTGAATGGCACAGTCTTATTTTTGCCATCCCCGTGGACTTACGTACACTACATATCTACCCAGCTGATCAAAGTTTGGCCACCCCCTCCTCTTATGCTGCATACCGACCTATCGAGAGGCTTTAAAGGAGGCCAAAGGCGAACAGGTGCTTCTTATTGCTTGGCTTGGCTCTGGATTGAGTGCTGTTCTTCGGCCGTCTTTAGAAGGCTGGCTTCTAGGCTCAGCTCAGGCTCACCGCCGGGTTAAGGATTGCCGCATGGCTAGGGGAGAAAGGCATACCACACATCCATCGAAAGACCAATCCATCCAATAGTTGGTCGGTCGGTCCGTTGTTCGGTTGATCTCGTCGTTCGGGAATAGGCAACGGCATCGTTAACCTCTCTGCTTAGTTGGCTGGGTTGGTGAGATGCCAGGGGCAGGAGGCAGGAGATGACGGGACAGTGTTTCGCTGTATAGAGGATGAAGTGGATGGCAGTGCAGTGTTGCATGGCTATCGTATGTCGTATGTTTCGTAGGACTCGTAATCGCTGTCAAAATGCCACATTACGTACTCTGTTCCATGCATTCACCTTCACTTACTTTCGAGAACGCATAGGAACATTAGCATCCAAGGTGCTGTGAGCTTCTGGACTGCTGCGCCCTTTGGATAAGGCATATTATTTAACTTGTGTGCTGTGGAGAAATCCGGTTTGTGAATAGCATCACGCGCCTTCTGTTCGCGGTAATTGTGGACTTTTTTTTGCGCAGAGGGGGTTTTGTGACATTTGGTAAGGAATATGGTGATGAAGGGATGTTGGTTACGGAGATGACAGTTCCATTGAACCGAGATGAGAACAACGGCTTCGTGGATGGCACGTTCCGAGGCTTCCGTTGTCGCGTTTCTGTTGCAGACGATAATGGAGAGAAAGCGACATATCCATCTTCAAATAGAAAGCTACAATTTAGAAACATCGATAAATCCATGACGCAACTTCAAACTCTCTACATTTTGGAATGCCTGATATTATCGCTTCGTAACGGATTTCTTCCCATATCCTGTGTTATAAGGATTCTAGGAAGGTAGTGGACAAGGATAATTAAAAATCCTGAGTCTTGATGTAGGGCAGGGTAATGGAGGAACATAAAAGTAGCAATCTCAGGGTCAAGAAACAATCAACTGCGCTCATTATATGGGTAACGTTTGGGTACATTTGTGATTTTTTTCTACCCGGGGCACAGCGCTCTGAAAAGTGCAGATGAGGTTTGTGGCTAGGCAGTCAAGGGTACTGCAACATGAACAAGCTGGAATACAAGTCATGAGGGGATTTTGTGTCGAGCTGTTGTCTATACAGATTTTCTCAGCGCAGAGGGTCCAACCAACAAGTCCTTCAGTTTGTTCTCATGTTCTCACTCCCTGAGCTTTGTCTGTCGCTAAGGAACCAGCTGGCAAAGGAGATGGGAGCAAAACTTTGGCTGAAACAGCGCAGCTGAAGGACTCGCTAGCTCCGGAAAACGAGCCTATGAACTGAATAACAGCCAGCAATGACTCAATTAGGGAGGATGACATCAGCTGGGACTATTGGAGGAGAATGGGATAAGGTTGGGTGACAGAATTGAAGCAGTAGTCTCTACCAGATGTATGAATTTTGTTCTTGGGCATCTTATAACGCTAGGCTGCAACTTGGTTTCAAAGAAACAATACATTCAGTATCTGCTATCTTTATGAGAATGATGAAGGCCTTGAACTGGAAGCCGATATATAGATTGTAGAAGGCCCAACTGGACTTAGACATGTCTACGGGTGAGATGGAGTGCTTAGCTGGTGTGAAGAGGCCACTAATACCTAAACATATATGCACAAGCTGAACTTTGAAGGAAGCATGTTTAATGTTCTCTTCATGCATGACAACCTTTGAACTCAAGTCAGAGCAATTATTAAATAGATGCCAGATACAAATGCATCTGAGTTGTCTCTAAGGATGTCCTATTCGAGGCAAAAATTCCAGATCAGACTTGAGAAGGATATAACAATTGCTCTTGTTGGAAGTTCAGTATATCTAACTCAACGAAATCTGGATACTTCAGCCTGCGTCCACACTGATAAAATAGCTTCAATCTACATCTCCTTGCGCTATCCAGCAAATGTCTCCCCCATTGCGACTTATCCAATCGGACCATGTGTTCTTGGCCGCAGTATCAAGATGTAGTGCCATCACTTGAGGAGCCAAACTTTCCCTAACTACATTCCTCTGCCTATGTGAATTCAACTTCGGAACCCCAAAGAGTAAACCTATGACTGAAGCCCTGCTCTGGTGCTTTGTTTAGCTGGTGTGTCCAACTTTCAGAAATAAGGTCTGATGTATTCAGGAACGCCTGGGATTTTTGCTCCATAACTCGCGTTCTATCTGCATAACTATCAATGTTGACTACCCTCACAAACGCTTTCAACACTCAGTCGATTTTCAACCTGTCTTTATAGCAATAATCGGCCGCCCCGACGCAGCAGCTACAACAGTGCCATAGAACCCAAACAAACCAGAAAAGCAACCCAACCCTGATCATAACAAGGCATAGAGCTTGCTTTACGCAAAGCAAGCCAAAGCAAAGGGTATATTATTACCAATAGCCCAACCTGATTGAATCCCTCCCAATGAAGCATACTCTACCTAGTAACCGAACAATGCAATGTGCAACGTGCAATGTGTAAACAAACCCACCCCAAATGGAATTGGATGAAAATACAAGAACACTTCCTTCCTCAGAACACAAAAACACCCCCCCCTCCCCTCCTTCTCTTCGAATAGAACCCATCCAAATCCAGCATCGCCACAAGCTGCTCAAGTGGTGAAATTTCCACCTCCTCGCCTTTGTTCTTAGCCTTCTCAACCAGGCCTTTACACACGGCCACAAAGAGCTCGACCTTTTTCTGAAAGAGGGGGTAGAGCGCTTCGGCGGAAATATCCTCTTCTTCCTGACTTTTGTTCTGGATGTTGATGGGGTGCTGGGTTGTCCGGGTTGTGCTAGGTGGGGGACAAGGAGCAGGTGTTGGAGTTGTGAGAGTATTGGCGATGTTGATTTCCATGTCGATATCCATTCCCTCATAATCCACATCACCATTGTTCAGTGCCGCTCGCCCGTTGTTCTTAGGAGAGGGGCCATCCCTAATGCTCTTGGCAAACCTCAGCACGACCTTAAACACATCCTCCAACACTCCCATCACCTGGGCCTGCCGCTTCCTCAGCAACAGTGCTGTAAGCATCTCATCCAACACCCCTTCCAGTCTAGCGCGCACCTCATCCGGCATAACCGTCGTTGTCATCGTCTTACCTGCTTGTAATTGTGGTGCCGCATGTGACTTTAGAACCTCCCCCTCAACCTTATCCAACCACTCCTCCCATGCTTTCCAGGGTCTCTCGATAGCGATGCTCCAGAAATAAGACATAACCAGTTGAATAAACCGCCTCGCTTCAAACCTGAACCTCAATGCCGCATTCCCCTCCCTTTTTTTGTAAGCAGTTGGCCTGGCCAACAACTCCCCCGCAACGAAACCCATCCTAAGGACGCGCAGCAGCAGACGAAAAATCCTATCAAACTTCGCCAGCACAACCGGCGTCAGGACGGGGCGCAGCGGAGCAGGCGCTTTGTATGCAATCCGTAAAAAGTCAAGCGCCTCAAGGGCATCGGCATCAGACGTGCTAAGCCGGATTTCTTCTTCGGTGAGGGTCGTGCGAGTCATGAACGACAGATCGCCTGGTAACTTCGCAGACTCTTTCCTTGACTGAGAGGCGGTCGAGGCAAATGACGCCGTCGATGACCTGAAATTGCCGGGCTGAGTCTGGCTGCTGCGAAAGGGTTGAACTGTCTCCCCCAAAACTCCCAACAAAACCAACCTGAGTTCCCCCAACTTTGGTGGCCAGGTCCTACCACCTGCCAACCTCAACCCCATCACATTACCCTGCGACCCGGCGGGGTCGAGATTGGGATCGAAGAGAGCGTGTGACAAGCGGCTGCAGAGCATGCCGTTTCCTAACAGGAAAGTTTGGTGTAGCAGGTCGAGGTGGATGCGCAGATTGTGGGTAGTGAAGAGGGCCTTGGTCACCTCGGAGCTAACGAGGGCGGATTGGATGGTTAGAAGGGGGGAGAAGGAGAGATGGGGGAGGAGGGACCAGTGAGGGGAGAGCGCATTAGACTGTAAGGGAGAAGAATCCGGGGGTTGGTATAAGCGGGAGTGGATGAGCGAGGTAAGGCCGTCCTTAGGGGTTGGCGAGGACGGGGGCTGGTTGAGCTGCGCGATGGAGATGAGAAGGTGGGATTCGAGTTCTGATTCGGATTTGCCGTGGAAGATAAACGGCGAGGAAGATGGCCTGGGGCAGGCGGCAGCTTGGTAGCCATTGTCCATGTCTGGCCAAACGCCCTGCAGTAGCGCAAGCACAGCATCGCGATAGTTTCTCGCCTGTTCCTCCGCTCTCGATATCTCTTCCCAATCAAACTTCCACTCAAGCCTCGGCGGCCTCGTAATCATCACTACATCCTTCCTCGCCAGTGGATGCTCCGCATGATGCTCCCTTAAAAACCTGATATTCTTCCCCGTCTCGAAGATCATCTTGGCCAACTCCCCCGGCACAAACCGCGGCACCTTCTCCTCCTCCATAAAAAACTCTGGTTCCTCCAGCTCATACCCCTGGTCATCGACCACCATCACCTTCGCCGTCTTGACAAACCCCCTCCCAGGCTTTTTGGCCAACATTCTCTCCTTCGACATCCCGATCCCTTCTTCCATCCTAATTCCAATCCACTCGCCCACCCATTCCAACCAAGGCCTGGATAGCACCCCCAGCACCTCCCTCATCACCTCCCGTAACAAGCCCCCCTTGTACTCTGCCGCTTGTGCCTCCTCAAAGACAACACCTAGCATCTCCTCATCGCTTTGTCCCCCTGCTTGTGCAAGCTTGGCCACCAGCGCCTTGAATGCCACTAACAAGCTCCTAGCGGGCCGTACGACGGCCTGTAACTGTACCAGTGACCTCGCTTCTCTACCTCTCGACCCTAGTTCCGCGCGAATGGCTGTGACAAGTTGGTTGACCATCCCGGCTAAGGCGACTTTTGTTGGTGTAGTTGATGACGCGGCTGCCGCCGTTGTCGACGACGACGAAGAAGAAGGGGAGTAAGTCGCCTCCGCGAAGGAGAGTAAATGCCGGGTCGCATTACCACATTCCAAACACAGCATGTCGAGTGCACTAAGCAGGGAAAGGGATACGCCAGAGATCTTGATGTGTGGGGAGGTTTTCACAAACGAGTTGCGGTTGCTGTCGAAGTGAAAGAGGATTGAGCTTCTGCCTAAGGCGAGGGACAACAAAGAGGAGATGTATGTATGTGTGGGGAGGATACGCGCGGAGGGTTCATCGCCCAGCGCATGGGAAGCGAGGAGGGCGTCGAAGGCGGAGGGACCGGCTTCTGTTATGAAAAGGGGGGCATTGAGACTCGAGGGTCCGTCAGGCTGTTGGGGGAATGTCTCCCAAGTCTTAAACTGCGGCGAGTATTTGATTGGTTTGGTGGGTGTGAGCCAGAGGTCGTCGTCGTCGTCGTCGTCGTCGTCGTCGTCGTCTAAATGAACAGAGTCCACAGCCGGGCCAATATCGACCTCCGTATCCGGAATAGACTCACTGTCCTCCTCAAACACCTCCCGAGAACGCTTCCTTCTCTTCTGTCTACCGGGTTCCCCCAGGTCCCCTAACAGGGGAGGAAGCTTAAAGAAGACATGATCATCGTTATTAACTGATGAAGCCTCTCCGTCGTCGTCGGGCCCATCACCCAGCACCCTAATGCCGTCGAGCAGGCTCAAACTCTTAATATCCCTTTTGACTGGCGTCTCTGGGTCTGTCGAATGAATAGCAGAGGACGCAAATAACTGGGCGGCGACGTCGAAGGAAAAAAGAGGATTGCGCTTGTTGACGTCGCTGAGCGGGTCTAGCCAGGGGGAGGGCCGGTTGAAGTCGGGCACCGCGAAGAGGTTCGCGGGGTCATTTTGTGGGGCCATTACAGCGAGACATATGTTGTGATTGGTGTTGTTGCTGTTGTAGACATTGTACGCTTTTTTTTTGGTGGGTTGATGATGGTTTAGTGATTTGCCGTGCTAAGACGCGTTAACGCGGTTGAGGTCTTGTCGCGGTTGGGATGTAATTAATGGAACCCTAACCCGAAACGAGGCAAGGCAGTGACCCTAGCCCATGGCAAGCTGACTACCCTAACCCTGATTATCAAGACGCGTTCAACGCGAACCACCAAGGTGCACGTTCACTCTTTTACCCGTTCACCTGGACAACCTCGCTCTCAAATCGAGACAATTCCTCAGCCATTGAGCCGCCAACACCAGCCCTACCACTGCGCCAATGCATAGGTAGCTTAAACAGTACCATACAGAGACACTATTTTACCTTTAATACCCTCAATTCTCCTACCGCCATGCCCCCCAAGAAAAAAGCTGCTCGCGCCAGCACCCAAAGCGCCACGCCAGCCACCACCGATGGCGGCGGCGAGGCCATGGAGATCGACTCAACCGTGCAAACACCGACAACCCCCGCAGCACCTCAACCTTCTCAACCAAAATCCCCTCTGAAACTCGTGACCGACCCCTGGACCGACGACCAAATGGCGTCCCTCTTCAAAGGCGTGATCCGCTGGAAACCGGCCGGCATGCACAAGCACTTCCGCATGCTGGCCATCAGTGAGCACCTGCGTAACCACGGATTCGATCCGGACCAGCATCCGCATACACGGATCCCGGGGATATGGGCTAAGCTGGGGGAGTATTACAACCTGGAGGCGGTGGATGAGAGAGAGAATCAGATGGATCCACCGGAGGAGATGGAAGAGGGGGGGCAAAGGCGGTATGTGGACTTTACACTGCCGTGGGAGGAATACGGGGAGATGATACTGGAGAGGGCAAGGAAAGAACCGAGCGAGGCGCCGACGAGTCCCGCGCAGTGGGATCCTAATGCCCCGCCGGGGAGTTATGCTTCTGGAGCAACAACAACAACAACAACAACAACAACAACAGCAGCAGCAGCAGCAGCAGCAGCAGGAGGAGGAGGAGGAGGAGGAGAATCCCAAGGGACGGCGGCACAGCCTACCACAATGACTGGCACGACAAAGAAAAGAAAACGCGGCGAGGCGCAAGCCCAGACCCGCACGCGCAGCAGCACAGTTGAAGATACAGAAAACGAGACGCCCACCGCGAGCCCAACCAGAAAAGGGACAACAGGGAAGGGGGCCAGAGGGGCCAGGGGGGCGGGTACTGCTACCAAACGCACAACGAGCAAGGCGAGGAAGGTGAAGGAGGAGTCACCTTCGTCGTCGTCGGAGAGCTCGGAGGAGGAAGAGGAAGAAGAAGAGGGAGAGGGAGAGGAAGAGGGAGAGGGAGAGGAAGAGGAGGAAGACTCGTCATCGTCTTCGGAGGAGGAAGAAGAGGAAGAAGAGGAGGAGGAGACTGGGGCAACGGCAGCGAGGACCGGACGGGGTGGGGGAAGAGGAAGGGGGGCAAGGGGGAGAGGGAGGGGACGGGGACGAGGACGGGGACGGGGAAGTTGAGGAACGGAAGTGTTGGGAAGAAATATGGTTTGTATTTTGTAGTCTTGGGATTGAGTGTTTGGGATACCCAATAGATTGGTGTTGTCAGCGAAACGAAAAACATCTTTATGTATAATCATCTTAAAAGTCACGTCACTCTCTAACGCACAAGTTGACAGCTACCTGGCCACCTACCTGCGCTTGACGTTTGTGTAATCTGTAACCTGAAGCTCCCAGCTCAGAGCCCCTCCAAGGCCATTACACAGCCCTGTAACAGTGGGGCAGTGCCCCGCAGTCGCGACCTGGACGCAGTTTAGTGACGCGCAGCGCCTGAATTTGGACCACCGAGGGGCCCAATAACCTCCCCAGTCCCGTTGTTGACAAACTTCGGTAAACAACCACAATTGACAACACACCGGGCCGTCGCCATGTCTCGCCCAGGACCCTCTGCCCCGCGGCAGCTCACCCTGACGGAAGAGCTTGAAAAGCTCGAGCAGCAGATTACCCTCACGCTGCAAGGTGCGGGCATCGCAGGCCCAATTCACAGCATTGCACTCTGGCGCGGGACTGGACATTGACATGAAACTTTACTAGAGATCGACTCCAACTTTGCCAAAGCCCACCGCATCGTCACTACGAGCATCCTGCCACTCGTCGAGCAGTATGGCGAGCACTCACGCGCAGTGTGGGAGGCGACCAAGGTCCGTCTGTCTGCGCTTTTCCATCTTCCTCAGCAACAAGACTAAGATGATCAATCGTCCTGACATTTTACATTTTTGTGTCCCAGTTTTGGAAACAATTCTTCGAAGCCTCCGCAAACGTCTCTCTCTCCGGCTACGAAGAGCTAGTTGACGGCGGCGAAACCTCCCCGGCCGAAGAAACAGCCCATGACCAGGAGGAAGAACAAACCACTGCCATACACGACCACACCCAAGAACCCTCGCAATACACCCCCCGCCCGCAGACCTCCGCTGGAGGGCATGATACCACAACACTCTCTTCTGTTGATGATCAGTCCTCAGTATTATATGACCGCTCACGGGCCGCACAGCAACAGCCTGCCCAGCTACAGCACCACGATGACAGTTCTGTGTTGACTGATAGGGATGGTGATTTAGCGGGTAGCACACCGCACGCGCCGCCTAGGGGGATTAAAATCGAGCAGCAGCAACAGCCACAGCCTGCTGGAGATGAGATGGACATCGACATGGACGAGGAAGACTCTGAGCTTATCTTCCAACAACATACCACCCGCCTTTTGGGCGAAACATCCCGGTACTACGATGACGACCACGGCTTTGAACAGGGAGAAGAAGAAGAAGACGAAGAAGAAGAAGAAGAAGAAGAAGAAGAAGAAGAAGGTGGCGGTGGGGGTGAAGTGGGAGACGACTCGGTCCTGGGCGCCCGGAGTAGATCGAAGAACCCCGTCCTGCACCGCATGCAGAACAAAACCTACCGCATCATGGCAACCCCTCACAAGGGCATCTCCGCCGTCAAGCCCAACACCACAAGTAACAGAGGAGTCTCCCCCGTGCGGTGGAAGATTCAGCCTACGACTCCAAAGATCAAGCAAGAAGACACAGAAAAGAAACGTCCCCTCTGGGAAGACTCCCCCTCCTCCAGTCCCGAACCGGCCCCGCCCCAACTCCGTTCCGCAGCCTTCATGTCCCCGATGCGTCTCGCCTACGGAGGACCCAAGACGTCAGAGAAACTCCAGGCGGCTGCGAAGGCGATAGCAGCGCCTCGCACGCCGGGAGTGAGTGTTCAGACCCCGGCGGTAGGACGGAAGACAAAAGATGTATTTGGCGGGGTCGGGATGCAGAGTGCGACCAAGGCAATTGTCGATGCTAAGGCCGCGGCCAAGGAGAAGAGGAAGAGTATATTAGAGGAGATCACTTGGGAGAGTGATGAAGATTTGGGGGTTAGTCCGCCCAAGACGATACAGTTTGCTGTGCCGGCTAGTCGGTTGATGCAGACGCCAGGTGAGTCCCTTTTGTGGTTAAATAAGAAAAAAAAAGATTACTAACGATGCTGTGTAGCGCGTGAGGCGAGCAGGCGGATTGTGGATGATTTGCTTTTGACGGCGGGCGGAGGGGACCTGATCGAGGGCTCGTCGGAATATAGTCCCTCGGTGGTCAAGATGAACCAGGATATTATGGATGAGAGTTTTTGAGGGGTTGATTTGGGCTTGTAAACCATGACCAGAAGATGCGTCAGGGTTGGACTGCATGTCGGTTATTTTGTAGATCCTTGGGTGATTCAGGGGTCAAAGGTACGTACGTACATAGACGAAGTTGCGTCGGATTAATGCAATGTCACAAGGTCAACAACTCGAAGTTGACTTTTGACTTGAAATCAATAACAAGCACTAATATCTACCATGGGTTAGGTACCTAGGTTGGACATTTTTGACTCAGCAGTGTCCTCCCCCCCAAAAAAAACCCAAAACCAAACTAGATACCCAGGATGAAACTGGGCATCTTCCTCTATCAAAGCAATTACCTATCACATTCATCCAACTGTGCTGATACAATCTTTATCCTTAACAGAGAGTAACTGGCTGCGGAGCGGACCCCCCCCATCTTTGCGATTTCTTTCCTACCCATGCTTTCTTCATTTTCAAGGGGTGATGGAACGCCGAGCAACCTTTGGCTGACAGTCCTTCCCTCACCTCCTCACCGGAGAGGGAGGGCTGGTTGGCCTTATCCCATATCCAATCATGTTTCTGTCGTGTTCGAGAATCTCGCCAGGGGTCTAAATAGTCCTGGAATACCCTTTGTCGATTAGAGAGCGTTAGCTTTCACGGCGGCGTCTCATTCCTATCATCGTGTATGTCTCGTCCCCCGAAGGGCCTTCTCTTGACTCTGAGAATCCCAGTCAAGAGAGGTACCGGCACGTCCACTGAGGTAGACGATCGGACTGAACTTCGTTGTCATCGTCAATCCTCCTTTCAGGAGTCGGCATTCGTCCCACTGGCGGGCTGCGTTCGCAGGCGCGTCAGTCTTCCTGTTCTCTCTCTTTCTCTCCCAAAGTTTCCAAAAGAAGTGTATGAGAGGAGAAGAAATGAAATAGCTAAGAGGGTATGCGTGTGTATGATATCAAAGGAAGGTTGTGAGGGTTCAGTTAGATCCCAATCCGAATCTGGCTCCTCAAAACCTCCTTGCCATTGATCTCAACCCTCTGACGATCAGACGCGGAAGAACTGAAATTGGAACTGCCAACCTTCTTCCCTCCTGAAGATGTGAAGCGCTCCTTGAGGATGCTCAGACGGCTTGAGAAGGTTGATGTGGTGGAGACCGAGGAGGCGTCGGATTGCGAATTGAAGTTGGATTGTTGTTGCTGCTGAGAGGCAGCAAGTTCTTCCAGGTAACGAGTTGAGGAGGCAATTGTTGTGGAAAGGTCGCGGGGAGTGGGGAGGGGGAACTCTGGGGAGTTGTTAGCAAATGGTTTAGGGGTAGGGGGAGATGTTGGGGAAGGCATACGCTGATGAGGAGACGCCATCGTGCTGGTTGTTATGTTACCGTTGATAAATGGTGGTGTTGATGTGGGTTGAGGTGACGTTCGTGTAAGTGTGAACAGTTGTGATGCCGTTTCGGTGATTGCTGTGATGGTTGCTTCCAATGGAAGCGTGAGCGTGTAAGTTGGCTACGTTCTCTCTAACAAAGCTGTTCTCTCAAGTCTGGTCAAGTTCTCTCTTTGTCTTTCTGCTTGTGAACCAGGCAACTCCCTCTTCAACCTGAGGCCGACACACCTTCTTATATCTCCCCTTCTGATCTCCTCCCCACACACCCACTCAACGACGTCCGACTCACAAAAGAACTTTTAAGTCATCCCCCAAAGAAGGAAAACTTTTCCAATCCAATACTTCCCCATACTCCATCCCAACCAGCCAACCGGGCGATTTCCATTTCCCATCTCAGTCATCAGAGCATCGCAGCAGGGCCCTAAACTCGGCAACCCAAATCCGCAACACCCGCGAACGTCCCTCGGTGTTACGAGCGTACTGGTCGGACTATCCCGCACACATACATACACACTTCACCAAGAACTACAAAGCCGCCGTCCGTATCCATTCCAAGCCACGCATCACAGCCCTGCCTAGCCCCATCTGTAGACTGCAGTGTTGGTTAGTGGAAACTTTACCCCAGCAGGTTTGATCGGTAGGTACCACAGTAGGTAGACACGCCGCGTAGGTGCCTCTCCCGCTTTGCTTTGCTGTTGTGCTCCTGAACCGAACCGGGATGCCTAATGTTACGGTTTCGGTTGTGCATTTGCTTGGGTGAGGCTCCGTACGTATGTGAACGTCGTATGTGAACCAGGTACTTTGCATCATGTCACCAGACAGACAAAACTATTTTTTTCCTGCCTAACTTATGAGTCACTCGATCACACGCATGGACAGAAAGTTCTTGGACTACTTGTGAGCAGTTCACCATCACGGGAGAGGTGCAGCAGATCCACGGGTTGCTACAACATTGGCATGAGTGTCAATGCGAATAAGGAGAGAATAAGTGTGTATTTGCTTAGGACAGGCAACAGCAATGCGTTGAAAGAACGCAGATATGAAATATCAGTGCCTGGAGATAGGTACAGACTGTGTTAAGATTTCCAATTTAGGTTTCCTTCCCATGGCAAATTGATGGAACTACTTTTTTTCCTCTGTACTACATCCGGTGCTTTCACCCCCACTTTCCCAAATATTCAACGCCTGAAAAGCACAGAATTTCACATACATATTGATGTCTTTCCAATTCAACTATCGATATCAAACCCCGATGTACCACAGCTACACCGCCCGCTTACATCAGGTCACAAGTTTCTCCCACAAATTGTGGACGTGACAGAGTGAGACAGACATAGTGAGTGGATGGAACAGACCGATTACCTGTGATCAGTCATTTGATCATGGGAAATAGCCAGGGGCTGTGAGACCGCTCATGGGCAGCTGGCAAGCAACGGCAAGCAATCACAGGCAAGCAATCACAGCACCTACCCACCTGCTTTTTGGTGCTCCAACCAAAATCTCTAAAGTCCAGATGGCAAGTGTCGGCCCCAGAACGAAGTCTACCCATCTAGATTCTAGAACAATACTCTTCTTCCCCTCGATCGTTAAGAATCAAGAAACCAGCATGCCTAAACGACAAGACCTCAAGCCATACGAGGCAATCGAGTCCCACAGCACGCCGATTGACTCAAGTATACGTAGTTGACTGTAGTAGTCTTATTCTCATCCGGAGCGACTTCTTGCCGACCAAGTGGCGCTCAGCCTTACTGGGGGGTCCGATCGGGGCAGGCCATCCGTGCAGGTCAGATATCTAAAGTATACTTATGAGGACTGTGATGCCAGCACTAGCAGACTGCACTGCAGTTCATCCGGTCTCCAAATCTCCAGCCACGTCAGAGATGATGTGTCTAGGTGGACCAGCTTACGACTCTTTGATGAGAAATGAAGTTCTCGATCAAGGCCCGCTGCAGCATCTGGGTTCTTTCTGGCGAGGAACGTCATCGGTCCTTCGCAATCGCCGAATTGCCGAGCCCTTCTTGGGGTGTAAAAAAGTTTTGTGTTTCGTCTGCATCTGTCTGCTGGCTGGATGCAGCCTGGGCAACGTTGCAGTACTCCCAAACCGCAGCATAGTCCCTGGCTTTTACGGGCCCTGACGGAGTGAGTGGGGGTTCTACACTGGGCGCTGCTGCTAGCCATGACGTAGGTGGTGCGGATGCCTAGGCTCGTCGTTGGGGCGGGGGTGGTTGAAGCTTCAGGTATGCTCACAACAACATACGTATCAGCACAGAAACCCCAACCCAGGCCTTCGCTCTTGGCCAGCTGGGTATAAACACTGACCGTCATAAGTTTGACCTCTTCCCTTCCCCTCTCCTGATACTTACCACACGAAGCGCAAGCTATCATCAACACCGGGAAAACAGGAAAAAGCAGCAGTCGTCCGCCTGTTCGGTAGAGAGGCACTCGTACTCGGATCGATCGCTGATTGGCCCGACAAGATCCTGGAAAAGGTGAAGTTCCGCGTTACAAAGTTGTCACCCGATTTGTTTGTGAGGGGAAAGCTCACAAAAGCTCAATATTTTCTGCATCGTCGGGCCGGCGGGAAGTTGAGAAGATGCCATTGACATTAACTTTCTCAAGAAAGGGCAGCCAACACTGATATGTTGGAAGCCGGCGAAGCGTTTGGGCCCGTCGCACCAGAGCGCGTTTGTATTACCTGCTGCGCTGCTATCCAACTGACCCTCCAGCAACACATCAGGTTCCGCATTGCCAGATGGCCTTTGTTAATTACTTAACCCTGTGCTTGTGGATGACATCGTGTGGAGTTGTGACATCCGGCTAGCTCGGGTCCAAGCGCCTGGGACTGTCTCCAAAGACCGAGAGGCGGATCCTGGAAATGTTGGCTTTTTTGGCAACAGCCATTCGGCTTTGAGGAAGCCTTTTGAAAGTGTTCTGAGGTATGGGGTTTCAACTTTTGAAGTTTCAGTGCAGATACATAGGGTTGAAAGCGGCCGTTCGGGCCTGAGGACCTTCCATAGCTGGAAAGATTTCCATGTGACAGAACAAGGTGCTCCGGCGAGCTGCTCGCCGAGTGCACCTCGCGTCTCGGCCTCTCTGATCGGGCAGGCCGGGAGCCGATTTGTCAGCCCGACTTTCCCCAGGCCCTAAAAGCAGAGCACGAGTCGCTGCGCAACAAAGCGAAAGGATCGACCACCGGTCGACGAGTATTGCAAGCGGAAAGTGGAAGGCACGGAAACGCGCAAGAGTGCGATTGTTCGACTGGCCGGACAGATGAAGCCACATACGGTGCTGGTCAGTCCAAAGTTTCTGGAGCCCGGCAGAATCGATTCCTTTAGCGAAAACAGGCCAACCCGGAAACAGCAGGCGGAGAGGGCTCGAAGCATCGCCGATAGCATGCCAAGGCGCCGCTACCACTTATCTCTTGCGGGGACGACTCTCAGATGTCACGGCCAAGTTCTCCGATCGGAGGGTTTGTTGGAGGAGTGTTGAAAAGGGGTTGTCTCTTCTGTATATGTTCAAATGTTTGTTGAACAATCAGTAGATCAATGTCAGCCTGAGATACAATGGTGCCAGATCCCGGGACCGGCCGACATGAGCCAGCAAGTCGTCCAAGACAGTTGACAACCATGTCTGCACTTGGCTGGAAGCATGTGCAGCTGTGGTTGATGGCCCCAAAAAAACCCTGACTCCCAACGGTTAACACCATGGTGTAACTGGCAGGTCTTGGCGTTCGTTTTCGGATTTTTAGCTTTATGATTGGCTAATCCCATGCAAGCCCACCTCCCGGTCATGATCGGATAAAGTAAGGGACCACCACATGGGGCCCGTGGAGCGTGTGGAATGCGTGGGTGCGCGCCAGTCTCCTCCCAGGAACAGCACCTGGTGATGATGCTATCAGCCACCGACTTTCTACCAACCCTCCCAACGAAGCGAACAGCGAAACAGCGACCCATGTGCAAAAGCACTTGGGGTACATGCAGTGCGCGCGGCCCACGGGGTATCTCAACTCAGGAGAGTCAGCGTAGATTACGAAACATTGGGGTGGCTGCAATCTGCCAACAGGCCGTGGGACAAACAGAAGATAGGAAGGGTGCAGTTCCAGAAAAAGCGTTTTTTTTTGTCTTTGTCGTCGTGTGAAGTGAATTTTGTTGACATGCCACGCGCGTTGACAAAAAACCCTGGGGCCTGGCAACCCTGGCAGTTAACTATCGGGAACGGGTCGCGCTGCACAAAAGCTTTTAGCGTGCCCCACAGGATGTGCCCATAGCAGGGGGTTGAACTTTCCAATCCGACCGAGTAGGTGCAGGATTGCATCTACCCATCCCGCGAACCCGCGGTCAACAACAGGCTGTGGCTAGCTAGCTGTTTGGCTGGGTATGCTTCCCCTCGAAAACCCAACACCAAAAGAACCCCAAGACTTCTCACTGGCCACATCTTGCAACCTTCTCGGCTTCCCGGGCTAACTCCGCAGACCGTGGTGCTGTTCCCAGGTTGCAGTCCGGGCCCCATCGCTTCCTTTTTCTTCCCTGGCCCTCCCCCCACCCACTTGAGGAAGTGAAGCCTGACTGCTTGCTTGCTACCCATCGAGCACTGAGGCCGCGTGCGAAGTGTGTGTGAAGCTGTGCTGGTCTGAGGCTCCCGGCTCAGGTTGCGCTGGCTAAACGAAACATATCGTCAATTTCCATATCTTGCCCATCAGTTCTCCCGCGCCATTACTGCTCTCGAACCGCCCCAGTGTGAGGCCTCGTTGGTGTCTTGTTTTCTCGCACCGATCCCAGCCCAGCTCAGCCTAGCCCCCTCCCAGCAGCCGGCCCAGCGACAAGGCGTTCATAAAAACAGCCAGCATGGATGCGTTTGTTGCTCTGGCCGCCAATGCGACGGCGTCGCCTCTGGCGACCCTCAAGTATGGTGCCGCCAACGTCCAGGTACCGCCCCAGCTCGAGACGGTGGCCGAGTACGTGGCCAATATGAGCGGTTGGTCCATCTTCTGGACCGTCTTCGCTCTTCTCGTCGTCTATGACCAGGGTGCGTGCCGCGTGATATGTAAAAATGTCCACAAGATTCAAGCGCTGACATGTGTTGTGCGCGACAGTTATGTACATCTACCGGAAGGGCAGCATTGCCGGCCCCTCTTGGAAGATGCCCTTCGTCGGGCCGTTCCTGCAGTCGGTCAACCCTAAGTTCGAGGAGTACTACGCGAAGTGGCTCAGCGGTCCTTTGAGCTGTGTCTCTGTCTTCCACAAGTATGTTGGGGCAAAAAGGAATGTTTCAAATAAAATGACCAGAACTGACCACGCAGGTTTGTCGTCATTGCTTCGACCCGTGACATGGCCCGTAAGGTCCTCAACTCGCCTTCATATGTCAAGCCATGCGTCGTCGATGTCGCTCACAAGCTGCTTGGCCCCGACAACTGGGTCTTCCTCGACGGCAAGGCTCATCTCGAGTTCCGCCGCGGCCTTAATGGCCTTTTCACCCGCCGTGCCCTTGAGATCTACCTGCCCGGTCAGGAAGAGGTGTACAACCGCTACTTTAAGGAGTTTGTCGAGATCACCAAGCGCAATGCCGGAAAACCTGTTCCCTTTATGACGATGTTCCGCGAGATCATCACAGCTGTGTCGTGCCGCACCATCGTCGGCCACTATATCTCGGACGAGGCCGTCAAGAAGATCGCCGACGACTACTACCTCATCACTGAGGCGCTCGAGCTGGTCAACTTCCCCATCATCATCCCATTCACCAAGACGTGGCGCGGCAAGAAGACAGCCGACATGGTTCTGGCCGAGTTTGCCAAGTGCGCGGCCAAGAGCAAGGCCCGCATGGAAGCCGGAGGCGAGCCCAACTGCATCATGGATGCCTGGATTCTCGACATGATCCGCAGCCGGAAAATTCGCGAGGCCGAGCAGGAGGGCTTGTCGACCGAAGGCCTCGAGAAGCCGAACCACATGATCCGCTGGTTCACCAACTACGAGATCGCCCAAACCGTCTTCACCTTTCTGTTCGCTTCCCAGGACGCCACCAGCAGCGCTACCACGTGGATGTTCCAGATTATGGCCCAGCGTCCGGATGTTCTGGATCGTGTGCGTGAGGAGAATTTCAAGGTTCGCAATGGCGACATCCACGCTGCTGTGACTCTCGACCAGCTTGAATCCATGGCCTACACCCGCGCCGTCGTCAGGGAGCTTCTGCGCTACCGCCCGCCTGTGCTCATGATCCCGTACATGACGAAGCGCCCGTTCCCGATCACCGAGTCGTACACTATTCCGAAGGGTAGGTTTGATCTGAAGGGAGGGTAATGGATCTGCTGCTGACTTCGTTAGGTGCCATGGTTGTTCCGACGACGTACATGGCTCTCCGCGACCCCGAGGTGTACCCGAACCCAGATGTCTTCGACCCCGAGCGGTACTACACGGGCGATGCTGAGACCAAGGGAGCGAAGAACTACCTCGTCTTTGGCACCGGCCCGCACTACTGCCTAGGCCAGCACTATGCGCAGCTCAACCTCGCCCTCATGCTCGGCAAGGCGTCTCTGCTGCTCGACTGGAAGCATCATCCGACACTCAAGTCCGAGGAGATTCAGGTGTTTGCTACCATCTTCCCTATGGTAAGTTGCTCTGGTCGGATGGGTCATTAGGTAGCATACTGACGTAGAACAGGACCACTGCCCACTGACGTTTGAGTGGCGGAAGTGGGATTAAATATAAGGGGTGGACGTAATAGACATGGGGAAGTTGGACTGAAATGATAGAAGAAAACTAAGGGCAGCAGTGTCGCGCGGGCTTGGAAGTAATGAGGATGAAATATTTAGAAGGGGAAGAAAAGGAACGACGACACTCACCCGAACAATCGTCCCGTCATCGTCATCATACCCGGAGTTAGGGTGAATGGATGAAGGATGGATGGATGGATGGTCGGCCGGTCGGTTGGTCAAGTCAGTTTCTTGGTCAATCGAGTCGGTCGAGTTGGTCGAATTGATTTGCCAGGACAAAGTCGGTCGGTCGGTCGTCTAACGTTTTCTATCCCACCACGACCATTACCACCGACCTCCAGAGCAGTCCTGGCGGCGTTACGCATCACATCACACCACAACGCTCACACAAAACCACACCACACATGTTATACACATCGTAATGATTAGTTTGTATATAGGTAACTGACTGACTGGCTGGCTGGCTGACTCTGATGTTCGCTCCTGATGCTGGGACTTGAGCGTAGGTGCTTGGTTGGTTGTCTTTTTTTCAGTTCTTCGATCAGAAAAGCTTTGGATGGATGCCTTTGGATTGATTATTGGGTTGGCTTGGTTGTTAATGAGCATGATTGATTAAGGAAGTGGAATTGAGATGAATGACAGCGGTTCGGTTGATGTCCGTTTAGCTGACTATTTGAGCACCAGTGGATGTGGTATGAGTGTTGAAAATGCTGATAGGTGAAAAAGAATTTGTGGGTGGGTGTGGTCTTAAGTTTATGCTGATGCCTAAGTAGGTACAGCTTACGTGAGTTATGCAAGTCGTCCAAGGCAGCTCTGGGAAGGAAGGAACCCAGATACGTATAAGGGGTCGTCGTATTGAAGGACGACGCTAAGGATGGCTGTGCAGTTGTCTTTCAAGTATCAGCAAGCAGGTCAGTCAACAGGGAAACTGCCGTAAGTAGATGATCCATCCATCCACTTCAGGGCTGATCCAGTTTTAGCTGTCTTGCCTGTTTTGTTACGGATGGATGTCTTGCAGGTCACCTGCTCTGCTGCTTTCAAGGGCTCAGATTGTCATGTCAGATGCTGACTGAAAGTAGGCGGCTGTATGTACTCAGACTTGCCACCTACCCCTCCCCCCTCTTCGGGTGGGATTGTGTATGAGCCGGCCAGTCATAGAGGGGTTGGCCGGTCTGGCCTTGGTAGTTGGTCGGGTCTTGTAAGGTTGGGTTCTTCCCCAAGGGCTGAACGAAGAGTCTGAGGAAAGGTCTATTGAGACAAAGATTGTGCGTCTTCATTTTGATTTGAGTTGTTGGCTGCGTATGTACGGAGGCACATGAAGATGGATGTATCAAATCAGATGTGAACTTCAGACCGGAGGTTGTATGCTTAAGCCGTGGAGAGCCGTGGTCACACCCAGTGGATGAACTGGCCAGAGTTACTGCGGCTGTGCTATGCTGGTGCTGATTTATCTGGGACATACAGATGCTGGTGCTCAGTTATCATAGGACTGGGAGCACCAACGACATCCACAGCAGTAGCTGTGTGAGGCATGAAGGACTTCGGCAGATGTATGTAAGCTGACAGTGCTGAATGCTGCCTGACTGCGGCAGCTAGTCTTGAGTTGTCATGTCCCTCACAAAGTATGAGTGGTTGTCATAGTATGTGGGGGATCCCGGATGGGGCGTTAGTGCTGACCCGGGCGTTTGGGTCAGATGGATTGCTGGACAGGACGGATATTATGTTCCGGGGTTGTGGGTTTGTCAGAATGGTTGCAGACATTAGATCGAAGATCCGGGTTTTGATAGTTCTGTCTTCATGGGACGGATGCAGGTGTGAGAGGCGTGTAAGGTACCTGTGCGTGAGCATGAGCGAGGGGAAACACAAATTTGTGAAAGAACGTTCCTGGAGGTTGAAGAACAGGTCAGTCCGAACTGCTCGACGGCAAATGTCGACTCTCTCGAGACAGAGCACAGCTTTTGTCTCGCCCCAAGCATTCCACCTTCAAATCCCCAACTCAGTCAAACTGAAGTTTGCAGCCTGATCAGACGAAATACCCCGTTATGACGTCCCTTCGAATCCCAAATCCAGGGCCTAGTCCAACCCAGTCCTGTAGTAGTTGCCCCTCCCCCACTCTGACATGGTTCAGTCCCACCCAGCATCCGAGTGGGGCAAAGCACAGCGAGCTTCCGCAGGTCTTGGTCCGGCGCTAGGCTACGCTACGGGATGGCGGCGAATACCAACAAGCGGCTGGCGGCCGGATCTCGGGCGGCGTTGCGGCGAGCCGAGAAGGAAGGCGGGAAGGATTTCTTATTTCCACGGACGGGGCTGGCTTTTAATCCGGGGGTTTTGTTTTCTATTACTTCCGTACTCTGCGGAGTTGAATTGAAACGACATATTCTGCCAAAAGGCATCGTGAACGTCAACTTTCCATCCAATAGCCAAGTCGAAGCGACTTTAATAACACCAACAATGTCCTCCTCCCGACTTCCGCCCTCTCTCATGAAGGCCGCCGTGCAGGCGACGCCCTTGACAACCTCCGCGGCAGTTACATCCAGGACAGGAGCCGTCCTGCGCCGTAGCTCTGCCGCTGCGGCTGCTGTTTCCCAGCGCGCGACTCTGCCGCCGGCGGCTCGCTTCAGCACCATCTCGCAAAGACAATCCCTTGAACAGCTGCGCCAGCGCTTCTCCTCTATCCCCGGCATCAGCCAGAGGCAGTGGCAGCAGTTACAGCAGCGGGTATACTCGACGGAGTTGGAGACGAAGCAGGAGGAACAGGCTAAGGAGGAGAGGCCGCATAAGGTTTATGATTTTGAGGCTGTAGGCTTTCCGGAGGAGCGGAATGGATTAGGGGAGATTCTAATGGGATATACAGGTTAAAAAGCTGGCTGAAGCCCCGGATCGCAAGACGATTATCGTTGGTATGCTCCCCTTTGCTCTACTAGCTTGCCTTCTATGGATACTAACGTCTCCCTCCAGACGTCCGCGAGCCCAACGAGCTCCAAGAGACTGGCCGGATCCCAGGCGCAATCAACATCCCAATCAAGTCTGCGCCAGACAGCTTCCACATCAGCGATGAAGAATTCGAGGACCGTTACGGGTACCCGCGGCCGCCGCGCGACGCCGAGGTCGTCTTCTACTGTCGTGCGGGTGTACGCTGCAAGGCTGCCGCCGATCTGGCCAAGGACGCTGGCTGGACTAATACCGGCGAGTATCCTGGCAGCTGGCTGGAGTGGTTTGAGAAGGGGGGTAAGGTGCAGCGGTGAGCAGCGAAGGGATGGGGTTTAATGTGGGTTGTGCCTAGATTAAAAAAATTGGAGGGAAATAGGATGCGTGTGTTAACCCAAACGCCAATGTTGATTGCGATAATGTGGAAAGAATCACAGTATACACGAGCCCAAACCATCCGTTAAAACCCAGCTACCCGTTACAATCTCCCTCCAACCGTGCCATCAAACATACCCCTCTCAAAAGAGCTGCTGCCCCTCCGGCTTGTCCTTCCCCGGGCCATCCTTCAATGCGGGACTGCCATGCGCAAAGAACAGCACTTTGATAGCCACCGCTAAACCAAAGTGGAGCGCAACAACAAACACCAGCAACATCTTGCTAGTCTGGTGGCCTGTGGCGCTAAGCACAGGATAAAGGTTGCGTAGGAGGAAGGCAACCGACAAGCCGAACCCAACACCCACGAAAACCCAGTTCAAGATGGCGATAGGCGACCAGCTGATGAGCGCGACGGGAATCCAGATCAGGTTGTTATAGCCGTACAGAGCCCAGCACTCGAGCAGGTTGGCGCTTTCGGAGCCGAAGTAGCGCAGCGCGAGGAAGAGGACCATGGGTACGATGAAGGTGTAGCCGTATATCAAGCCCGCCGCCCCTGTATTTCCGATTAGCATCCTCCCTCTCTCGCTTTGTAAACATCAAATATTCCCGGGGTACATACCGCTCAATAACCGAAAATCATACGCAAACTCCCCCTTGCCACTCCGCGCCAAATAATCGCTAATTGTCCCGCCCAAAAACAAAATCAACACCACCGTTGTCGCGATCCAAAACGGCCCGTACAAATCCGGATTCCCCTCCAGCACATCCAGGAAGTTTGTTCGTGGAAACAGCGCCGCACCACACCTCCTTAACACGGATGTTGTATCAACATCAAAGAACTGCTGGTAGAACGACAGACTCCATAGGAACTTCTTGCTGCTGCCCCCGCCGGAGGTCGATGCCGTCGCAGGGGGAGGGAGGAAGGGGGAGCTGCGGCCGGGAGAGGTCTTGTTGTGACGGGTGCTGGATGTGCCGAGGGCTGGGGCGGTCTCGGAAAAGTTGGAGGGGTGGAATTCGAGGTCTTCTTGGAGATCTGTATGACCGAGGTCGCCCTGTGAGGATGGAGGTTAGAGGCGTTCAGGAAGGACGGAGGGGAGGGTTTTGGGGACGCACTTCGTCATCAACGTCGACGACAGCGTCGTAGCCTGCTCGCGACATTTTGAATGTGGTTCCACGGTCTCTCTGTGACCAAGTAATTCTGATATGAGGGCGGCCTACAAAGTTAGGCTGAAGCTCGTACGGAAGGCGGTACAATTGATGGTGCTGAGGCACTCGCGCTCACGACAGCTGTTGTGTGTAGCGAAGCTTATCGATAAAGCACACCAGACACGTAATCCCACCATCAGTGAAGTCACGTGACGATCGTGATCTTGGGATTTGAGTCCCTGGATGTGGAAACCACTAGCACCAATAGCAAACACATCACAGCAAGCGTCATCTAACAAGTCATGAAATTTCGATAGTCAGGAGTCTTAAGCTATGGTCATCCGGAATGTACAGCGGAAATGGTTGCCGTGAAGTAAACCCGTCTCAACCCTTGCAGAATGATAGCAAACCAGCCGAAAAACCAAAGACGCCAGACGACCATGACCCAAGACAGTAACCGTTTATTTGAGCTTCTTCTTGGGGCGAAGCTGGTTCGAGTGGCCGCACTTGCGCTTGCGGCAGTTGGTGGCACGGGGCGGGAGACGAGCCTGGAGCCGGGTTAGTCGGAAAGCTGCTGTGTTTGCTGGATTGTCTGGAGAGAGTGCTTACATAGCACTTGCGGCAGATCATCTTGTCACAGTTGAACTTAGAGGCAAGAGCCTTGAGCGAGGGCTCAATGATACCACCACGGAGGCGGAGGACGAGGTGGAGGGTCGACTCCTGCAAAGCTGTTAGCACGGTCGTCATCATGCAATGAGACCCTGGGAATCAGAGTCCCATCGCTACATCATCAACTCCCCGTGCCCAAACCACGAATATTCCCCTCTCTACCCTCCTCATTTCATAACCATATTTTCCCGCTGCCCAAACTCATTCCCAACCATCCCGATACTCCTAACCGCCGACAAGAATCTCCTGGTGCTGAAAGACTGACCTTCTGGATGTTGTAGTCAGAAAGAGTGCGGCCATCCTCGAGCTGCTTGCCAGCGAAGATCAGGCGCTGCTGGTCTGGGGGGATGCCCTCCTTGTCCTGAATCTTCGCCTTAACATTCTCGATCGTGTCCGAGGACTCGACCTCGAGGGTGATGGTCTTGCCCGTGAGAGTCTTAACGAAGATCTGCACTATAACATCACATGAACCGACAATGTCAGTATTCATTCAATCAATTTTCGCATATTCGTAATGATTGTAGACGCGAGACGACGTACTCTTGACCGATTGTCGCCGGACTTGCTGGTGAGGATGACGGGAGAGTTCGCAGGAAGCCGTAAAATTTGGTGGGGGTTAGAATCGCTGCGGCTGGTGGCTAGGGCTCGCAGCCAAATCCACTGCAAGGATCAGCTGGTTGGCTGATGCGCCCCCACTTGGCTTACCCTAACCCTGGAACTGAGCTCTCATCCTCAGTCGTTTTGTTCTTTGTTCGCATCATTATTTGAATGAAGTCATTACAGCTTTAAGATTGCTTTGAGTATTAAAGTTCTATACAGGAAACGTAAACACAAATCCACGCAACACCATCACTCCTCATCACTCCCCTCCTCCTCCCTCTTTAACCGCCTCTTCTCCTCGGTCTGCCACACCTTGAGCATCTCCTCCAGCGTATAAACCGCTCTGACGAGATCCCTCACCGACAGCCCTGATACTTCAGCTGCTACCTCGTAAAACTTCTTGACATGTCCTTCTAACTCCTCCTCAGACCTATAGCGCCGGTAGTCTGAGCCAATCCTCTTGATGTGCCTTCCAGTCCCATCACCTGGGTCAGGCACCGGCTGGACTGTCTTCATGGCGCTCTGTATCCGCACGAGTCGAGCCTCAATCTCCTCCTGAGAGGCCTCTGGGACTTCTGGTATACCCGGGACCTCGGCGAGGGGGAAGAAACGCTCGATTTCGGTGTCATCTAGGTATATCAGTTGTGAGACTCTAAGTTGGGAGAGATGAGCTACGTACCGGGTTTGTGACTATCAATCTGCGTCTCCTGGAACCAATTAAGCAGCTCATTGATTTGCTCCTTGTCCATAGTCCATATCTCTTGAGGGTCCAGACGCTCGTACTCCAGTATCGGCGTCTTCTTGCTCGACTGCTTGGAGAACTCCTCTTCCCAGACCTTCCAGTCCATTTGCCGACATATGGGGTCATTTGCGTCGCGCGGGTACCGCTTGATGCCGTCCATGGGATAGAGATGTTTGGTAGCTACCACCAGCGCCGCAATGAGAAGCACATCGGGGATGTCGAGAAACCTGTACTTCGTGGGAGGGGGCTGTCTCGTGGGGAAGGAGAAACGTAGGTTGAGCAGACGGCATATCTTTTGCGCGAAGGGATGGACTTCGGCTGTGTAGATATGTTAATCCTTCATATTCCCTGGAGAGAAAGAGGCGAGGGGCAACATACGAGGTAGCGCCAAGTCCCTGATATGTAAGAACAGCATTGGAGAGGTGGATATCTCAGGGAACACCAGCCCATGGTTCTCCTTATACCCCAACATGAGATTCATAACTGCTCTATGCAGCTCGCCGCCCTCGAACCGGACATATCTCGTCAACAGCGCGTGATGAGCCCAGCCCGGCAGCCGATCTCGCCAGCTCTTGGGGAGATAGTTGGCCTATGCCAAAAGTCAACATCCTTTCCCATCCTTCAACCCCCAGGACAAACAACTTACCGCCATCAGAAACGGAATCTGATTATTCCTCGCCCACCGCCACACATCCCCGACCCTAACCGGTTCCCCCCTCAACACACACCCTAAATATACAATCGCCAGCGTATCCATGACCCCCGGCAACGGCCAAACCTCTTTCTTCCAGCTCCTCCTCTTCCTCCCTTTCACCCCATCCCCTTCTTCCCGTCCGGTAGCAACCCCCTCCCCCTCCGTCTCACTCCCTCCCGAACTCTGCGTACTGAACATCTCCAGCTCACTCCCGCTCGTCCCTTGCGCCGTCCCTTCAGACTCGGATCCCGTACCCCGGGACCTTCTCCTCCCCTTCTTCCCTTCATCCCTCTTTCCCACCAAACCAGGAAACTCTCTCACTCTCAGCACCCACAAATCTCTACACACAGCCTCCAGCTCGGGGTGAAAACCTTTCTTCCGCACCAGCCATAATAACTGCTTCCTGAGTAAAAACTGAAGACACTCCAGATAAAGTTCGCGCGCAGGCTGGCCAGTAAGGTGTTTCCGCTCGGTGGTGCGGCGTTCCTTGGCCTTGCGGGCGATGGAGCCTTGTTTGCCAAAGTTATCTTCTTCGTCGACGTCGTATTGGATGTAGCCCTAGAGAATAGGTAAGAAAATGTTTTTGAAGGCGAGGGGGATGATAAAAAGCCGAGGGGGTTGAGATCAATGAAGCGCGATGAAAATTTAGTTGAAATTCATATTTGAGTTCGAGCATACCTCAACCTCATGACCATTTTCACAATATCGTCTGCCGTTTTCAAGATACCATCGCCGGGCAGGACACTCGGCGCAGGTTTCGCTGTGTGGGAAGCGACGGTATTCGCGGGGCGCCATGCTTTAACGGAGTGAGAGGCTCAACTCGATTGATTTGAGAATTGATGAAATTGACAAAAGTTGGTTGATGGACTGGAATTTTGGAAAGGTGTCCGAGCTTCACTCGGTTTCAACTTTCAACCATAGCTGAGCTCTCTTCAACCCGCATTACTTCTACGCTCAGCATCGACGTCATATCAAATAAAAAACATCACAACGGACATATAATCCGCAGATGTATATTGGCAAGGCTCTTACCACGATAAATGAATGCACTCTTACTCGAACCAGAAATAAACGGCCGCCTGATGCTTCCATTGGATATACCATTTCTACAGAGCGAAACCGAATGAGAATTCCTCCCACATATTTCACGAGTTTCAGCACGGCACTGAAAAAAGAACAGTAATATGCGAGAAAGGGCAAGGCAGGCGTCTGTTTCATGTGCGAGGTCCTATGTGACCGCGCACGCGTCTATACCCAGCATAAAGGGTCCAAATAGACTCTTCGATCCGCCGCAACCGGGCGGCTCCCGGATGCCCGAAAACAGCCCAAGGAATATATCAAGGAATTTATTTCGGTCGGCCAGGAATCGGCCGGTGAAGGCGCGCGTCTTGCTGCACTCGCCGGCCCAATAACTCAGCACAACGCCACCACCTGGCCACTTCCCCACTCTCCTCCTCTCACACATCAACTGAAGCCATTTATTTCGAGGTGTTCTCCTTGAAATCAATGGCGGCCTCCTCGCCCATAGCAGCCTGGACGGTGACAACTGTGGAGCGTTAGCAGCGCGCTCTTCTCGATATACTACTGATATTCAAGGATACTTACGGAGATCCTTGCCCTCATCGAAGGCGGCCTTGATCTTCTGGCCAAGCTCACCCTCAGGCAGGCGGACGTCGTCCTTGGTGCTGCCGTCAGAGAGCATCAGACTGAGGTAGTTGTCATCGGTGATATCGATCTGCGTGACGTTAGTACTACTCTATCGACCTCTCACATCACAGCTGTACTCACGAGCTGGTATTCGTTGCGCTTGACAACGGGCACATCCATGTTGTGGGTGGACGGGCAGAGATCCTCAAGCTTCTTGCCTGTGAAGATGTCCAGGGCAACGAGATGGACCTTAGCGTGACCGTGCTTGCCGGTCTTGGAGGTGGACATGTCGACGATCTTGCAAGGGCGGCCCTTGATCACGACAAAGCCGTTCTTCCGCAGAGCCGAGCACTGCATGGGGAAGGTGAGAGAGGCGCCAGCGTCGGCGTGGCCCTCGTGCTCGAAGTCATGGTGCTGTAGCATGCAGAGTCAGCTGTCATTCTTTTTTCGCACATCATTCGGCACGCTTGAAGAAGCATGTTGGCGATATCGCGGGGCGAGCAATGAGAATCGCGGCAAGGCAACTCTCAGGCAGGGCCGTCGAGAGCCGTCGTCAGTCGATGCGGGGTGATGGCCTCGTCGCCAACATATCGCCAACACACAAGCGCTTCCGAATGCCATAAGGGGAGTCGTTTCAACTAACCTCGTCAGACATCTTGAATTATTTGTAAAAAGATAAACGGTCTGTCGGAAGAAGAAGCTGAGCGGCGAGAAGCCCAAGAAGTCGTCGAACGGTCCAAGGGGGGGGGGAGAATGGAGATTGTAAGATTGTAACAAGCAAAAGAAGGGAGGGCGGGAGGAAAATTCGTGGTTTTGAAGCGCCAGCCGAAAAGAAAAAGGGCACCGTTTCCCCGCCAGGAGCCCCTCCTCAACGCCTATGGGGGCCTGGCTGCAACTGCCTTTGGTCCAGTAAATTTTGCAACAGCCCTCACACTCACAACCCTCTCGCCCACAGCCAACCCTGAACTTTTTTTTTGCCCCTCCGTGGCCACCCCGCCCGCCACAGGCGCGCACTTGACCCCAGAACAGCCCTTAAGTGAGCGCCAGCCAATTGGAGCGTAGTAATTCGTCTGGGCGGACACAGTGTGCACAGCAGCGCTGGCATTGAAACAGCTGGAGGTGGCAGGCCGGAGGGGCAGCTCATCTCCGCCAAAGTGTGATCCAGCTCAAACATCAGAACACTAAATTTTTTCACCATCTGGGTCAACTTTACCTACATAGCTTTAAAGTACGCATTTTATGCAATCAAACTTTATTCCAAGAAACTGGGGTTGCTCAATGTGGACTTAAAAGACGCGGTGTCATGGGTTGCCCCGCTCAGTTGCTATGATCACAGTGTTGCTGCTGTTAGCACTGTGCCTTGTACAACCCTCCGTCGATCATGGCGCGTGCTTCTCCACGCTGTTTACATCTCTCGGTGCCCGCTGCTCCAGCCTTGCGACCCCACAGCGGAACCAGCTGCCCACAGGTGTCAGCCTGAGAAGACCCGCTCACCTGAACGGGCAGCTTCATCAAGGAGACGGCGACAGGCTGGACCTTTACGGTCGACATCTTAGCCTGACAACTTCGACTCTTCAAGTACGAGCGACGAGGCGCGGCCGACGACCAGTCGTCGCATAAGCCAGTTTACTTCGCGCGCGAGCCAGTCGAAGCCGGGGCCTGGGCCACGACGGCGACGGCGGCAGAAAGCTTGACGATATCCTTAGACCGTCAACATGTGGCTTGACCGGTTCGCCGGCCATCATCCAGCTCAAGCTCAACCTCCTCCTACGAGCGCTCCCTCTGTGTCAGCTAGCCAGCCTCGTTCACAGTCGCCGCTACCCCGTCGGACATCGAGTGTGCGCGCCCCTTACTTTACGTCGCAGACTAGACCAAGTCTTAGTCGACATCCGTCCACTGACTCTACCACATCGCTGCTCGCTTCATCCAAGCGCGCCAATGGCTCCGGCTTGAGGCAGTCGACGATCGTTGATGAGGTACCTGACCCAGAAGAGGTGCTGGCTCGCATCCTCGGGCCGCCCCGGCTGAAGCGAGTATTACAGAAACTGCTGAGACTGGCGATGATGATGCCGGGAGGATAGCAATAACGGATGATGACCTGAATCTGGAGTTTGACTTTGGTGGCCTGTCGCTGCGTGAGCTCGCAAGAAGCGCCAGCGCTGCTGGGGCAGGAGACATCTACAGGTTGCAGACCGTAGAAGACTGTACGTCGTTGCCATGGGCTTTCTCTATCTCTTCCTGTACTCATAGCATGACCAACCATAGTCGAACGAGACAAGGCCAAGTTCGAAGAGTTACACCGGTCTATTCAGGCGTGTGACGAGATGCTGAGTTCGGTAGAGTCCAATCTGACCAGCTTCCGCAATGACCTGGCCGCCGTGTCCGCCGATATCGAGACTCTGCAAGCCCGATCGACTGCGCTGAACGTGCGCCTCGAGAACCGCCGCGCCGTTGAGAAGGCCCTGGCGCCCATCATCGAGGAGCTCAGCGTGCCGCCGCACGTCGTGTCCAAGATCGCCGAGGGACATATCGACGAAGCCTGGGTCAAGGTCCTGGCCGACTTGGATAAGAGAGTGGAGGCACACAAGAAGAACTCTCAGCAAGCTCAGCCGATCAAAGCGCTTGCTGACGTTGGGCCGTTGCTGGAGAAGTTGGTGCTGAAGGTACGTCCTCGGGATGGTATACTGCGCTCTGTCCTGCTAACTTGCTCTCCTCCAGGCCGTCGAACGCATCCGAGACTTCCTTGTCGCCCAGATCAAGGCCCTACGCTCGCCTAACATCAACGCACAGATCATCCAACAGCAAAACTTCCTCAAATTCAAGGACCTCTATGCTTTTCTACACAAACACCAGCCCACGCTCGCGAGCGAGATTTGCCAGGCCTATATCAACACCATGCGCTGGTACTACCACAACCAGTTCTCGCGCTACGAAAAAGCTCTCTCGAAACTCAAACTCCACACCATCGACAAATCCGACCTTCTCGGCCAAGAGGACCCTTCCTCCTCCCGGCGCACCGCCGTCCTCTCCAGCTCCAAACTCAGCGGCCCACCGCACGACGCCTTCAATCTCGGCCGGCGCATCGACGTCCTCAAAACCTCCAACAAACTCGCCATCTCCTCCTACCTCGCCGAAGAAGACCAATCCACTCATTACCTCGAAACCCCCTTTCGCAATTTCAACCTTGCCCTGATCGACAATGCGACCGCAGAGTACACCTTCCTGGCTGCATTCTTCACCCCGGCTCTCAGCTTCGCGACAATCTCCCGGCATTTCAACACCATCTTTGAGCCGACCTTTTCTCTCGGCCAAACCCTGACCAAGACCCTCGTCTCCGACACGTACGACCTCCTGGGCGTGCTCTTGTGTGTCCGCTTAAATCAGCACTTCGCCTTCGAGCTGCAGCGCCGCCGCGTCCCTGCCGCAGATGGCTACATCAACGGCACGGCTATGACGCTCTGGCCGCGCTTGCAAGCCATCATGGACGCCCACGCCGAGTCCGTCCGCACGCTCGCTTCCAACTTGCCCGCCAAACCTGGCAGCGCAGCAGCCGCTAAACAAGCCTCTGCCGCACCGCATCCCGTCACCCAACGCTTCGGCCAGCTGTTGCATGGGATTTTGACGCTGAGCGCAGATGCCGGGGATGATGAGCCTGTAGTAGCGAGTTTAGGGAGGTTGAGGAATGAAGTGGAAGGGTATTTGACACGGGCGAGCCAGGCGTGGTTCGGGACGGCTGAGAAGAGAAAGGGGGTGAGGTTTCTGTATAATAATTATAGTTTGGTGCTGACGATTATTGGGGATTGCAAGGGGAAGCTAGCCGGGGAACAGCACAGGCATTTTGAGGGGTTGAAAGGAAGGTTTGCGGAGGATGGGTGACCGAGGGGGAGTGGACTCCGTGTGAGACAAGGGGAAGGAGGGTATAAGGAGAGAAGAAGATTGGAGTTGGGCGTGGGAATATCTGGGATGAATGGGTTTGTTATTGTGTTTGTTCGTCAGCATAAGTAGGGCAGATTACGTGTCTAGAACGTACTAATCCCATGCAACCAACTTGAAGACGGTTTGGTTGAGCAACAAACAAGAAAGGAAAGGTATTAATATCATTACTCATTGACGCCTACCCATCTTTTCATAGTAACCTTGTTTGTTTTGGTTCACATTTTTCAGTGTAGAACTCATCCATTCTTCATCCCCAAAAACCCCATCACCCCGCCGGTCTCTATCTACGTATACCCAGTCCACAACCCCAACCTCCCTCCCGAGCCCTTCTAAGGCCACAACCCCCTCAAAACCCCCGACAACCACGCCATCCCCTCCGCCACCGAACCCGGGAGCACCCCCGGATACCCCAAATACACACTTGCCCACGTCCCCGACGGCACATTCTCCCCCGCCCGGCGTAACAACACAGCCAACACAGCAACCACCACCGCCATCCCCGCCATCCCCACGCTCCGACGATGCTGCCACACCCACTTGCGTGCCCGGTCTCTCTTTTCAAGCCACTCCAACTCGCGCACCTGCTTCTCAAAGTACTGTTGTGCATCCTCGATACTACCTGGCGGGATGCCCTCCATGCCGGGCTTGCGACGCGCTGTTTTGAGGACACTCCATTTCGAGACTCTCTTTTTCCAGGACGGTAAGGTTTCGGGGGGATATTTCCTTTCCAGCGCGGCCGCATTGGCGATGAGGGTCTCGATGGGGACGGGGAGAGGGTCTGGCAGGCGGGAGAGGACTGCATGCAGGATGTCGCGGTCGGGTTCGACGGACAGTAGCTCGTCCCGTCGGGCGAGGATTAAAGAGGCGAAAAGGTACGCCGTGAAGCACGGGTCTCGAGCCAACAGCACGTCAAAGAGGCGGGTGATTTCAGAGAAGGTGGGCACTTCGTGTGCGTACATAGTTAATGTGCCGGCGAGAGCGAAGAAGGGCTCAGTCAGGGAGAGAAGGCGGTAGAGAAGGGGATCGGCGTGACGGAGGATATCGGGGATGAGGTGCAGCTGGGCGAGGGAGGGCGTCATGCTGGGGAGCATGAAGTCACGGATGTGGAGGAGGGAGAGGTGGGAGAGGAGGATGGAGGTCTGGGGGAGGGAGGTGTTGGGGGTTGAGATGGGGGGGTTGAGGACGAGGAGGAGGACCTGGGCTATGTCGTGGTAGCCTTGAAAGTAGTGCAGGTAGGGATGACGACGGAGAACGGAGAGGATGAGGTCGGAGAGAAGGGATTTTTGGTGTTGGCGTTGGGAGTCGGTTTGGTCTGGGCGTGTTAGTGACCGTCAGGGGTTATGGGTAATGATGTGGTCAGGAACCTACTCTTGGGGTAATAGACAAAAGCCCTGTTGACGTCAAGCTGGACCTGGTCCTCATCTTTGTGACGGGGCAGGGACTCCCAGGAGAAGGCTGATGATGTCGTCGAGCTGTAACCATTATGACCATCACGACCATCATCCTCAGCTTTCACGTCGGTCCCGAACGGAGGTAGTCCGAGGAGAACTGGCCCTGTAGTCGCCGTTAGCCAAGCAACCGGAGATAAAAATTGGAAGAGATAACCGAGATGGCAGGTCTCAACGGTGACGATGGCGATGTGATATCGAAGCTTGGTAAGCACTTACATGCCTGCTGGCGCAGATCGTCCGACAAGAACCCCCCTGGTGATTCTGCAAGCGCCCTCAGCCGGGCCAGGTCCCGTGTCCTGCAGGCGTGGAGGATGGCTTGCTTTTTGTCCTCGACGCCGCCGCCATCCGCATGGGCATCCTGATTGGGGCCTTTCTCATCAAGCCCTGCCGGAATTGGCTCCGGGAGCTTTTGATCCTCCTCCATTTCGCTAGCGATGCTCTTGATGTCGTCGGCCGGCTCATCCATTTCGCTAGGTTTAAGTTTATAGATGACAATAGTAGCGAAGTGTATGCTTAAAACTGGGCGTCTTATTCAATGTTTCGTCATATGCCTCTCCAATGACCATGCTGGGGATTCATCAGTGGCGGCACATCAGTGTGCTTCCAGGGACGCCTTACATCTTGAATTGATGGAAAAGGGCTAAACCGTGAGCTGTCCTAGTTTGTCTCCCTGCCGCGTATCACTCAAAATTGGAAGTATTCGATCAGGCTGCAACGAGACCCGACTAGGCAAAGGCAACCGAGGTCATCAAGATCAAAATCAACCCGGCAAGCTTTCAGAAGATCAACTCTGCAATGAGCGCCAACTCTCACTCACCATGCAGCAAGAACGCGGGTTGCTGCTAAAGACAGCCCAAGACGACTCACGGTCAGTGGTAGGAGTGGTTGAAGGTGAGGACCATCCGGCGAATGGTGATGACAACGGACCGACAGTGCTGCCCAGTCGCAGCACATGCCCCTTACATGTGGTGCTACTGTAACTGCGCTAGGCGCTGCTTCCCTGGGGAATATTACTGTAATTACGGCCGTTGAGAGCTCTCGGTCACATGTCGCCGGACTGTTGGGTGCCTGGTGTCGTATTGTAATTACATACTTGTATTGTACTATTTACCGAGGTGCGGGATGGCGCTCTGTGTTGAACCAGCTAGTAACTCAGGGGAAGACAATCTTAGGCACTCCCGGGCCAAGTTGCTCAATGATTGACAGGGTTAGGTCGCCGTCCACGGAAATCTGGGCGAAATCCTGCAAGTCAGGTACCCGGCAACCTCTTCGGTGCAGTTCATCACGCTCGTGCCCAGGACGCCACGTTCCATTGTAGATACGTCAGATCAACATGCAGAACCCAAGCCAACAATGACGGCAGGTCATCTGACATGTAACATAGCGAGCAGTGTAGCGTGGCTATAAGATACAGCTCGATCTCATTTCTCCCACAAAAAGTATAAAAAAATTGAGTTTGATGCTTCTGTTCAAGTCTTTGAAGTAACGATCGTGTTTTGTCTTGTATATCGTAAGTTACGAAACGCTGCAGGGTGCTTCATGGGGCAGTTCAAAGCTCGATGAGAGCTGCACGTCAGCCCCTCCTCTTCCATTGGAGCTTATACGCCGTGTAAACACAACTTTCTTCTCGAAGAGGTAACAGCCTTTATGCAGCCTCTGATCACACGGCAAGATCACAATGCTAATGTCTCCCTTTGACTACCAGGGCTGGAGTTGAAGCATGTACCTTTCCATGGAAATCGATTCTGTATCCGATTGTTAACAGAGCTCTCAGTCGCTTGGCTGCTGTTGGATTCGGTGAAGGCAAATCAACCATCTACCCGCAGCACTGAGAGATCACCACACTCTGACTGGGAGACAAATACTACCACAATACCACGTTACTCCGGGCCCTTGACTGCAGCTCGTCTCGAATTCCCAGAGAGTCTAGAGTCAGCGCCAGCAGGACCAGGCCGCGAGCTGCATGCGACTTGCACAGCACGCTTGATATCTAAGGTTGCCGGCATCTCTCCCATGCAGTCGGCTGCTTGGTTGAGGTGAGTTGTTGAGTCGAAGTGTGAGTGTGGTCAGCGAGGGTCACAAGTGCCAATCAAACCCCTCAGTGCTGTTGATGGCTTCATGCAGTGCGCGACCAGCCCTCTGTGATGCCACTGATGCGTGCTGCAGTGCTCCTGCCACTTCCAAGGTTGGAACCCATCCCTGAGGTGGTGCCTTGATCCTCAGGCAGTTCATCATACATGCTCTTGCCTTTTCGTCTCGTGTTTTTTCTTCTCTCCTCTCTTATCTGAACCGATAACCTTAAAACTTTCTACCTGGGCTATCTGCTTACTACTGAATTCTTACCAGACTGTCGGAAACCTCGCATAGTTATTGAGAGCTTTGCCTTTCTCGATGTGACTTTTTGGCCTTTTTTTTTCTCGATTGTGGGCATCAGAGAGGTCATTCTGCGCGCTAGGTCATACAACTTCTTAAATTTTCTCCAATTGACTCGATTACCGACTTGCCACCAATGGTCTCTCACCACCATGGCGTTGCACACTAACGTCCTCCACAATGGAGAGTGGGTGACGCAGACCATCGACGTGTACAGCATTCTCAGCAAGCAGACCCCGTCATCATCGAAGAAGCAGACGACTAGAGAGCAGCTGCCTCCTCCGACTTGCGGGCTCCTGACTACCACCATCTCCGAGAGTCCTCATATCAAGCATATCTTGCCTGTCCGACTTCGGTCACTCAGACACAATGATGTGGCCATCATCGGGGTAAGCCTTCCTCCTCGTGAAGGCCTAACCCCTAGGTTGAAGAGAGAAATATCTGACAGTCAGTAGGAATACTACATACAAATTTGCGAGCTAGGTCCAGATGGCCGTCTCAAGGAGGTCATCAGGAGAAACGACTTTGATTGTCAGATCCGGAACGCTTGCGTGATCGGCACATTCAGCTTGGACGATCTCAGGGAGGCATCTTTTGAGACCCGCATCAAGACCGAAGAGGACGAATTCTGCTTCTCAGCAGGACCCGCAGGCCACCACCATCCTTTACCCCCTCAGCTCCTTGCGGTTTTTCTGGAGAATGGAGAGATCATCTTCATGTTCGTCCGTGAAAATGCCGAGAGGAAGCTTGAGTTCGTGACGGGAAAATATGAAGACAACATACATCATGCCCTCTCTAACGACTATTCTGGATTTTATGTGGCCGTTGACCCGAGCTCACGCTACATGGCCATGGCGTCCGTGGATTATATTGTTATCTACGAGCTGGAGGAGCGCGAAGTGCTCGCAGAACGATATTCGCGTGGCCAACCTTTGAAGCCGGTGAAGACACATCGTCTGCGCCACACTCCAGGATCGGTGGTCAATATGACCTTTCTCTATCCACAACTGGGACACCCAGGGCATATCATTCTCTTGATGATCATCGCCAATAATGGCCGACCCAAGGGTTATGTGCTGGACTGGATCTTGGGAGAGAAACTTCCAAACGTTGTCTCCAGGATTGGGCTTAATAAGTTCGGCATCCCCCCGGAGCATTGTTGCCCTACGTTACTGATTCCACTAAGGGTGGAGTCAGCATATATCAGCGTATCAGGCAAGCATCTTGCCTTAGTCACTGGTGCTGTGCATGGGGCACCCATACACGAACGTCTGTCTTCTTTGCAGAATGAGCCTCCTGCATTTCCTTACCACAACCGAACAACAAGAGAGCCTTTGTGGGTGGCTTGGGCAAGGCCGTTGCGCTACTCGTCTTTTTACTCTGGAAAGGACTCAAGAGGAAACCCGCCGAAGGATTTCTTTTACCTTGCCAGGCATGATGGGCTAGTCATTCATATCGAGGCCAAACGGGAAGATCAGGACTCAGTCAGTCTAAGTCTAAACATTCTAGAGTCGTTCCCATGTAGCATGGATGTCGGGTTGTTTGCCTGCTTGTGCGAGGATCAAGCCTTTGATATTCTCGTCTTGGGCAGCACCAACGGCCCTGGAGGCTACTGGAAGGTAAGAAGCCTTCCACTCTTTCGTAGTATTACTTGGGCCTCTGGCTAACCTCCTTCTTTGGCAGACACTTCCCTTGGGCCCAGTTGTCTTTCTTGGAGAACTTCCATATTGGGGCCCGGTTTACGATTTCACGACAACAGACGAGTTCATTGACTGTGAGGGGGGTTCCCAACATAAGGCAATGGTGCCGTGGCAGGAGGGTACGGTACGAAGGCCAGATCGCGTCTTTGCGGCCGTTGACATGGGCAAGAAGGGCGCTATCGTCGAGTACAGATACGGCCTAAAAGCAGACATCGGTCTTGACATAGACTGGCCCGGTGCCGTGAAGCGCGTTTGGCTGGTCTCAGGTCATCATCCATTTTCACACCAAGGGTACCTCCTGCTGCTTTCGGGGGTTGATCGCTCGGCGGCTGTCTACATGTCGTACGATTTCGGCGATGCTGAGGAAAAGACTGTGGACGATGGTGTTCCGTTTGACTTGTCGTCACCCACCTTCGCCATGGCTTGTTCTGCCCCCATGGTAGTTCAGGTCACTAGGCAGAGTATTGTGTTGGCGGCGTATGGTCGGAGGTATGCCTTACTACTCGAAGAAAGTGGTTCACTGGGAAATCGGGGAGGTTGACGATGCTAACTTTATGCCAGCATCCGGGTTCCAGTTCAGGAAATTAGCGGTTTAGTTGATGCCGAGGTGTCAGACGCCTGCATCCGTGATGACTGTATCGCCCTCTCCGTGCTGAGACAAGCCCGCTACGTCATTCAGATATTGAAGATCGACACGTCCACCCTCCGTGTGGCCCCCGTCCACGAACTCGAGGTGGACGGAGAAGTCACTGCCCTTGGTCTTGATGCTGACTACACTCTTTTGGTTGGCGTTCGGAGAAATCTTCAGACATCGCTGGACTATTGTTCTTTGACAAATCCTTTGGGAGGATTTGAAACGGTGAACTTGACAGAGTGTAAGTGTCTGGGACCTTTGACTATAGTACTTCTTTACTGACAAAACGTAAGACCTTGTGGAACAAATAGGACCCCTTTTACCCGAAGGCCCTCCCGTCGCGGAAGGTATCGCGGATATTCTCCCCCTGAAGGGCATGGTCCTTCTTGGCACCAGGAGCGGAGAGGTGATCATCTTGAGGAATGTCGACGGTTCTGTGCTCATTGAGAGCGAGAAATTTGGCTCCGCAGTGGCACACCTGACTTATAGTTCTCGGTCCGGAGAGAACGGCTCCTCCGTGCTTATTACTTGTGACAATGCTCTTGTCTCCATGAGCCTTGATGTCGCCTACACTGGCACTCAGGCAATCCTCAAGTCCAAGAAGCATCGCGTCTGGCCTGTGGATTCTCAGGCACTTCACGAGCTGGCACCACCCGTCCAGTTTGCTATGGCATTAGATGTGCCAGCAGATGACAGCGTCACGCCTCTTCTCATGGTGTCTAGCTCGAGGTTGCTGCTTGCCGAGTTACATCACACTCCTGGACTGGTCAACCGCGTCCTCACCGTCAACGGCACACCGACCAGGGTCATGTACTCGCACGCCATGCAGTCTCTTATTGTTGGGATGGTCCGTGAAGGCAGACCCGACCTTGTCTTCCTTCACCCTGACACTGGCGAGCATATAGGACGTCCTCAAAACAAACAGGGTGCACCTATTGACTCCCTTCAGGCCTTTGACAAGTTTGGAGATCGGATTTTTACGCTCACAGAATGGACATACAAAAAGGACCACGGCGTCTGGAACCTGCTCCTCATCGGCTTGAAGATGGGCCTCCTCCTCGTCGTCCGCATGGACAAGGACACCCATGGCGGCCATCTCACCATCCGTTACCGCCTGCTGTACAAGCGGGACTATGGCGAGCCAGTCTACTCTGCCATTGGATATGACGCGGGCATTGTTTGCTGCGCGGGCGACCTCATCCGATGGGAGGTTCTTGACCCGGAGGACAAGAAACTCAGGCCGCTGCGCGAGTTTCCCATCAACTCACCTGGAATTGCTTTAAGGATTGCAAACGGCAAGCTGTTCTGCCTCACGAAGAGTGATTCCCTCGCCGTTCTGGAGCACGGCAACGGGACGGAGCCGACCACCAAGCTGTGTCATGTCGACCCGTATAGGACCGAGAGCTGGCACATGATCATGGTGGAGAGTCCCGAGCCTGAGCAACAGCAACAGCAACACTCGGCAATTGAGGGTGAGGGTAGTGAGGAGAACCAGCAGCACCAAGGGAAGAGAGGCGCCATGGTCCTCACAGCAGACCGATTTAACGGCATCGGAGCGACTTGGGTGCCGTGGTTGACCAAGGAGCAGGAAACCCACCTCGTCGTGAACTCCGAGCTACGCGTTGGCTCGATCCGTCGCTTCCGCCGGGGCCGGACGCGCCCCGTCTGGCAGCAGTATCAGGGCCGCTGTCGCCCACGCTATGGCCGTCTGGCAGCGACCATCGACGACGCGGACATCCTCGCTGTGACCTTCCTTGGCTCAGTGATCCAGATGAGCTTGCTCAATCCCGACGCGTGGCGCCTGCTGAAGTATATTGCGAACCTGGCGTTTGCGGACGAGGAGATATGTCCGTATTTGTGCTTTGGGGAGGACAAGGAGGAGCAGGCGAGGGTGAGAAAGGATCCGGAGCCGAGGGAGGAAGCGGAGGAGAGGTGGGTGGATGGGGATTTGTTGAGGAGGGTTGTTGAACGGGGGATTTTGGGTAGGTTGGTGAGGGGGAGGGAGGAGAGGGTTAAGGAGTTGCTTGGTAAGGTTGAGGGGAGGGAGAGGGAAAACGTTGAGGCGGTTGTTCGGGGGGTGGAGGAGGTCCTGGGATATTATTTGGAAGTTGCTTTGTAGAAAGTTGACGGGGATGAATGGGATTTTGTTAGGAGGGGCATGACCTGACAGCTTGGAAGACTGGCTGTTTCCTTTTGGCCTTTTTTGCATCGCTGGCAGCCTAGCAAGCTTCCTCTTACCTCGAGACATAGAGCTCAAAGCTCGTGTCCGGAGGGATGGGGTAGCCTGGATGCTCTCCTTTTCCTCATGTGAGAGCCGAGCATCGGGCCGATCACCTGTTGAATATTGGAGTAACTGATGGATGGCTAGGTGTAGGGTAAAATGTGTGGATATTCAGTGTTTTGGTAATCTGATCTTCCTGTTTGGCTTTGTGTTGGTGTGGAAGTTCTCAAGGGGATGTAAGGCATCATGATGATGGTCTTGAGGACGGGCTTGATGTTACTGTAACACAGGTCAAGGTGTAATGCTCGGCATGCAATATTCATGTGTTACACCGGTTGGGCTTTGAGTGAGGACATGATGATACTGACTAAGATTGAGAAGGGCTGCCTGTTTCGCATGATTCATGATGCCTTATGGATTTAGAAACCATCAAGTAGAAGCAGTTTTCTAGTTTGTCTAACATGGCATAGTCTTTCTCAGTGTTGTGAGGCCCTTTTGTCGAGACACAGGGATTATAGAAAAACTAGAGTGAAAATTTCTGTGGTTTCTTGTACAGATGTAAAATCCATACCGTGGTACAAGTTCGTACATGGCGCTTATCGCAATCCTGGCAGGGTAGAGCGGGTAGAGCGGATGTCTAGACTTGTGAAGAGAAGACACAATGAGAGTATGGGCTTTCAATTGTTCTATGGAGTTCAACATCACTATAGTTCTCATGGGACATTACATCACTATATCTTTGTTGGGGTCTTCTCTGAGGTTCAAGAGTCGAAGTTTGGTGCCGGTACCCAGGGCACACACACATCCCACGTCTCTGCTGCAATACGATATGATACAAAATACTTTACCGGACCCACCAATCAAACCCCACAAGCCCTACAGCGCACCACTCACAAGGGCGGACGGCTAGGGCGGGCGGCGCCGCTGGCTTGGGTAAGCAACGTTCTGGTTGTGTGTGTCCTCACAATCCGCGCAGCCTGACGAACAGTTCAACCTCAGGAACGACAAGGCGTAAGTCAAGCCCCTTTTTAAACGGTTGGGCTTTACGTACTGTTTCCTTTTCTGCAGGACGAGTCCCAGCCTGTGCGTCACCTTCAAGTCAAGGAAGGCCGTTCCCTCAAGGTCAGGTACCTGACAGTATTACGATCAGGCGTACCGATAAAAGAGGAAGATCTTTGCCACGGACCACCACTGTGGACAGGCGAGCCTCCATCGAACCTAGCTTGTCTTTACCTTACCTACTACCCCGACGGATCTACTTCTTTCCGTTACCTCTAACAACACCTCAACCTAAGAGCCTGCCAGGTCGTTAATTCGTTTCCTGTTCGAGGATTAGGAATAGGTTAAAGGGATATATCTTCCTTTAACCAATTTTTAATCGACCGACCGACCGAGCAAAGGGCAGATTGAGATCAGTCGTCCTCCCATCGCATTAGCAAAGAAAAGCCCCGCGTTAGCGCGATCTTTTCTTTCTGTGAGAGGAACGGCAAAGTTCACATTCACGGATCCCGTGCAGAACGAGCACGCTCGCCGTCCAACTGACTGACCTTCTCGAGTCAAATAACACCAGCCAGCCGTCACGATGCCACCTAAGGGAAAGAAGAATAGAAAGAACGACGACTGGGACGCCGACCTCGGCGAGTCCATCGCCCCGGTTAACCCCGCCGCTGCAGCCCCTGCTGCGGCCGAGGCTCCAGCTGCTGCCGAGAAGGAGGAGGAGGCCCCCGTCGGCGGCCTGATGGCCTTGATGCGCAAGAACAAGGAGAAGCGCAAGAAGAAGGGACTCAGCGAGGACTGGCTTGACGGGGAGACCCCAGAGGGTCAGGCCCCTGCTGCTGCTCCTGAGCCCGACCTTTCGGCTAAGCAGGCCGAGGAGGCTAATCTCGAGGACGAGTGGGCGCTGCCGGATAAGAAGGGGAAGAAGGGTGGCAAGCAGCAGCAGAACAAGAAGCAACAACAAGAGGAGAAGAAAAAGGATGATGAGGAGGTTCCGGAGATTAGGGTGTTGACGAAGGCGGAGAAGGAAAGGTTGAAGAAGGAGAGAGAGAAGCAGCGCAAGAAGGAGCAGGTGTGTTTCATGGGGATAAATCTTCAGAAATGGCTTAGTACTGACGTCTACTACCTATAGGCTGCCAAGAAGAAGGCCGCTGGCCCTGCTCAGCCGCAGAAGGCCGAGCCAGCCAAGCCGGCTGAGGAGGAGAAGAAGCCTGAGGAGCCTGCCCCGGCCCCGGCCCCGGCCCCGGAGCCCGCTGCCGGCGGCTCCAAGAAGAAGATACCGGCGCACCTGCGTCTGATCCAGAAGCAGCAGGAGGAGCTGCGTCGTCGTCAGGAGGAGGAACAGCGTAGGCTAGAGGAGGAGCGCCGCAGGATAGAAGAGGAGGAGCGCCGAGCGGAAGAAGAGCGCAAGCGCAAGGAGGAGGAGAAGGCACGCAAGAAGCAGAAGGAGAAGGAGAAGATCGAACAGCTCAAGCGCGAGGGCAAGTACCTGACAAAGGCGCAGCGCGAGGAGAAAGCGCGCAACCAGCGCATGCTGGAGCAGATGCGCGCCGCGGGTATTAAGATTGCGGCGCTGGAGGAGAAGAATAAGGAGGAGGGTGCTGCTGAGGGGGAGAAGGAAAAGAAGGAGAAGAAGAAGCCGGAGAAGAAGCGCCGCCCGAACAAGGTATGCTTATGCTTGCTTAGATGATGGAGTTTATTGATACCCATGTGCTAACTGTGGTTAGGTTGATGAACAGAAGGCTTTGGAGGAGGCCGCTGAGCGTGCCAGGCAGCAGGCCGAGGCTGCCGCTCGCGAGGCTGAGGAGAAGGCTCGTCTTGAACGCGAGAAGGCCGAGGCCGAGGAGAAGGCCAAGCAGGCCGCAGCCGAGGAGAGCGTTGACGAGGACTGGGAGGCTGCCGCTGAATCGGATAAGGAGGATGTTCCAGATAGCTGGGATGCCGCCGCCTCCGACGAGGAGAAGGAGGAAGAAGAAGAAGAAGAAGAAGAAGAAGAGAAGCCTGCTCCTAAGAAGACTGAGAAGAAGCCTGAACCTAAGACGGAGGAGAAGAAGAAGGCTGAGCCCAAGAAGCCTGAAGCTAAGAAGGAGGAGGTTAAAAAGCCTGAGCCTAAGAAGGAGGAGCCCAAGAAGGCCGAGGCCAACGGCAAGCCGGCCACCACCACGCTGCCCACTCGTTCCAAGGAGGAAGAGAAGCCCAAGGCCGCTGAGGCCGAGAAGAAGGAGGTTGCTGCGCGTCCCAAGAAGCCGGTCGTCAACAAAGACAACTTACGCTCGCCCATCTGCTGTATCCTGGGTCACGTCGATACCGGCAAGACCAAGCTACTCGACAAGATTCGTCAGACCAACGTTCAGGAGGGCGAAGCCGGCGGTATCACCCAGCAGATCGGTGCTACCTACTTCCCAGTCGAGGCCATCAAGCAGAAGACGGCTGTCGTCAACAAGGACGGCAAGTTCGAATTCAAGGTTCCCCGGTCTGCTCATCATCGATACTCCTGGTCACGAGTCCTTCTCCAACCTGCGCTCTCGCGGTTCGTCGCTGTGCAACATCGCCATCCTGGTCGTCGATATCATGCACGGACTGGAGCCTCAGACCATCGAGTCCCTGCGCTTGCTGCGCGAGCGCAAGACGCCCTTCGTCGTCGCCCTCAACAAGATCGACCGTCTGTACGGCTGGAAAAAGATCGAGAACAACGGCTTCCGCGAGAGTTTTGCTCTGCAGAACAAGGCCGTCCAGAACGAGTTCCGCAACCGTCTCGACCAGGTCAAGCTCCAGTTCGCCGAGCAGGGCTTCAACTCGGAGCTTTTCTACGAGAACAAAAACTTTGCTCGCTACGTCTCACTCGTGCCCACGTCTGCCCACACCGGCGAGGGCATTCCCGACATGCTCAAGCTGATCGTCCAGCTGTGCCAGGAACGTATGGCTAGCTCCCTCATGTACCTCTCGGAGCTGCAGGCCACCGTGCTCGAAGTCAAGGCCATCGAGGGCTTCGGTGTCACCATCGATGTTATCTTGTCGAACGGTATCCTCCGCGAGGGCGACCGCATCGTGCTGTGCGGTCTCGAAGGCCCTATTAAGACCAACATCCGCGCCCTGCTCACCCCGGCTCCCATGCGCGAGCTGCGTATTAAGGGCCAGTACATCCACCACAAGGAGGTCAAAGCCGCGCAAGGTGTCAAGATCAGCGCCCCCGGTCTGGAAGGCGCCATTGCCGGTTCCCGTCTGCTGGTCGTTGGCCCCGACGACGACGAAGAGGAGCTCGAGGAGGAGGTCGAGTCCGATCTGCAGAGCCTGTTCTCGCGTGTCGAAAAGACAGGCAAGGGCGTCAGCGTGCAAGCTTCCACGCTGGGTTCGCTCGAGGCCCTGCTCGACTTCCTCAAAGATTGCAAGATCCCTGTTGCGAACGTTGGTATTGGCCCCGTCTACAAGCGCGACGTCATGCAGTGCGGTATCATGTTGGAGAAGGCGCCCGACTATGCCGTGATGCTGTGCTTCGATGTCAAGGTGGATAAGGAGGCGCAGCAGTATGCGGATGAGAACGGGATCAAAATCTTCACGGCCGATATTATCTATCACTTGTTTGACCAGTTCACGAAGCACATGCAGGAACAGCTGGAGAAGAAGAAGGAGGAGAGCAAGATGCTCGCTGTCTTCCCCTGCGTGCTGAACCCCGTAGCTGTGTTCAACAAGACGAACCCCATTGTTGTGGGTGTAGACGTTGTTGACGGCCAGCTGAAGTTGAATACCCCCATCGCAGCCGTCAAGATGAACCCGACGACTGGCCAGAAGGAGATTATTTCCCTCGGCAGAGTGTAAGTACCTACTGCTACAGACAAAACATCCTCTCTAAACCTCCCGCGGATTACTAACATTTTGTGTGTAGCACCGGCATCGAGCGCGACCACAAGCCCCTCCAAGTGTGCAAGAAGGGCCAGCCGGCTGTGGCCATCAAGATCGAGATGGGCGGGCACCAGCCGGCATATGGGCGGCATCTCGACGAAAAGGATGTGCTCTACTCACACATCTCGCGCGCCAGTATCGACGTGCTCAAGCAGTTCTACCGCGATGTGGTTACCACCGACGAGTGGCAGCTTATCATTAAGCTCAAATCCGTTTTCGATGTTCAGTGAAGAGCTCGCGGCTCTTGAATCTTTCCTTCATTCAGGAGGGTTTTACCTGCTTGGTTGATTGGTCGGTTGGCTGGTTGGGTTCACGAACAAGGTATGAAAATTGGGGATGAAGGGGCTAAAAAAAAAAAACAAAACCAAAATGAGGGAAGGTAGGCAGGAAAGGAGATTGGTTGATGGGAGAAGTGAGGGAAAAAGAAATATAAACCTGAGTTAGGAGGATAGGTTAGGTTGGTTGAGGGTGGGGTGGTGGGAGATAAGGGATGGCTTGTTTTTATCACGAGGCATCATGATCCCATCTTAGACTACCTTGGTACCTACTTATGTAGGTCATTGTATGAAGTAGGTTTCAGGCTTATATTTGACAATTGCGCTTAGTTACCTACCTATAGACTGCTCTTCTTATTCACGGATGATGATATTCGCACTGTCTCATTCTAAGGGACGGGAGGTATGAATAAATAGGATGGCGGGTCGGGAACAATTTTTTAGGATCAAAATGTCCAACCGCCATCCTTTCCACTGCGGAAGCTAGGTAGACGCTTCTACTCGCCAAAGTCGGGAGTCTATTATTATTGATATTGGGCCCTTGATTTAGGCCTCATACAAAGCATCTTGCCCGCGAGACTAATGTATAGAGGATGTATGGAATGGATGAACATTGCACCTCCTCCCCCGCTTCCCTACAAACTTTGGTAACCACACACCTAGGTATGATGTATCCAAGACAAAGAAAAGGAAAAAAAAAAAAAACGCGGTGGCGTGACTATTTAAAAGAAATGTACATCCTGCTCCTTCCATCCCAATCCGCCCTCCCCAAGCAATACCTCTCTCACCATCTCCTCCATCCCCTTCGGCCCGCAAACCAACACCATCGCATCCCCCTGTCCTTCGGGAGCCAGTCCAACCTCCCTCTCAAGGAGCTCACGGTTTATCCTCGCCCTTCAACCCGCGCCATGTCTCGCCGGGCTGAGTTAGGATATGCACGACCCTACACCGCCCCCGACTCTGCTCTTCAAGTTGTGTGAGAGCCTGCCGCAGCAGGATATCGCCTTCAGTGCGATTCGCATACACCAATACACACTCAGGCTCCGGCTCCGGCTCCGACTCCGGCTCCGACTCACGTTTCCCTCCCTCCCCCCGCCGCATCCCCTCAACGACGAAGCGGAGGACAGCCCACATGGGCGTGATGCCACTCCCACCGGCAAGCATGACAAGCCTCTTCACTCTCCTCTCGGCCTCGTGAACGACACACCGTCCCCGACCGCGATACTCGAACCCCCCAACTGGACCCTTCGTCTCAACGGGATGCCCTAGGGGTAAGCTCTCTAATGCTGTTGTCATCCTCCCCCCCGTGGGGTACCCCTTCTTCGCGTCGGGGCGGTAGATTTTGATCAGGATTTGTACCTCGCCGATGTTGTGGGAGGGAGAGAGGGGGGTGTAAGCGCGGATGATGGGCTCTCGTGTAGCTGGGTCGCGGAGGCGCAAGAGGAGGTGTTTACCCGCGGGTAGGCCCAAAGGCAAATGGGAGTGGGATGGGGGAAAGTGGAAGGTGAAGATTGTGGAGTCAGGGGAGATGGGGGTTTTGGAGTGAAGGATCAGATGGGACCAAAAGGTGGGGGAGAGGAAGGTCGTTTGGGGGGTTGAGGGGGACATTGAAGGGGGGAGGGAGAGGGCTGAGAGGGAAGGAGAGAGATAGCCGATGTGGTATTGTGGGAGCATTGCTTTGGCGTTTTCGGAGTCTGAATTGATATTAGAGCTATGCTCGGCTGTCTTATCATGGGGAGAGGAGGAGGGGTGAGAGGGAAAGACCTACGAATAGCCAAAAACTCCTCGCTCACGTCCTGCCCAGCGGCATGGATAATCGACGCGGCGCCGCCCGGATGGCCTCTCAGAAACGGCGTGCCATCATAAACCTGGCCCTTCACCACAAACCAAGGCTCTTCTTCCCCCGAGTGCTGATGGAGCTCCTCCAGCGTAATCTCCCTCTTCACGTCGGGGTTGACCATGCTGATCTCCTTCACGAGCTTCTCCTCCTCGATCTTCCCATTGCCCCCACTCCCCGGCACTTTCTCCCCCCAGAAGCCATTCGCCAAATCCCCTCCCTCCCTCTTGACCCTCTCCATCCAGCCCCCCGGCATCAGCGCTGGTTGCACGGGGTGCTCAAACCACAGCGAATCCCCCTCCCGATGAATAACGACACGATACCAAGGGTTATTCATCATACCCAACACGCTCCAGTACATGTCCCTGGGCTGGACGTGCAGGGCCTCGTCCATGGCGCGCACCATCACATCCCCTGCCGCAGCCAGCTCGCTCAGGGGGAGGGCCAGCCTCCAAAAGCACCAGCAGAAGGACGTGTCCCTGGCCGCGACGTCGATGCGGCCGCCGAACAGGGTCTCGCCGTCGGGAACAGCGCGGTATGCATCCTCGGGGTAGTCGATCTCGGCCAGCTTCCACGACCGGCCCTGGTCGAGCGTCACTTCGAGACGGGTGACGCGACGTCCGCCGCCCGCGTAGGCGTACCCCCTCAGCGTGAACGCGCCATCCTGCTGGGCAAGCGTTACGCGCTGCTCGTGCGCGGGAACACACACCGCGCTGTTCGTGTTCAGGTCGTAGATCGCGTACCTCTCGTCCCGCCACACGTCGGGCACATTCGCGCTCTGCTCCGGGTCAATCGTCGTCGGCAGCACCCGATTATCGTAGATATGATACCAATTGTCTGACGGCTGGGCGGTCACAATGATGCGTTTGAGCCACTTGACGCTGCGTCCGCCGATCTGGCCGGGGATGACAACTCGCAAGGGTTTCCCATGATCCGGATGCAGCACCTCCCCGTTCATCCCGTGCGCAAGCAACATCCCCCGCTGACGATCCATCGCCCAACTCAAGCGCACCGACGTGCCGTAGTGCCCATTCGGCAGGGCGTCGGCCCCCTCAAAACAGACGTACCTCGCTCCGCGTAACGGCTTCGCCCGCGCCAGCACCTCCACCAACGGAACACCCGTCCACAGCGCTGTCGACACCCCCGCCGCGCCCCACGAAAACCCCTTCGTCTTCCTGACTACATTCTGCTCCTTCCGCCTGTTCCCTGCGCAGACCAGCGTCACGGGGTACGTCACCTGCTCGAACTCATCCAACAACTCCCTTAGTGTAAGCTTCATTGGGTGCTGGACCATCCCCTCGACGGTGACCTCCCAGTCGAGGATGGACGAGTCGGGGACGAAGGGCACGGCGCCATGGTTGCGCACGTAGTGCAGGGAGGTAGGGGTGAGGAAGCCTGCGTTGAAGAGGTCGGTTAAGGGGGCCTCGACGTTGAAGGGGTGGATGCCGGTTAGGCGGATGAGGCGCGGGTCGCGGGGAACGTGGGAGTCGGGGGTCTTGAGGTCTTCCGGGAGGACTTGGAGGGGTCGGGATTGTGGGGGGAGAGGGTAGAGGACTTTGCGTGGCTCGGGCGGTTCAAAGGGGGTTGACGTGCCTGAAGTTGCTGGCGTCGAGGATGGGGAGGGGTCGGAGTCGAGGGAGTTTGATGTGGCTAGGCTGGAGAGACTAAGGCTGCTGAGGCTTTGGGCGACGGCTTCGCTTAGGGGTTGAAGGTCGAGAGAGGAGTCCATGGTTTGAGCTGAGGGTAGAGCCACATGCATGGTGCTCAGGTCTTAGTAGGTAGGTATGTGGTGAGTGCTGGAGTCCTTAGGGGACTAGACCCTGGGCTGCCTAGGTGTATAAGATCTAGCTAGATCTAGCAGAAAACTCAAGTCAGGTCAGCCGGGACCTAGGTCCACAAATATCACAGCAGCACATGTCTTCAAGGTTCCCTGTCCATAGACAGTTCATCCTTGGCCGATTCCTGCTTCTCCGATTCCTGCACGATAACCGCGGTCGGCCATATTGATCAATGGGAGCCGATGGTGTATGGTGCAGGCGGGCGATATCGACGGAAACGGTTCCGCGGGAGCGGTAACTTGGGGAGCCGTCGAGCCTTACAAAGAATTACTTAGGCTGTGTAGAGATGAGCAAGCATGCAGTCACAGCCCCCATATCTCCACGTCGATGATAGCACTGTCAACGCTCAAACTCTCAGTGGCCGTCCGAGGAGCCCGGAGAAGGGAGCATCCCGCTCCCGCAGGCCGCAGCGAGGTCTTTGAAGTCTTCTTCCGCGGACATCCATCGATCGGAGACAGGGTAGGCATTAGCGGATCGCGACATCGAGCCTATCAGAGCCCTGTGGGCGCGCAAGGAACAAATCAGATGGCGTGATAAGGGGTCCACAGGGCTCTTAAATGGGACCTGGGATGGCGCTTGGAGATGGGAGTCGCGGAGATGTTTGTGTCGAGGTCGCAGACGAGAGCTGGAGTGCAGCCGTTGTGTTGAAGCGCTCGGATGCAGATGCACAACACAGTTGTACACGCAGCTGGCAAGTTGTCGTAGATAAGAAGCTTTTCTTCTCTCCGTTATGTAAACCAAAGGGCCAGGATTGACTAAAAGTGCTCATTCCAGACCCCCACGCTGCTGTCGTTCTGGTCGCCGACCGCCTTACTAACATCGAGACACCATCTCCCTCGGAGATTTCTCCGAGCCAAGCCAAGCCGGAGGTGACACGAGCTGCCTTACTTTAGCGCTCGACTTGCTGACCTGGTCGAGTGTGTTTGCTTTTGCTTTTACTATGAGATGCCTCGAGTCTTTGCCGTTGTCAAGCAGATGATGGGTCCATCGTTGTCCAATCTTTTGGTCGTCAACATGCACCTAAGCTTCCATCAATACCTGGGTAGGCACTAGGTACTCTCGAGGGCGGTTTGCTGGATGCACGTTTGGACTCTCTGATGTCGGCATCATGGCGATAGATTGAAAAATTGGCTGCGTAACGGGATGCTGTTGTGTTCTCGAGTCTCGTATCCTGTAGGTTTCATCATTTGCGATGGCAATGATCCATTGGTATGCAGGATGCCCGTTATACTGTTAGTTGATTGAGCCATGTGGATGCTCGATGTTGAGAGGAAATCAAGGCATCGCAAAATACTCGAGGACCTAAAAGCTCACCAGAGAACCACTACCCCAAAGGCCAAGGGCGACATCATCAGTCATCGATCACCGGATCATGTATGTTTCGGTGGGGTAGTGTGCCGAACTTGTCACATCTGGAATTGACGTGGGCTCTGAAAAAAAAATTGACTCTTTGATCTAAACAAGTTGAATTTAGGCAGGCAGGCCATCTTTAAAAGAAAAATCGAGTTGGGAATAGGATGACGATAAAGAATTGGTCGAGATGAGAAAATGTCGAGGCCATTGCAGGTGAACCAGCTGCGGTGGGGCTCTGGGGCCGGCTACTCAGTGGCGGTAGCTCTGAGGTGGGGCAGCCAGCCCAGAATCTGGGCTTAAGCTAGGCGCTGAGAGCCAGTGAGAAAAAGCCCGCCGGCGGGGCACCACAGCGCACCACAGCGCTGAGGCCAGGCCAAATCCACCAAAAACTTGACGTCCAAGTAGAGAGAGATCCATCCCGGTTCGTGCATCATCACATCGCTCGTCGCCGACCCCGCGGTCACGGCTCAGGCTACCTATTCGTCTTTCACGATCAAACCCGACCCTACTAACACCAATTTTCCTCGACAGCGTCCATCGCTGGCCCTGGCTGCCGCCCTGCACTCCCACGCCCGCAGAGACATCCGCCCCAGTGCCTCTCGAGGCTGTCGCCGACCACAACACCGATGCCTGCCATTGTGGATGGGGATTGCCGCTTCCGCTTCCTAAACCCTTAGCGCCTACGCCTATCGCATCGCATGACTGCGAGTACAATCTGACTGCTGTTTGAAGCAAGAACCAGCCATGGACCGCGCACGTCGCCATGAGCTGCGCGAGCTGAATGTGCGGGCGTGGAATGGCGAGACGGGCCTCTTCCCCGTGGCCGCGTCGCTCGACTCGACCATGAAGAAGAACACGGCCTTCATCAAGCGCCTGCGCACCGCCATCTCCCCCGCCACTCTCAACACGTTCCTGCAGGAAATCAAGACCGTCAGCCTGTCCAAGTACCTGTCCGAAATCATCTCGGCCTGCCACGAGGGCCTCTGTAAGCTCAAGTCGCCCGGCGAGATCGAGGCGGCTGTCGAGATCGTCAGCGCCCTGCACCAGCGCTTTGGTCCCCACGAATTCACATGCTACTTAGCCTGGCACCTGGGCAAGTCGCTGGCCACGCCGGACAAGAGCGTGCTCAAGACCCTGACTCCAGAGGCCCGTGAGAAGGAGGAGAAGGACCGCCTATCGCGCCAGCGCGTGCTGCTGCGTGTCGTCACCGAGCTCTGGCTCGTCGGCGTGCTGCGCACCCTCGACGACGCCAAGCGGCCCGACGACGTCATTGCCAACGGCGCCACTGGCAAGCAGGCCGAAGTCAAGTCCAAGGCCTCGGCCAAGGGCAACCCCGCCGAGCCCTTCCCGCTCGAAGTGCTCAAGGACCTGCTCGGCCACGATCGCGAGCACGTCAACCTGCCCCTGCTGGTTGTCTTTGTGAAGGCCTTCAGCTGGGATGTCCTGGGCGTGCGCGGCGCCGGCTCCGAGGGCCGCAAGACGGTCGAGGAAGACGGCGCGACCAAAGCTGCGGCTCCCCCGGCCGAGGGCAACAATGCCAGCTCCGCCGAGGACCAGCAAGAGGGCCAGCCAGCTCCGAGCTCCCAAGACCCGCCCCTGACGCCGCCAGAGCTCCAAGAGCGCTTCAAGAATGTGCTCCGCCGATACTTTGAGGATGTCAAGCAGCATCTCATCCGCGACCAGAAGGCCCTTGCCAGCCAGTCGCGCAAGAATGCCGAGGCCTACGTCAAGTCGGGCGAGGTGTTCGAGGACCGCCAGGCCAACTTTGAGAAGCAGGTCAAGGCCCAGGAGCGTCTAATCGCCAACGCCCAGGTCATTGCCGACGCCATCGGCGCCGAGATGCCGGACCTGAAGGAGCACGAGGATGTATCTGCCACCGCGAACGGCTCCATCGGCCTGGTTAAGACCGGCGAGTACCTGCGTGGTCAGGGCGACGGACCCGGGATCTGGGAGGACGAGGAGGAACGTCGCTTCTACGAAAACCTGGTCGATCTCCGCGGCAAGGTGCCCGGCATTCTGCTCGAGGAGGTCAAGAAGAAGAAGCAGGATTCTGACGAGCAGGTCGGCAAGAAGATCGACCTAGAGACCGCCGCTGAGGCCAAGCAGGTCGATGCTTCCGCCGAGGACCAGTCTGTGGCCATTGCCAACAAGACCATCGGCGCGCAGGTCGACGCTCTGCTCGCTCGCCTGCCCGACCTGACGACCAAGGACGCCGTCGACCAGATGGCCATCGATTTCTGCTACCTCAACTCCAAGGCTTCGCGCAACCGCCTGATCAAAGCCCTGACCGACGTGCCTAAGGGCCGCACCGATCTCCTCCCGTGTTGGGCCCGCCTGGCCGCCACCCTCGGCCAGTACATGTCCGACGTCCCCAAGGGGCTGGTCGAGTACCTGGATAACGAGTTTCGCAGCCTGCAGCGCCGCAAGGACAAGGAGTTCCTGGGCCAGGTGCGCCTCATCAACATCCGGTACCTGGCCGAGCTGACCAAGTTTGGCGTGGTCCCCGAGCACGTGGTGTTTCACTGTCTCAAGGTCAGCCTGGACGACTTTTCCAGGGTGAACATTGAGATTATTTGCACTATGCTCGAGAACTGTGGCCGGTACCTGCTGCGCAACCCTGAGACGTCGCCACGCATGGCGAGTTTCCTGGAGACGCTGCAGAGGAAGAAGTCCGTGCAGCATATCGGTCAGGCGGAGAAGATGCTTATTGAGAATGCCGTCTACTATGTTGATCCGCCGCAGCGCCCGGCCATTCAGCAGAAGGAGCGCACGCCAATGGAGTTGTTCATCAGGAAGCTAATCTATGCTGATCTGAATAAGCGCAGCTACGATAAGGTGCTGAGGCAGATTCGGAGGCTTCACTGGGAGGAGAAGGAGGTATGTTCTTTTTCTTTTTCTTTTTTCTTTTCTTTTCCTTTCTTTTTTTTCCGTCCTAAGTATCTGCTGAAGCTGTATCCATCCGTCTGTCTAACACCTTTCCCCCCTCCCCCTCGTTTCTCCCAACAACAGGTCGTCGCCGTCCTTCACAAGGTCTTTTCCAAGCCCAGCAAAGTCAAGTACAGCAACATCCACCTCCTGGCCATCCTCCTCAGCGCCCTCTACCGCTACCACCCGGCTTTCGTCATCGGTGTCGTCGACACCGTCATCGAATCCATCGCCCTCGGCCTCGAGCAGAACGACTTCCGCTACAACCAGCGCCGCGTCGCCGAAGTCAAGTACCTCGGCGAGCTCTATAACTACCGCATGCTGGAACACCCCGTCATCTTCGACACCATGTACAAGATCATGACCTTTGGCTACGGCGGCCCGCCCATCCCCGGTCAGATCAACCCGTTTGATCCGCCCGATGACTTTTTCAGGATCAGGCTGATCGCAACCCTGTTGGAGACGTGCGGCATGTATTTCAACAAGGGTACCGCGGGCAAGAAGCTAGATTATTTCCTTTCCTTCTTCCAGTATTATATCTACACCAAGAACCCTCTGCCGATGGATATCGAGTTCCTGGTGCAGGACATCTTTGCGCTGACCAGGCCCCAGTGGAAGTTGGCTTCTAACCTGGAGGAGGCGACCAAGGCGTTCCAGCTGGCCATCAAGTCATCTGGTCTGGACAAGGCCGTTGAGCAGGATGATCAGGGCAGTGGGGTCAGCAGTGATGATGATGCGAATGTGGAGGATGGGGAAAAGGAGGAACAGGATGGGGATGAGAATGACGGGGAGGATGAAGACGAGGGAGAGGATGACGAAAACGCCGAGGAAGAACCCTCCTATCGCAACGACAACGACTCCGACTCCGAGCGAGGCAACCATGACGACGATGAAGACGAAGAAGAAGAGGAAGAAGAAGCCATCGTGGTCACCCGCGAGGAGGAAGAAATTGACCCCGAATGGGAAGCCGAATTCGACCGGGAATATGCCAAGATCATGGCGGAAAGCTACGAGACGCGAAAGTTTGAGCGGAAACAATTCGATATCCCCTTGCCTGTGCGTCCCAAGAACCAGCAGCGCTCGGATGAATCGGGTGAAACAGGCAGCGGGGGGCAGACCACGACGCCGGGCAAGATGGCTTTTTCGCTGCTCACCAAGAAGGGCAATCGCCAGCAGACGAAGACGGTGGAGCTGCCGTCGGATTCGAGCTTCGCGGTTGCTATGATCAATCAGAGGCAGGCGGCCAAGGAGGAGCAGCAAAGGATTAAGAACTTGGTGTTGAATTATGATTTGAGGGAGGAAGAGGAGGATGACGACAACGACAAGCCTATCTCTCATCATCACCACTTCAACCGGTCGGAGAATCGCAACAGCAAGGACCGTGGGCAAAGGGTGAGGAAGTTACAGTTGAGTGATGTTGATTGGTAGTTTTGGGTGCACTGCGATGCCGGGCTCTCGTCTTCTGGCAGAGCTTGGTCATAGTTCTCTACGAAAAGATCTTCACACCATTCAACAAAGTCACTGCGCTGCACTGCTTATTGTTCATGTTCAGCAGGCAAGGCTGGAAACGAACCACTGCCAGTGTTGATTCTTTTTTTTTTTTTGTCCCGATTTTTGACGGACTGCTGGGCCTCTGTCATCGATGTTGGGGCAGGTCTGCTGTGTTGTCATTTGGGCCATTATCCATCACAACCGCATTTGTTATCCCCTTCTCTCCCCAAGGACACCAATCTGCTCAGCGGCAGCACCATCACTGTTAGGTATGCCCGCCTACCCACACACAGACAGACAGACGCCACGAGCACCTATGAAGGTCAATTGGGCAGAAGAAAGCACATTGCCTTGAGATGCACGAGTTCGATTGACTCGTTCTCTCTCTCTCTCTCTCTCTCTCTCTCTCTCTCTCTTTCTCTCTTCCAGAGGAAGGAAGGAGCAGCATAACCAAACAGATGGACAGGTCGAGAAGGCAACAAAAAGGTACCTGTCATTCTGAACGACCTCCTTCTGGATGATCTCTGCCTTACCTTAACTTCTCACCCGTCTCTCCTGCTGTTCAGCCCGACATAGCCAGCCCCTTTGGGGGCGCGAGAGGAAAGAATTTGAAATGATTGAGGAGACCGAAATTTTATGAAAGATGCTATTCGCTCACACCGAGCGAGCCCAAGAAAAAGAGTGCACAAGGCTAACCAGCTAGTCCTTGTCGTCCATGCTATCTCATTCCATTATTATGGTTATTATCAATCAAATTGCCACCTATATTTTCTGTTTCACTCCTTTACATTCCTCATAATATTGTCTTTGTTCTCCAATATCCTGACCATGCCTAAACATTAGCGGCCCTGTGGCTCAGTCATATCCATCCGGGTTGAGAGTGAGACCAGATAGGGAGGGGACCTTAGACACACAGGTTTTTCACTTCAGTTCAACCTATTATTAGATAGGTGCTTCGTTTTGGGGAAGTCTAGGGAGGTGAATTGATGCCTAACTCGTTGTTATGATTAACAGCATTGTGATCACCTGGGCGCATTTTATGGATGTGTTGCACAGATAGGAACTTTACGAAGAGCTGGATTTACTTGCTCTCAAGCAACACTTGCCAATGCCTTCAACACCAACTTTGATACCCATCCACCCGGGCTGATAAAAAAGATTACGACAGCTGCAATTTATCGAACTTACCCCGCCTAATAAATTCCCCGATGAACTAGGCTCTCACGTAAACCACCGTCGCATTGGTGCAACCCGCCTCTTTACGTCACTGTCGGTTTGGATAGCATCCCGCCATCCACCTGAAACCCGCTACTACAGTCTTCTAATCCAATGACACAAAACGTCACTTGTGAACGAATGTCCATTGAGTGTGAAGCATGAATGGTTCTCGATGTAACTGATCCTCTTGTTCCGCTCATCGACCCACCCTTCCCCGGTATCATGAGTACCCTGCGCTAGGGAAGCCAGGTTGTCTTTCCAGGCCATCGCTCACTAGCATTTAGACATTCACTCTCAGCTTGCATCAACCCACACTACCGGGAACTACTGGGAGATAGTTCCAGCCACTGCACACCGTGACAGAGCTGTTGTGTCTTGGACAGATGGAGGGAGGTATCGGAGTAGGCTGCCAGCCGAGTGTTCGTTCAGTTGTACTCGGCTGAATCCCATCAATCTCCCCGCCTTATCCAACTGCATCGAGGAAAACAATATGTATGGCCCGTTTGCCATTTGGCCAAAGAACAACCAAAGCTCGAGCCTACGTGTGATTCAACCAGCTCCATTCACTTCACAAGGCTAGGTACATAGGTGAAATGTCCATAAGGTAGATAGCACATTGTGGGTTTGATGTCAATTGAAGTTGGCGGGCGGGCTAAAAAAAAAAAAAAAAAAAAAAAAAAAGTTAGTTGTGGGTGGGGGTGTGGGAATGTGCCAAATGGATGCGATGGAGAAGCTGTGCAAGATTCTCGTAGGGGGAAAAAGGGGGGAGGGGGTGTTTAGCGACATGTCTAACTTGGAGCTTTGCAAAGCATTTGCAGGACAGCACAAAAAAATTGTAATTAAAAGTGAGCAAATCACAATTCTCCGACATTCCTGATGATTATCGCCCTTCTTGAACTATTACTGCAAGCTGGGTTGATGGGAATAGCCTTTCGTTTTCTTTTCTTTTTTATCTAAAGTTGAGCTTGAGCTGAACGACATGAATGATGATGAGAGCACAAGATTGACGTGTCACTGCTGTCAATGCGTCGAGAATCCTGTCGGGAGCTAGTGTTCTGAAGCTGTAGGGAGGACCTGTTGCGCTGGCCGACAGGATTCCCCGTCTGTCTTTTCAGGAGGAAGTTCAGACGACCAGCGGCGCGTTTCAGGTTGATGGCAACTCCGAGCGAGCTGCCGCCTTTTACACTAACAATATTATCCCATCCCAGCTCCAAATATCGATTCGTATCCAGATAGTGCAGGATCGGCCTACTTCTAGAAAACGCACTTTCTAGATAATTCTGCGCAGAGCCGATCACGATAGCGAGACAGGCCTTCTAGAAGCTGGGATAAACTCCATCTCGAGACGGCCAGTGCGATCTGAAACTGCACTAACAATTTTAGCGCCGGGAAGTTTGGGGAAGGATGCTGTCCTTGAGACCCTAAATTTATCCATCTCCACGCAGATCGATCGATCTCAATGGTCAACAAACAGCGCGGATAGATCTACACACGGAAACAGATGTGATCTGCAACAGCATGAGTTTGTCCAAGAAACACGTGCCACATTCTCGGGAACGTTCGACCACGGTTTCTTCTCCCATGGAAGTGGGTTTGTTTGCTCTCCGTTGACCGTGTAAGTGTCCGTCCCGAAACCGAAACTGCACGAAATACTACCCAGCGCCGGGAGTACGGGTGGCCGGGTAAAGAGAAGAAGGATTGTTTGCTTGCGACGGGAAAACAAAAAAGAAAAAAAGTGGAAGCATGAAGAAGCGGGTGTGTGTTTTCTGCCGTACCCGGTGGAAGGTTGATGTGGTTCGGGTTCATCCGTCCTGAATCAGTTCCAACTTTTTCCTCGCTCAATCGTTTAACCTCAAGTCATCAAACTTAACACTACACATCTCACGAATCCCTATCTCACTCACCGCATTTCTCCTCCTATGTGGTTGCCTATGCCAGATCACCAGCAAGCCATACAATCTTCAATGAAAACCTCCATTATCATCATCTCACCTATTAATCCCCTCGGACGACACGGCGTGACACCTCTGCGGTCGCTAGGCTGATCCGATCCATATGTGCCGATTTCTTCAGGCACAGGCACCTGATTTGCGGATGCGGGCCCGCAGCGCAGCGCACGTCGAGTGAAGGGGGAAGGAAAGGCTGGGAACCTGGAGACGGTGCTACTATTTCACCGGTTGATGTGGGTGTGGGCGGGTTGTTGGGTGTGGCACGGACCTTATCTGCGACTATTTTTTTTTTCGGATATCAGAACCCGCAGAACTGGGAGCGGGCTGGTCTACAAAGGGCTCACTGTGTTGCATTGAGGACATCGTTATGTACGGGACGAGAAAAAGGTCAAGGTGAGGAAGAGCAACATCAGAACACTGTAAATATGAGAGAGGCAAAAAAAAAAAAAAAAAAAACAATCTGAAACTTGCTTGTCGTGATATTGAAAGGAAGCTCAATGTTATGGACAAAGTAATAATATATTCCCATAAGTGAATATGGAGGTCTTGCTTGGATGGAGTTGGCACTAGTTGACGCTCCTGTGCTTGCATGGAACAACCCTAGCCCTAAACCCTTTGAGAAAGCCCATATGAAATGCTGTCTCGGGATCATCAGTCCTCGACATCGCCCTGCGCCGTTGCTGATAAACTTTGCGAGGATGGCATGGAAAGATGCAGAGAGTTCAAGACTCGTTGCATTCCTTTTCCTGTGCCTCCCAACTCTTTTTAAACAATTTCCATCCCATCTTCATTCCTAGAGCTTTTCATCCTTAAGTCTGCCTTGCCTGGCTCGCGCCCCACTTTCGTTACCACCCAAAACCCCACTCTCACTACGCTGCCCGCATCTGGGGGTAAACCGCAAAGACTTGTGGATTCTGGATCCGACGACTTGCAGCGTTGACCCACAGTAACGACCTCTGTGTGTACTGCAAACCAGGCACATTTGCGTTGTACCTCCACATCGCACGTTCCCCGGCTGTCAGGCACGCCACACACACAACAAGCCCCTTTTTTGCCTTCCCCCTTATCCTTTCCCTTCCGTCAATCTCAGTTGGGTGTGTTGGGGCTGCCACTGTTGTACTGGTGGACGATGGAATCTCATCAATCATCTCACGTTGAGTCCTGTTTATTTCCTATCACATTTTCTTTGTATTTGTCGAGACAGCCCCCGATTGGTGCGCCTGGCTTTTGGCTACGTGGGACTTGAAGCAGCCACATCCCCAGTGGGAGGGGACACTTCATCCAAACGCCGAGCCACCACGTCTATTTCCCTATTCCATCCTTTTTTTTTCACCTGACTTCTTTCCCTCCTTTTCCTCTTTCTGACTTGACTTGACCAAGAACAGCCTGGCTTTGATCAGCTTAGTCTGTCCTAGTAGTGCTCAGCGCACTTTGCCTCGTAGGGCTGGACACACGCCGACAGGTACCCTATCGGTTAACATGCAACTTCATTGGTCTGTGAGCTCGGATTCAGCGACCGTTGCCATGGTCCAATAACTGGAACGTGGCTTGCGCCGGGGGTACCGCTTTTAACGAGAGCGAACCACCTGACGATTGGAGACGTGGACGGTTGGGCAGCCGGTAGTGCTGACGCCTCACATACGGGTTACTCACCATACGTCAAGGTTTCTCGTATTATGACGTGAAGGATGAAGCTATTGCTGCAACTATGGTATAGCACAGGCAAGGCGCTGAGAAAGACCTAGCTACCTAGGATTTTTTTTTTCTTTGTGCTCTTGCTGTGCTGATTATAAGTGTTTCCTCGCTAGCTGTGTAATGCTGTTTTGGTTTTTGGGACGACCCGCCTAAAGTAAAGTACCCCACTCGCTCCACTACCCGCCCTTTTTTTTTGTCCTTGAAGGCCCCCGGCCCAGGTAGCCTACCCCGTACCCCTGAATCACACCACCCATCAGGGTCCAAGCGGCCGTGGCTGAGCTCCCGGCTCTGGTGCCGAGCTTCAGTTCTGTGCCTCTTGTTGTGCTGGTGAGAACTTTTCTTCGAGGAATGAGCCTCAGGAACAGGTTTTTGTCGAACGTCTTTCAAAACGACTTGCTTACGTTGCTCAAATGAGAGCTGTTCCTGCTGTGCGACGCCGTATCCCGTATATAACTTATGAGAAGGAAACACAAGGCGCTGTTCTCCCGGCTAAAATACTTCATTAGCTGGGATATTGAGCCTCTTCCTCCTCGCCTGAGGGCGATTAATCTGTTCCAGATGGCGGAGCGCAAAGACACACATGTTCGGCGCTAAAACAAAAGGATTTTGCCAACATTTGTCCAGCAGAGAGCGGCAAACAACCAGGCAGAACAATAGCCGCGAGGAGCTGGCCACGACAATGGGCAGGCGGCTCCTGATGTATCCGATCATGCATCCCGTGTGCCTAGGAACAACGCGAAGCTGCGTCGAGTGTGGAGTCGAGGGGTGACGCTCTTTTTACCTACTAAGCTCTTCAGCTCCCCAGGGGTGTCATGGCGCGACATGATGGCGTGGTTTTTGCTCTCATGTTTCTTGTCCCCATGTCGCAAAGCTTCCCGTCCTTAGCGGTTAGCCCTTTTTTGAGAATCCTTGGTTCTGGGTCCTCCCTCCTGGAACCCTAGTGCATAACAGGGCGCCTGAGTTTTCCTTAGCTGGGACAGCTCCGGAATTTTGTACCTATGTAGAATCTGTACGCACCGGGCCGTAGACGACGGTCTGTTTCTGTATTCGCACAGTCAGGCCGCAGCGTCGCAACTCGCGAAGGCTGGGCCAGAGCACGCTCACTGTAGCAGGCGATTGGTAATCTAAGCCCATTCCTGCAGCTCCGAATGGCGCAAGATCATATACAGTACTTGCCGATAGGTTGATGCCATGCCATGCCTGCTGTTGCTGCTGCTGTTGCTCATCATATTGGGTGGGTGGCTGCCATTCTCCCCCAATCCGTTCACGATTCCATTCGTCCATCACATCCAGCTCTTAACCAAACCGCTGGCGCCGTGCCAAACACAGCCAGCTGGCTAACACCCTTGCCTGTGCGGCTGGATTATTGTTTCTCTCACTCTCACGCTCGTTGCCCTTCCCCAGCTTGCATTGCTGTCTCTCGTTGCGTCTTTGCCGCCCTCTGTTGCTGCTGCGTTGCTGCTTCTTGGGTCTGGGGGATTTCGTTGGAATGCGCCATTGCATTTCCTTCGCTTGATTACTTCCCCCCCCCCTCGTCTCTTCCCTCTCGATCGTTTTCTTGTCTTTTCTTACTCCTTGGTTTCCTTTCCCCTTTCATCATCCCCGTCCTTTGTCCTTCGTTGTGTGTCGTTGCCGGCCATTCGAACTCGAAACACATGGTATAGTGTGTCGTTGTACAAGCAAAAGCAGACAAGACAAAGATATCATCACCAACATATCGCGAGCGCGCGCCCAATACCATTCCAAGCTTGAAAGAAAGAAGCTGAGAGGCACAAGACGATCTGAACGCCAGAGAAAAATAGAGATCTCACGACCCTTACACAGCCTTGCCAAACCGTTCCTGCCGTATAGGTCCCCGTTATCCGGCCATATGTCCCTGAGCTGAAAAAAAAAAATATACCCGGAGCAACAAGAGCACGCCATTCCCCTCGCGAGGCTCCCGTGGAATGTTGGCCTATTAGATAGGATCCAATTCCACACCTACGCACACACAAGCGGGCAACACATACGAGACCTCTTTCCATCCTGGGCCATCGGTCGCCGTCCACTCGCTTTCCTCCTCCTGCCTACTCCTAGCTAATTCTTTAGCTTGGAAAACACTCGTTTTTTTAAACAACATTCGTTATTTGTCCTAGAAGAAGGCGAGCGCTTGTCTTTCGTTCCCGTCTGATCTGTCTGCGAGTACCCGTTCGCTTGTGTACCACACTCACTTCCGCTGCAACTCTGGGCCGCTTGTTAGAGGTTCTTTCGCTTGACTCCAATATTAACACGAATTCGGTCCCGGAATACTGGCTCTCGGCAGAAATCAGTGTTTTCGGCTATAAGCTTAATCTGAGTTGTTGGGCGTTGTGTGGACTACTGGCAGGCTTGCGTTTAAGCTGGGACGGATCTTATCCTTGTTAAAGTCCGGATCGACAACCATCTCCAAGACTTCGAATCCAAGTTCCCGCTTCTTGGGTTTTATCGGACTGCCTACACTATGGCGGCCGACAATAATCAGGAATGGCCGGTACACGAGGTATGTGCTTGAGTTGATTCGCATGGTAGGTGCGCATAGAGGCTAATGCTGTTGCAGATCGTGTACACGGCCATCGTTGGCGTGTTGATGCTGGCCGCTCTCCTCGAGTGGTTCCTGTGGATCGCCGCCTTCCTCTACTGCCTGTACAAGGTGTTTGTAAAGGCAGAGCATTGGACGGTGAGGGTGCTGGCGGTTATCGTGGCGATTGCGTTCACTGCACTGAGGTATGTCCCTGGACGGCTGTAGAAAAAAGTAAGCAAGCAAGCAAGCAACACTGACATGAACTTTACAGACTTATCTTCTTGCCCATCATGGTGGTAACGCTGCCTTTGCCCAAGCAGATCACCGAGATGTGGCCTAAGGAGATGGTCTCCTTTCTGCAGTGGTTTGCCTTCTGGAGTTTCTCGGGTCTGCTGGTCATCCCCTGGCTGATGTGCGTCTATCAGATCGTCACCAACCAGCTAGGGCGCACGAAGCGCATCAAGCAGGTCCTCGACGACGTGTCGGCACCGAAGGTTGTCATCGTCATGCCCGTGTACAATGAGGAGCCCGACGTCCTGATTACCGCCATCAACTCGGTCGTCGACTGCGACTACCCGCCCGCCTGCATCCACGTCTTCCTGTCCTTCGACGGTGACGAACAGAACGAGCTGTACCTGCGCACCATCGAGCGGCTCGGCGTGCCGCTGACCCTCGAGAACTACCCCAAGAGCATCGACGTCACGTACAAGAATGCCCGTATCACCGTCTCACGCTTCCCGCACGGCGGCAAGCGCCACTGCCAGAAGATGACGTTCAGGCTGATCGACCGTGTGTACAAGGAGTACCTGCGCCGCAACGACAACTTGTTCATCCTCTTCATCGACTCCGACTGCATCCTCGACCGCGTGTGCCTGCAGAACTTTGTGTACGACATGGAACTGAGCCCGGGCAACAAGCGCAACATGCTCGCCATGACCGGTGTCATCACCTCCACGACCCGCAAGCACAGTCTTATCACTCTGCTCCAGGACATGGAGTACATCCATGGCCAGCTGTTCGAGCGTACCGTCGAGTCGGGCTGCGGCGCCGTCACTTGCTTGCCTGGCGCCCTGACCATGCTGCGCTTCTCAGCCTTCCGCCGCATGGCCAAATACTATTTCGCCGACAAGGCCGAGCAGGCGCAGGATCTGTTCGACTTCTGCAAGAACCATCTGGGCGAGGACCGCTGGCTGACACACTTGTTCATGATCGGCGCGAAGAAACGGTATCAGATCCAGATGTGCACGTCGGCTTTCTGCAAGACCGAGGCCGTCCAGACGATGCGCTCGCTGGTCAAGCAGCGTCGCCGTTGGTTCCTGGGTTTCATTACCAACGAAGTGTGCATGTTGACGGATTGGCGTCTCTGGCGGCGGTATCCCATCCTCGTCCTGATTCGCTTCATGCAAAACACCATCCGCACGACCGCCCTGCTCTTCTTCATCATCATCCTCGCCCTCTTGACGACAACCAAGCGCGTAGAGGAGCTCCCCATCGGCTTCATCGCCATCTCGCTCGGCCTCAACTGGCTGCTGATGTTCTACTTCGGCGCGAAGCTCCGCCGCTTCAAGATCTGGCTGTACCCGCTCATGTTCGTCCTCAACCCCTTCTTCAACTGGTACTACATGGTCTACGGCATCTTCACAGCCGGCCAGCGCACTTGGGGCGGCCCCCGCGCCGACGCGGCGGCTGCCGATGCCCACACTACCGCGCAACAGGCCATCGAAAAGGCCGAGCAGGCCGGCGACGAACTCAACATCGTGCCCGAATCCTTCATCCCTGCCGCCCGCGAGCGCCAGGAACTTGCCCGGGCTGCCAAGAAGGGCAAGGGCAAGGACAAGGAGGCTGCCGGCGACGGCAGCAGTACCGACGATCTCAAGAAGCCTCGCCCGACACCCGTCCCCTCGACCATCAGCTCCGGCCCCGGCGCGACGCTCCTGCCCCCGGACAAGATCATCGGCCGCTTCGCTGCCCCCGAGCGCACCGCCTCCGGTTGGTTCCTGCACCCGAACGACTCGATGGCCAGCATCGCGGCCACCGCCCGCAACGGCAGCTACTACAACCACCCGCACTATCAACAAGCCTACCCGGGCTCGTACCTCTCCACTGCCGACGGCAACGGCATCACGGCCGACCCCTCTGAACTCAAGCCCCCATCCTTCCTCTCCCATTACCGCCGCGACTCCATTGACAGCACTATCAGCGCACAAACGGGCATCTCTATGTCGATGTACATGCCCCAGCGTGTGGAGAACATCATGGGCGAAGAAGACCGCAAGAAGTACGAGCTGGCGATGCAAGCGCAGGCACACGACTCGTACCATTCCGCGTTTAGCGCCAGCGATCACGCGCTGCATCGCTGGAGCGAGTGGACACCGCTCCATGGTAGTGGGGGTGTTGGCACGAACGGTAGTGGTCATGGCAATGGCCGTGATCGCTCGCCTCAGGGACGGGTGTATGAAGTTGGATCGGAGCCGATCGATTCGTTGACGCCGCCATCGCCGATTCCTCCTCTGAATGCTGCGGTAGGCGGGACGCATGGGAGGAGTCCATTGAGTAGGGCGAGCTGGACGAGGACGTCTAGCGTTGAGGATGTGGAAAGGGAAATTATGGGTCAACAGCAGCAAAGTCGTCCGGGGAGCTCACGGTCTGCGAAGCAGAGGTGATGATCGCTTGATTTAAAAATGAAGGTGGCTTGGATGTTGAAGGAAAGGAGTGCTGGTTGACGGTTTTTTTTTTTTGCTTTCTTTTTTCCTGTTTGCCATGATGGGTACTTGTTTGTGAGGATCATCGTCGATTCTTGAGGGGGGTTGTTGGCTATCATGCCGTCCTGCGTTTTGCCTTAGAGCTCTGAGAGGGGGGAGGTTAAGTGAGAGATACCATTGTGGCATTTACACAGCATACAGACTACCTATCTTAGACTGCGTCAGCTACATATGTCTCGGTTGTACAGTACAGAGTAGAAAAAAAAAAAAGGATGGATAATGATTAATCATGGTGATAGGGTTGGATTATGGGTTAATGTAGGAGTCAAATGGCCGGAATATAAGCTGGTGTTTGAACAACTGTTCCTTTTGCATGTGTGACTTGAACTTTGATGTCCTGATGTAAGCTGATATAACTGATGACAAAAAACAGGTTGAATCTTCTTTGTCTTTTGATTGGAACCTCATAAAGTCTTAAATTGTACTTTGTACAATGCGAAGCACTGCCTCTTGGCTGATTTCCGAGATTGTTTATTTTATTTTCATTATCTTATACATTTCTTTATTTATTATTCCTACTGGGATCGGAGACGACCAGATCTTGTTCCAAATAACTCAGCTTTTGTGCTCAATGAGCTGACTCTGAACCCATTGCATCCCTCGCATGGAGATTTTTCATCATGATTGTTAGCGTGCTCTTATTTTCACGACGTCTCTCTCCAGCCTGGGATATCGCTGTCAGCTTTCAGCCTTCATCCCCGACAGATACCTCCAGCTCACCTCAGAAGTCAAACCTCTTTTCTTGTGAGTTCCATTCCAATTCCCCGCATCCAGTTTCTAGGAGTCTAAGAAACAGAAGGAACATCGCTCAAAAAATCGGGCCACGAACGGCTCACCTTGTCACTTCATCTCATCCTCGGAGCAGCCTCGCACAACATGCTTTGTGCCAATCGACATCAGTTGAGTCAACCACACAACATCCTTCCCGGTTTCATGGCAGCAAATGGCAAGAAACAGCCAGTAGGAAGCCGTAAAATAATACGAGCATACTTGGACATACTGACCCAAGACCGCAAGGGTAGCAGCCATTATGTCAAGATATGTCAGAATATGGCAACGCTGAGTCCTTCACGAGTCCTAGGCCCCTCTATTTTGGCACCTAGTGGTCCTCCAATCGTCCTCGCTGGCCGGTAATTACAGGTTTTCTTACGTATTAGCCCAATTGCTGTGGGTCCACGGCGGCTGGGCATGACAAACAACAGCCTGAGCTCGCTGCAGGGCGACATCATTGTCTGCCGAAGCCATTGGGCATCAGCTGTTGGTCGCTTTGTGACAGTCTAGAAGGCTCGGGAAGGCTCTTTTTTGTCCACATCTTTTCGGTTGGTGTTTTGTTGGTGTGCATTTCCTTTACGCTCTTATCGCATTGTCCGATGTCCATGTGTCTTTGATGGGCTTTGTCTGAATCCACAGCCCTTGTTGACCTGGAACAGATGGCGGGGCAGTTTCAGCGTTGCAGTCTCTCTGCACAACAGTCGCGGCGGGGCCGGGACTTGGCTGGTCCCAGAGACGTGTTGTCTGGCCTGCGGCAAACTGATTTTTACATAAAAGTGGGGTGATAGAGCTACCAGGGTGTGTTTATAGTGATAGTGCGGGCGGTGAGGCCTCTTATCGGTCTTATCACTTATCGGTGTGCCCCTCGATCTCTAGTCTCACAGGGATCCGATGATGCAATGAACAGACCGCACACGAAGCCAGAAAGCCGGAACGTGCACATCGAGGGTCTTTGGCCAAGTGTAAGCCCAATCAATGTAAAAAAATGTAGAGTCTCCTAGAAATTGAGTCTCTTCAAAACCCAACAACACGGGCAAACATCACTAGGCAGCCTGAGGTTTCACAGACTCAGGCCGGGCTGGCGCGGGGCCAATCGAGAAGCTTCTCCAAGCTTCTGGGCCACTCTTAGCCCCAGGATGACACCCGGGTGCGGGGCTAGACGACGGCTCCATAAGGCCCCATGGAGGGGCGGACTTCCCCCCTCTGAAGAGTCTGAAGCGCAGCCTGTTGGGCATCTTGCTGGGTTTCCTGGCACTGAATTTTTTTTATTTTTTTGTCTTCAGGTTGCCTGACTGGTTAACTGCCTAGGTACCGGTAGCATCCTGCACTCCCTCTCTAATCCCGCTTTTTTTTTTCTCACCCTGCGACTGAACTGCCAGATTTGCGTCTGAGCAGAACTCGAGCATCTGATCCAACTCCCCTCACTTAGAACCCTTCACCACTACCCCTCTACATCCGTACATCGGCATCCCGCTGCTAATCTCGACTTCGGCTGGTAAGCACACACACACACACACACACACACACACACACACACACGCACGCTGCCACATCCATTGCCCCATTACCATCTATCGTGACTTGTCGTGCCGAAGAAGCTCAGTTCTGTTTACACGAGCCGCTGTTCTGTTCTATTAGGTTTTTCATCTACCGTCGCCGTTCAACATGTCGGTCGTCGGTAAGTTATGCTCCTCTCAATATTTCCCTCTTGACCCCTTTGCCCTTGTCGTCGTCGTCGTCGTCGTCATCGTCGTTCCCCCGACTGGGGCACCCTCGTCGCGTGTGCCCCGCGGGGCTGATGCGCTCAGATATACCCTTGTCTGAGGTCCGGATCGCGATCTGAACTCTCTGCTGACCATTATTTCTTCCCGACACAGGTATCGATTTCGGTTCCCTTAACACCGTCATCGCTGTTGCGAGGAACCGGGGTGTCGATGTGGTATGTAGGATGACATATCCATTTATATTCCGTCCTCTTGGAAAGTCGCTATTTCCGGTCGGATACAGTGCTGACAACCGACTCTGCTCTAGATCACCAATGAGGTCTCGAACCGGGCAACCCCGTAAGTATTACTCGAACAACAAAACTCTTATTGACAACAGCATCGTCTAACCATATCATCACTCTTGCAGATCCCTTGTTGGCTTTGGCCCCAAGTCCCGCTACCTTGGTGAGGCCGCCAAGACCCAGGAGATCTCCAACCTCAAGAACACTGTCGCTTGCCTCAAGCGCCTGATCGGTCGCTCTTCGAAGGACCCCGATGTCCAGATCGAGCAGGGGTTCATCTCAGCGCCGCTGATCGACATCAACGGCCAGGTCGGCGCTGAGGTGTCGTACCTGGGCCAGAAGACCCAGTTTACTGCCACCCAGCTGGTTGCTATGTTCCTCACCAAGATCAAGCAGATTACCGCCAATGAGATCAAGCTTCCCGTTTCCGACGTCGTCATCAGCGTCCCTGCCTGGTTCACCGATGTCCAGCGCCGCGCTCTGATCGATGCCGCCGAGATTGCTGGTCTCAAGGTTCTGCGCCTGATCAACGACAACACTGCTGCCGCTCTTGGCTATGGCATCACCAAGCTGGACCTGCCCAGCGCGGAGGAGAAGCCGCGCCGTGTTGTCTTCGTCGACATCGGCTACAGCGATTTCACCGCTTCGGTCGTCGAGTTCCGCAAGGGCGAGCTCGCCGTCAAGGGCACTGCTTGGGACCGCCACTTCGGTGGCCGCAACTTCGACCGCGCTATCGTCGAGCATCTCCACAAGGAGTTCGAGGGCAAGTACAAGATCGATATCTTCAGCCGCCCCAAGGCCCTCGCTCGCGTCTATGCCGCTGCCGAGAAGCTCAAGAAGGTCCTGTCGGCCAACCAGCAGGCCCCGCTCAACATCGAGTCGCTCATGGACGACATTGATGTCCGCACCATGATTACCCGTCAGGAGTTCGAGGCCATGGTTGAGCCTCTCCTGAACCGCATTCACGTCACTCTTCAGCAGGCTCTCGACGACGCCAAGCTGACCAAGGACGACATTGACTTTATTGAGGTCGTCGGCGGTGGCAGCCGTGTTCCTGCCATCAAGGAGCGCATCCAGTCCTTCTTCGGCAAGCAGCTGTCCTTCACCCTCAACCAGGATGAGGCCATTGCACGCGGCTGCGCCTTCAGCTGCGCCATCCTATCTCCCATCTTCCGTGTCCGTGACTTCACCGTCCAGGACATCATCAGCTACCCCATTGAGTTCGCCTGGGAGAAGGATGCCGACATCCCCGATGAGGATACCAGCCTTACCGTTTTCAACAAGGGCAACGTCATGCCCTCGACCAAGATCCTTACCTTCTACCGCAAGCAGCCCTTCGATTTGGAGGCTAGGTACGCCAACCCGGAGATGCTTCCCGGCAAGGTTCCCCCCTTCATTGGCCGCTTCTCCGTCAAGGGCGTTAAAGCCTCCGGTGCCCCCGATGACTTCATGATCTGCAAGCTCAAGGCCCGCGTCAACATCCACGGCATCCTTAATGTGGAGAGCGGCTACTACGTCGAGGACCAGGAGATTGAGGAGGTCATCGAGGAGAATAAGGAGGAGAAGAAGGAGGAGAAGAAGGAGGGTGAGGAGCAGCAGCAGAAGGACGGCGACGTGAGTCTACCCGGTGCCCCCCAGAGCGTGATATCGCCATACTAATTCTGTCTGACTTTGCAGGCCATGGACACGGACGCGCCTAAGGAGGAGCCGCCGAAGCCCAAGACCCGCAAGGTCAGGAAGCAGGTCCGCAAGGGCGATCTCCCCATCGTGAGCGCCGTCCAGTCGCTCGACCCCCAGACCAAGGCGCTCTGGATGGAGAAGGAAGGCCAGATGATCGCGGAGGACAAGCTGGTCGCCGAGACGGAGGAGAAGAAGAACGAGCTCGAGACCTACATCTATGAGCTGCGCAACAAGCTCGACGACCAGTATGCCGAGTTTGCCACTGACGAGGAGAAGGCCAAGATCCGCGAGAAGTGTGATGCCACTGAGGTAAGCCTTGCTTATTCTGAATCTGCTTTGCCTAACTGTATGCTGACGGCTCCCAGGAATGGCTCTACGACGAGGGTGACGACACCACTAAGGCCGTGTACGTCGCCAAGCTTGAGGAGATCCGCGCGCTGGCCGGCCCCGTCGTGCAGCGCCACTTCGAGAAGATGGAAGAGGAGCGGCGCGCCCTGCAGGCCAAGCTCGAGGCCGAGCGCGCTGCCAAGAAGGCTGCTGAAGAGGAAGCGGCCCGCAAGGCGGCCGAGGAAAAGGCTAAGCAGGAGGCCGAGGCTGCCGCTGCCAACCCCGATGCTGCCGCCAATGGCACCAAGGATGAGGAGATGCCTGATGCGCCGGCTGCTGGTAAGGCCGAGGAGGGTGCCCAGCAGCAGGGTGAGGAGAAGCAGCAGCAGCAGCAGCAGCAGTAAATGGTTGATTGATTGATTGATTGATTGATCGGGGATTTAAGGGAGGACATAGGGATGAAAAGGAAAGGGAAATGAACATATAAACGGAAAGGAAAAAAGAGATGATATGAATGGCTGGGATGAATTCCGTCCCAAATTCTATTTGCACCGCACCTCCTCCCCCCCCCCTTTTTTTTATGACATGATAAACTTCCTTTTCTCTTCCTCTTTGGTGTTCGTTTCGCGCTTTGAAGGGGTCTCTTCTCTTTTCGTGGCACATGGCCTGTGATGAAGCAAAGAAATGGAGGGAAAGAGGATGAATAACTTTGGTTGTTGGGGAAGGAAGAGAGTGTGGCAAACGTTGGGTGTATGGATGGATGGATGGATGGATGGATGGATTATGCTCTTTCTTCTTACATATCATACCTCTCTAGGTACAACTTACAATTAAGAAGGACTGGAAAGGGTGGTTCGATTCATTTGATAGATGGGAAGTTCTGTACTTTCTTCATCATCGTCAGTTTGCGCTCGTTTGTTGCTGGTGATGTGTTACACGATGATGATTGAGATGAGGACCAGAGGAGGAGATGGAAGAAGAGATGGAGGAGAGATAAAGCAGTGGGAGGGGAACGAGCATGCCCTGAATAGGGCGGACAAATCATAGAGTTAAGAGTCTATGGCTCGGCTCCAGATACAGTGCTTCTTGAAGGAGGATAGAAGGACGCTAGGTATGGCACAAAGAGGGTCTGGGTCTGGTAGGTGTTGGGATTGGAGGAACTCTCTGGGTTGACCTATGACAGGATGTACTACCTTAGGTAAAGCTGGGTTGGAGATAAGAAACTTGGCAGGTGGACGTTCATGCCTACCTAAGTAACATAATACAATGCAGAGTTTGATTCTTAGCTTAACAGTTATGCAACACTGCCGGGTCACCTATTCGTCTAATGGTTCCCGAGGTCCTGGCTGCTCTCTCGTCGTTTACCTGTAGTGCAGAACCTGATGGGGGAAAGAAAAAGCTTCGGAAGGTTAGACTCTTATGTAGTTGTGCAATTCCACAGACTAGCTCTTAAGTTGACACCCCCAAAGTATTCTATCTATAGCCAGAAATGTGCGAAATCTTGGAGCTTCTTCATGAAACTGTAGGTGGTTGCCAAAGATCGAGGGCGTCTGGTGCTTTTACCACGTGATATATCACGTGTTGCCCCTCCAAACATTGCGGGTACTCTATCAATTGCATGGAGGTGATTGGCGGCAGCAGCTCCCTCTCAGCGGATTGACGTTGCTCGGCATCAAGGACTCCATTAGGAGCAGAGCAGCAGCAGCAACAGCTCGAAGCCGCCAGCAGCCCGCAGCCAGCAGCCAGCAAGGAACGAGCGAAATTCCGCTCTGCGGTTGCCAACCCAGAATTTACGACTCTGACGACGACGACGACGACGACGACACGCCAATTGACCCGTCGCCGCCCATAATTCCCTCCTCTCTTAATCGAGCCCAAAAAGACCCGAACAAGTAAAAAGAAGTCCATCAACCAAATAGAGAAAAAAAAATGCGCGCCACAACCCGTCTCCTCGCCGTCGTCCGCCCGGCCACCCAGGCAGCCGCCTCCTCGGCTTCCAAGGGCAAGTTTCTCGTCCCCGGCGCGCCGACCGGCCTCACTGGCCTCGGCACCCACCCCTCGCCCCGCTCCGCCCTCCTCTACCTTTACCACTCCACCCTCGAGAAGTTGAAGCAGATTCCCGAGCACTCGGTCTACCGCCAGTCGGTCGAGGCCGTCACGCGGCATCGGCTGGCGCTTGTCGAAAGCGTCGTGCCCGAGGGATATGATGCTTGGGTGGAGCGAGCAAAGAAGCTTCTGGAGGAGCATGCGGATCAGTTTGACCCCACGAAGGTTGGGCCTGAGGGAGGTGAGGAGGTGCAAGGAGCGAGGGCAGTGAAAGTGGAGAGGGACGGGAGGGTTTTTGTAGTGAGCCGGCTGCCGAAGGAGGAGGATGAGAGGGTGTTGGAGTGGGATGGCGAGGTGGACGAGGGTCCGGAGTTGGAGGGGAGTCGGACGTTGGAGGAGAAGATCGAGGGGGGGTTGGAGAAGATTTTTACGAGGCGGGATGTCAAGGATACGGTTGGGCGGGTTGAGTGGGAGCCGGAGCCGCAGTTGACGGCGGAGCAGTAAGTTTTGGTCCAGGATGAACGTTTAGAATGCGTATGCTGATGAAGGTTCTCTAGGGTCGCTGAGCTCGAGAACAAGATTGGTGCTGGCCTCATCGAGGAGGTCATCCAGGTCGCTGAGGGCGAGCTCAAGCTGGTTGATACCATGGTCAAGGCTCGGGTGTAAGTCTCCTCTACCACATCTCTTGTTGCATATTCACTGACATTCGGGTTTTTTTTTCTAGTTGGGAACCCCTCGAGGAGCAGCCGCGCCCTGGCCAGTGGGAGTACTTTGAGCGCAAGCCCTGAGCGGATATGGTAACAATCTGCTCGCTGTACTGTACATAAATTGACGGACACGGGGTTGGGTGATGGGAGGGATATAGGCCCTGCTTCGCCTTGCCTGAACCTCGGCAGGGATTTGATGAGAGAAGCAGGGCGGGATGAGGGTTGCGAGGGTGTCCTCCCTTTTCATGGGCAATACTCGGGCCAGATGATAGAAGGCTGTTGTTATGGTATATAGGTATTTATTGAGCGACCTGGTTGTGCTATGCAATGTGATTGTGATGTGGTGAATTGGTGGTGATAGGGCCCCCTTGAGTGGCGGGTCTTTCCGTGTCCAAGCTCCAGCAGCTTTGGTTTAAGTTTGTAAGAAGCGAAAAATCCTCCAAGTTCACCAAACTGCCAACTTCGTCAACTCTTTGACTGTGCGACTCCATCGCCCTCTAAAACTCTTATAAATCACATATTCATTTATTTAAATGAACTAATTACACTTGGTTTGCAACAAGGAACTTACCAAGAGGGTGTTTCTTAATGTCGCAAAGTTTTCGCCTCATCAACCCTCGCTTTTACGTATCACCGTTCATCTCTTATCTTCACAACTCGATCACCAACTTCATCTACCTAGCCATCTCAATTTACACTGTACTATCGCCTTCGAAGATCAGATCCCTTATCTTCACCAAAATCTACACTTGATACTTAATCGTATTCCCCCATCTCAAGATGGACTTCCCAACCATCCAAACCCCCTCCTCTACCAGATCCAAACGCAAGCGCTCCAATAACACAAAATCTTCCCCCGCCAACAACGAAGGCACCGATAGAGTCATAAACCCCCATTCCCACACTCCCGACACCCTCCGCCAGTTCGCTCTCGCAGGCTACCCCGCCGACGCTCCTGCCCCGGCAGAGGTCTGGCCTGGCTTCCCGCATCGCGCGCCGGACAGGAGGAGGCATTTTCGGTTCTATTATCACCCGGACGAACAGGGAGACAGGGGACGCAACGGGAAGGGGGAGGGTCGTGGTCCGAGTCGGGGGGATGGGGTTCTAGAAGGTGACCGGGAGCAGGCTGAGGGTGAGGAGGGGGATGCGGACGTGGATAGCACAACGGCCGTTGAGTCGGGGGATGATGGCCATACCTATCATCATCGTCGTCGTCGTCATCGCCGCAAATCCAGTGGCGCAAATGGATTGTCAGCAGAAGAAGACCGTAAGGCTCGCGCGTACCGTGCCCACGTCGGCTGGCTCACTACCATTCTGCGTCGGGCTTTAGCAACCAACGATTTGCCTACCGCTAAGCGCGCATTTGGATTGTTGATCAGGGCAAGTGTGTACGGGAAGCCGGTTGATCTGAGATATGAACGGCTGTGGGAGATGGGAGGAGAGATTTTATTAAGGGAAGGGGACCAGCTCCTGGAACAGGTGCAGAAGAATGATAGGGGGCAACAACAAGGGGGGGTTACCGAGGAAGCGGAAGGGGAAACGGAGAGGGATGAGGGGCAGGATTGGCTATGGCAGAATATTGGAATCGAGGCTGGGTCAGGACCGAGACAGACGTCGATGTCAAGAAGAGAAAAATGGGAACGCGAAGACCGCGTCGCAGAAGAAAGGCTGGAGAAACTGAAGGGGTATTTTGGTTACCTCGTCCAGCAGTACCCTTACTCAAGGCAACATGCGGGGAGTGCCGGACCTGTAGTCGACTTCCAAGTGGCTCTATTTGGGATTGAGCTGGAAGAAATCTGGCGCGCGCACAAGAGGGGCTTGGAAAGGTTAGACGAGGAAGCTGCCGACCCCGATGAGGAAGACCCAGAAGTGGACGAAGAAATGCCAGAGTACGACTTCACGCAAGACTACGACCTCCACGACGGTAACGATGAAGGGGTAAACCGCGACTCTTACTCACAAGACTACGACTATGCTCTCCCCCGTCACTCGCCAAAAGTTGATGACCCCCTACGAGATCTGACACCGCGAGAGCGCCGTCTCCACACCCAACGCATCACCCTCTACAAACAAACCCTCTCCCGCCTTGCCTCCCTCTCCGAACGCATGGACTCCGTAATGGAAACTCTTCCCTTCTCCCGCGACGCAGAGATGTTGCGCCTCCGGGCGATGGTCGCGCTGTACGCGGGGGATGTGGCCATCACTCCAAGGCTCACGAGGTCGATAGACGAAACAATAGAGGGACGCAGGGAGAGATTAAGACAAAGAGGGAAGGCGAGGGAGATGCTTGCACGGATGAGGGAAGTTGGAGGGGAGATGGGTGAGTTAGAGAGGATTTGGAGGGAATTAGTCAAGGAGGAGGAGGAGGAGGAGGAGAGGGAGGAGAGGGAGGAGGTTGGGTTTTGAGATGATGAGGATGTGATTTACAGGAGATAGGGACGGAAGCATTCTCAGATACCTATGTAATTGAAAGCTTGCTGAGAAATATATACGTGTTTTGAGAAAAATGGCCAATCGACCTAGGATCTATATCACCATAGCATATGCTGTCTGCATCGCCTATTCCCAACGAGGATCAACTGCTCACTTATTAGTATTAGTATTACTCCCCATGGCAAAGCACACCGTTCATTGTAGTAGTCTAGCTACCTCTCATAGATATAAGCGTAGAAAACCAGCTGCTCTTGCAAACTAATCCCTCTTGAGATACCAGATCTCACAGCTTTGTAAGGCTATGCAGTCTCATCCTACCTAAATAATTCAGAGAACCAGAGACGCAATAGGCCTACCATTACTAAGTCTCAACGTACATAAACTGACAACACCGTACCTAACCAACAGTAGCAAGAAATAAACTAATCCATGATAACCGGAAACAGATAGATAGATAACTTATCATAGCCGTCATGTCATAAATAAGTAGTCAACCTCCCCATCAGCATCATCTCCATGCAGCAACTCCTTTAACGTCCTCTTCCTAGCTATTGCAGCGAGCATACCCTCCTCTAGATGCTTTCAACTCACCCCTTTACATACCCCTCAAAACCAACCATCCCCTCTCCTCCCCATACCATACCCCTCTTCTCTAGCCGGCACTCCATACCTATACCGATGGGGCTCATACCCTCCATATCCGTAACCAGGCCCAGAGGCAGGCATGCAACTCCTTCCTGCAGCTGGAACCGGGGCCGGGATCGGAGCAGGAACTGAGGGAGTTGTCGTCTCTCCCCAGGCCCTCAAACCGTCCGAGGATGAGGCTAAGGGGCCGTACCCCCTCGGTTCACGATTTCTATCGCTGTCTAAACCCCTCTGTTGCCGCCGCCGCCGCCGCCGCCGCCGCCGCTGCTGCTGCTGCTGCTGTTGTTGTTGTTGTTGTTGATACCTCGCATGCTCCTGCAACGCATCATACGAAAACGCAGGCCGCAAGGACGGACGTTCAAAACCCCCGACTCTCTCGTCGGCTTTTAAGCCATATGCTTGAGGAGCCGTACCGGCCGACGACGACGACGACGAAGGCCAACCACGGCTCGGAGAATCAGCAGCATACATCCCCTCATCCAGACTAGCATGTCTCGTCCTGTACTGTGTCACAGGCGGCTCGGCATTATACCCAGTAGCGGCAGCACCAACACCCGCACCAAAACTCTCATATTCCCTCTCCTTGCCGAGCTTCTCACCCTCCACTGATCCTCCAACACCCACCGCCGCAGCAAGACCGTGACCAGCAGCAGGAGGAGGAGGGTGAGGGGGAGGAGGCGGCTCCCACATCGGCAACCCATCCGGCTTTGGACCTACACCCAACCTATTCCTACCATTTCCATATGTGGCAGCCAACGTCCCATTGATCCCCGTCAGGGCCCACGCGAAAACAGCTACGTCGCGGATGGACTGCATCAATTCTATTCCACATCTCGTCAGCATCACACCCCATTCACAATAGTAAACAAAGAGTCCCTCACTGCAACATACGCTCCAAAGGCGGCCCTCCTGCCGCCTTAACGCACTCCCTCAACGGCATATACTGCGGTAACAGCGGCGGACGGAAAGTATACAACGTTTCGGGCGGGAAATACGGTTCGTAGGGCTGGACGCCCCAGGGTGCGGCAAACAATCCGTTTTCATAATTGAATGGCGGCGGCGGAGGGACGGGGGGTTCGGGATCGGGGATTGGGGGGCGTGCTCTGCGCAGGACGACGACGAGGCCGTCTGAGGTGCAGGAGACGACGGCTTCGAGCTCAAAGGTTTGTGGCGGCGGGGCGACAGGCCGACGGCGACGGAGGACGGCGGAGCTGTTGGCGGGTCGGGAGAGGGGGTCGAGGTTTTCGACCGAGTTGCGACGGCGGCGGGGAGATGGGTCGTCGAGGTCCATGTCGCTGTCGGAATCGGGGCGTTTGGTTTCCTCATCGGTCATTTCAATTTCATTATCTTCTTCGTCATCCGACTCCTCCTCTTCCTCCTCCTCCTCCTCCTCCTCTTCATCTTCTTCTTCTTCTTCTCGCACGCGGGGGTTGTTCAACTCGATCCTAGGATCCTTATACCAAAACCTGAGATACGCGATCGACTCGTTCTCCTTGGCCCTCTCCAGACACTGCTCAGCCTCTTCTACACAGTTGGGCTGGATGCACTCATAAAAGGGGCGCTCGACCAGCTCGGCAGGGGTTAAGCCGAGGATCTGAGTCACAGCGTCTGTGGCGTACATGATGGTCAGGTTACGAGTGAAGCGATTGAGGATGAGGGCGGCACGCGGCTCGCGCTCCATGGGCGGCATCTTGAACTTGGGAGAGAGGTGCTCCAGCATGCGGTAGCGGGGGTCGCGGGGCGAGCTGGAGAAGATGCGACGGATACGCGGCGCTGCGAGCGCTCTCCCTGGGCACCATTAGTTGGGGGTACATTAATAGGTACTAGGGACACTCGAGGGACCATACTCTCGCTCTTTGGGCTCTCAAAGTACATGCTCGTCGAGGCGACGAGCACATTATGCACAACAGTGAAGCAGCACTCACAGGGCACCCACTGGCCCGTCTTGGACTGGATCCGGGCATAGTGCAGGACGGCAGCCTTGTCCAGCAGGATGCCTCTGCTGTGGACGGAGCGGGCAAAGGGCACTTCGTCTGGGTGAAAGTAGTCGAAGGCCGATTTCCCTTTTACCTCATCAGGCGTGTAGCCCAGAATGTCCTGGATAGAGTCGGAGGCGAACAAGATGTTGGCATCAGGGGTAAGGTCTGTCAAGTCAGCTAGAGCTGTTAAACTCTCAACACCGCTCAGCTCGTTGTAAGAAGCCACTCACTGTGAATAGTCATAAACGTTATATCTCTCGGATCCATGAGGGGCTATGCTGGGAGGGGAAAAGGGGGGGAGGGGGGGAAAAGGGCCACACAATGCTGGCTCACGATGAAGAAAAGAATATCGGTTACAACAGCCGTCTCGCCATGCGTTGATGGAGGGGCAAGTGTCAAGTTGGAGGAGCTAGTCTCAAAAGGAAGCGCCGAGCCGGACACAAGACAAATTGCTCGCGCGACGACAAGACAAGCTCAGAGAGGCGTGAGCGAAAAAAAGAAAAGGGAGAGGAGGGGGGGGGGGCGCGTGGCTCGCGAAGCACAGGAGAGAACGGCGGACGCAAGGCGCGCGCGGGTCGGGGTCGGGAGAGAAAACCGAGGGGGAAGGCTTCCGCAGCAAGCCACCCGGCACCCGTAGACGGAAAAGAAGAGAAAAGAAGCGTCTGGGGACGCTGCTGTCGGGTCGGAGAGGCCTGTGTGCGTTCTGCGAAGGCGGATTCCAACAGCGTCTGGTAACCCGAGGCAGCGTCGCACAGAGATCCCGCCGTCACCTGGGAGCGGATATATCAGGTCTTACGGGGGCGACGGGTGCCACGGATGCCACGGAAGTTACGGGCAGCAGGTTCGCAGGCTCACGAGCGGGCGGGCAGACGCAGGAGCGGGAGCAGGAGTAACAGCAGGCAGAGGACGGCGACCTAAGTTTACCGGGGCTGGCTGGGTGTTGGTTGGAGATCGTTCGCTAGAAAGCCCGGGGAGCGGGAGGGCGCAGCAGCCGGCAGCTCCCGCAGAGAGAAGACGGGAGGAGCGCTCACGAGGTTGCAGGTCGCAGGTCGCAGCGAAGAGTCAGTCAGAGAGAGGACAGAATTTTGTTCCCAGGCTTGTACATGTGTGGATGAGAGCGCGGGAAGCGTAGCACCGTCGCACTATACGGGCAATGTCTTCGGCTGTGTGCAGCGACACAGACCACACAGCACAAATGCAGCAGAGCCTAGAGGTCAGGTACCTGACTGCTTGGGCTGATATTTGCGACGGAGTAAGGGGCAACGAGACTGTCCGTATGTTTGGCTGCTTGTGACTGCGAGAGGAAGGTGTTGTACGGCCGACGTTTGTCGGTGGGCGATATGAGATCTCAGGGTGAGCCTAAGGGTTGGTCTAAAGAGTTCGAGAGAGTAGAAGATCCAGAAGGATCACTAAGAATTGTATTTCAGTCAACGGCACCGCAGATTGTATTGAAGCGATAGAAGACGGTGAGAAGTAGTGACCGACGGCATGAGTAAAGATAAAAGTGAAAACGCGATGTTGTCCGACGAGGACGACAGATGAGGGCAGCCCATGGGACAGATATTCTGATTCTGAGGGCGCTTGTCCTACAAACGGAATTGATCGACCGTGGCTCGCCTCGCCCGTCCACACCTTCGCAGACAGTCTTACAACATCAGCAACACCAACAGCAGCGTGAACCATGGTATGGACGCGACGAGAGTTCCAGACTCGCAGACGGACTCGCAGCGAGGAGCGAGGTGAAGGATGGATGTGAGCCAACGAGCTCACGGAAGCACCGGGCGCCATCCCCACCGAGCCTGCAGGGAACAGGGCCCCACCACAGAACCAACCAGAGCTCCGCTGAGCCAGGAGTGGCTCCGCGGAGCCCTCGAATCAGCGCCCGTCTTGCTCCTCAACCACGGCAGCTGCCAGGCTGCAGCCTAGCCAGTTGGGGAAAGACGGCATGTCAATCACCCTTGGCTTTTTCTTGGGAAGGGACACGACCGACCTCGAGGAAAGAGCGAGATGGAGGGATTGGATTTCTCACCTTTGCCATTGCTCTCAACAATTTCTCGATCTCGCGGAAGGAAATTGTATGTTCCGCGGCGGCGAGGCAACTCTGCGTTAGTAGAGGGGTTTGCAGCAACTTGAGAGCTGGAGCCGGAAAGCGAAAGTTAGCTCCATATCTGGCAGCTAAGAAGTATCAGGGCGATTGTCTCGCTCGTTTCCAGAAGCCCTACCAATTCAATGTATCTGTCTGGTCGGCTGAATATTCACAACTTCTGAGGACCGGCCGACACTGACGATGCGCCTGGAATTGGCTACCGAGACAGAACGTGCGTGAGCAGCTGAGGGCGGCGTCGTCGCAGTCTCTCGAGCCTTGGCAACCGTCATGGTGAGTCGACCGCCACGGTCGTCCGTCCCTGCGAGAGTGGGACAGAGACATTGTCTTTGTCTCTCAACTCGCTGAGTCTCTCTGCCCTTTGCCACTGTCGGCGGCGGCCGTCAAGGTCCAGGAGAGTCTGGCTTGGAGTCCGTTGCACGACCGGGCGCAGCATAGGTATTGCTAAGGATAGGTTGACGATATCCCCGTTGTTGGACACCATCCTTTTTCTGTTACCTTCCCTTTGCTGCCGGCTGCTGGGGACGGAGCAGAAAGACAGGCCATAGAAATTTCCGAGTCGCGCTTCTCTGCATGATCGTCAGGCCCCGGGATGCCTAGGCCGTCCGGAGATCCTGGCGCCACCCTTTGCAGCGCTGCCTGAGTCCCAAGAGGGAAGATGCAAGCGGGTGTGCACATCGCGGGCAGCAGACCAGGTCCTGTACCTAGACCAGGCCAGACCAGACCTAGGCTGGCCGCAGGGCAGGACACAGGACACACACACACACACACACACACACACACGCACGCACGCACGCACGCACGCACGCACATATTGGTGCCAGAGGGTGTCCGTCTCGTCCGTCTCGGATGGCTTTCCTGGCTTAGGGTAACCTCTTGAGTCGAGGTTGCACAGGGCCGTTGTCAGATGATGTCCGCTGATAGGCCATTCCAGGGTTTCTCTCAAGATGGGAGACCAACCCTCGAAAGTCATCACCGTAGACATTTATAGAGGTTCAAAAAAAAAAAAAACAGGGAATCATCATCGCTTTTGATGTCCCTTGATGTCAAAGCTACTCAAGCCTCACGTGGGGTGGAGCTCTAAGCCCGCGAACTTGGCGTGCCGGCCACCTGGCGTTTGGGGCAGTTCCGAAGCTTTTCGGGTGAACCCAGCCCCATTGCAAGCTCTTTATTTTTTTAAAAAAAATAAAAACAATGACGAGGACGAGGACGAGGACGAGGACGACGACTACGACGGGAACTTCCGTTGTCCTGCATCTCCTCGAAAATAGTGTGCGTATCGAACAGAGTGCTGTGAAAAAGTGGGATCCTCGGGCAGCAACACGGTTTCTGTTTTTAGTCAGGTCTCTGTCATGATATGCGAGTGAGGATTGGGCACCATGTCTGTGTGCTGATCGGGTGTTTTGTTCCGAATAAGACAAGAATTTTCTAAAACATTTCGCCCTGAATTAGGTTGCACGGGGAAACGGCAATGACGACTGTGTGAGGGTGAGGGTTGGCCGGCTGGCGGCCGGGCAGGCAGGGCGAGATGGATGAGAGATGCGGGGTTCAAGACATCTCGCCGGCTTCTCTATGAGGCTGATGGAAGAGCTGAGCTTGGCTGGTGTTAAGAGCTGAGGTCAACTTTGAATCCCCGAGGAGTCAGGGGGTTGTGGCTTGTTTACACACACAAAATTGGCTGACAATACTCCTCAACCAGTTTCCTGACTAGAGTCGAGCCGGGTTAATATCCGGGTACCGCAGGTTTATATGAAGACTAAGCTTAGACAGTGCTTAACAGAAACCAATTCTTGTCAAGTTAGACAGGGGCTTGTCATTTGGTGTTCTATGGTACATATGCTGAGAGTTGAGGTTCTATTTGAGTGAAGTAAGTCATGAAAATGTGCCAAGAAAGTTCAACTTATATCCAGGGAAATTCAACACACACTGTCAATGCACGCAATCTCGGATCAGAAATCTTCAACTTAGATCCAGTTTTCCTATCCAGAATGACACTGTAATTGATTGCTAAAGAATGTGAGTGCCTTTGAAATGCCTTCGATGTTCACTCACCCTCAAGGGCCATCACTCTCAGCTTTAACCCGCAATTGCGACGCGTCCCGTCCTTGCGCGACGGGGGACCCACTTCAATTAAGATTCAAGACAGAATGAAGCCTGGGATTGAATCTCATCCCGACACCAACTGAAAACTCAACCAAAACTCATCTCGTCACTCATAATTGAAGTATTTCCCGTAGCAACTCCGAAACCTTACCCCTGATTAAACTTCAATTTGATTCTTACTCCGCAACCGCAACATCAGCATCAAGTCAAACACAACGACACAACCTCCTTTTACTGAATCCCCCGCTTGACAGCTAAAGACCACCGTCCTGCTTGACAGCCCCAACCAGTTGTTCATCGACTTAACAATCCCGAAATCCCTCCCATCCCCTTTCCTCGGCCCCACTCTCCTCCTGTCGGGACCGGGCCGTGAGGCCGGATACCGGTGACGGCCAAGCCCTACAACTCACACAGATCCTGCAGCCTAAGTCTTTCTCCATCCTGTGATCCAGATCTCCTCCCCTCCCTCATCAACATGCCAGCATCCGACTCGGCCGAGTGGGAACTCCCCCGCTTGAGGACATCCTTCATCTTCCAGGTAGGGATCCCTCGCCCTCACTTCTGCTGGCTCTCATTTGACACTGAGGGAACTTAATCCGATGATCGGGCTTGTGTGACGGAGGAGTTGGCATGCTCACTTACTGGGAATATATGGCTAGGACGACTACAAGTATCTAGGCGACGACGGGTCTGTGAGCCAAGGTACCCAAGACCAACACCACCACCACCACCACCATATCCAGATATTCATGGGCAGGCATTATCCTTTTCTTAGTCATTAACTAGCTATCAACTTCTTGTCATGTTTAGAGAGAGGGAGCCGTGAGCCTGACTGTACTGCTGCTGCTGCTTAGATCTGGCCGAATTTTTCGATGTCAAGTTTTATCCGTATAGTCCGCCCGGCGCGCCGCCCGTATTTGCGGCTACGAGCAAGAAGCACGTGAGTACTTTCCTCATGTGCCTACGGCGATGGGGGAGCTGGGCATGCTAATGAATTGTCAAGGCGGTCATCTGCCGGCTGACGCAGACCACGGACAAGGATGCAAATCCGTGTGAGATTATCCAGCTCATTCGGGATGATGGGGTGAGTAGTCAATGAACCGTCCTCGATAAGGGCGAAGATATTGACTGTAAGATAGAATGAAGCCAACTGTGCTAGCTGCTGGTCCAAAGACCCCATCACTGACCAGCCTTTACTCTGCATCGCCGGCAATGAAGGGAACGTGAAGGTGTACAATGTGACAGAGGGCAAGCTCTACAGGGTATGTGTCCTATTCCTCGGTTCATTCTATTTGGTTCTCAACTGACACGCTCTACAGACACTCGTGGGTCACGGAGGAGTAAGTTCCAACTCATAGCTAGTGACCAAATGGGAGCTCACCTGCCCTAGGGTATAAATGACCTCGCCACATCTCCAGCCAATCCATACATCATCGCCTCAGCATCCGACGACACGACTATCAGGATATGGAGTCTTGCTCCGGAACACGAGAAGCAGCCGTGTGTATGCATTCTCGGCGGCGAGGGGCATTCGTATGACTTGTTAAGTGTGGTAAGTTGGGGTCAGGTATGAGTCTCGTAGACTGAAGCTAAGTTATGGTCCAGGCTTTCCATGACAACGGGCGCTATGTCCTGTCCGCTGGTCACGACCAAGTCATCAACTTGGTAAGTTCCCTGCTTATCTCTCCCTGGAAAAGATCTGGGCTGACATGACAAAGTGGGCTCTCCCTGAGTTCCCCAACGAACACATGGAGATCCCCATCGTCATCTACTACCCTCACTTCTCCTCCTCCGAAATCCACAACAACCTTGTCGACTGGTACTTTCCCCCCTTCCCTCCCTTCCCACCCACTCTCCCATCCCCTTCCTCTCTCTCCCGTTCCCTATTCTCCCCCCCCCCCCACCTCCCTCCTCCCCCCCTCCCTCCTCCCCCCCTCTCCTTCCACCCCTACCCCCACCTCCTCCCTCTTTCTTCCGTCCTCTCCAAGACTAACCCTCCCCCATAGCGTAGCCTTCTACGGCGACCTAATCCTCTCCCGCGCCTGCCACGAAGACACCATCGTGCTCTGGCGCATCGAAGGCTTTTCCTCCGATGACCCCATCCCGGGTCCCCTGGACGCCCCAACCCCCACCGACATGACCAAGCAAACCCGCTCCTACTTTACTCCAACCGTCTCCCCGCAGTCCCGCCCTGCAATGTTCACCCGTCTCGCCCAGTTCCACACGCCCGACTGCGGCGTACAGTTTTTTATGAGGTTTCGGATGTACCATGTGCCCGGGAAGCATCCTATTCTGGCGTTTGCCAATGCGAAGAGCAAGACGTTTTTCTGGGATTTGGCGAGGTTTGGGGAGTATGCGAGGTTCATGGCTGATCTCAAGGAGGCGCAGCAAAGCTATAATGGGAGGGTTGTCGTCGTGGATCAGGGGCAAGGGATCAGTCTTGCCCAGGCGCAGCAGGTGCATGGGCCAGGCGTGGGTGTGGTCATGAAGCCGGCTTGGTTGGTGCCCAAGAGGGTTAAGAAAGCTCCTGGTGCTGCTGGCTCTGGTTCCGGCACGGCTGCTAATGGCGGCCATAACAACAACAACAACAACAACAACAACAACAACAACAACAACCACGAAACTGGGAGTCAGCGCTCATTTTCTGCGACCAATAACCTCTCCAATAGCGGGAGGGATAAAGAATCTGCTTCCATGGTCTCTGCCAGTCCGGACCCGGACTCGCCGTTTGGGTTCTCCAGGGAGACGTTGCAGGCTTGGGCGGATATGTATGATTTGTCCAATCCGGTTGGGTTGATCAAGGCGCACAGATCGCTGGCTATCGATGGGGCGTTTGTTGGGAGGCAGGTTGGCTGGAGTCCGGAGGGAGAGTGGTGTGTAGTGGTTGGGAATGGCAATCGGGCGTTGATTTATCAGCGGTGGGGGAAGGAGAGGGGTTTGGGGAGTGGCACGCCGGGAGCTTGAGGTCAATGAGACTTGAGAATGGTTTAGTTAAGAGATGGTTTAAGTGTTGCAAGGAGGGACTATTCGTATGTTACGTGTGGGATATCCTTGCTTCTAATTAATCAGGCTACGTAGTTCATATCCCTCAGGAAGAAGATCTCTTTGCCTGGGTTCAAAGCCTCTCCGTTTCCGTTCTATAGCATCTAAACGGTCGCTCACTGTGGTTATATTCCCTATGTACGTACAACGTTCGTGCTGAATTCCGTGGTGACGCTTACTCGAAGAGCCTCTTGAATATTGAAAACTTATCCTCTCTACTTCGCCTTTTTCCTAAACCAATTGACAACATGATCTCTAACTTGCCCACATGACATGCACAAACCAACCTACGAGCCTCATACCCTAGAGTAATACCAACAATATCTCCAACGGGAGATTCAATCTTGGCTCTCTTAAGCGCTGTCGCACCGCATATTGGCATCGGGACCGAGACTCTCGCCCTGTGCCTGGCGCGGGTGCATTGTACGTTGTGGTAGTACTCATAGGGGTTGTAAACAGGTATGGGCGTCTGTCTGACAATGATGCTGTGTAAGTATAAATAAACATCCTTGGTCACGGTCATCAAATGTTGGAGTTAGTTTTGGGGGGAGGGGGGAGGTGGAGTGTGGGTATAAATGTTAAAAGGTGCTTAGGGGGAAAAATATGGGATGTGAGTCGAAGATGGGGTTGAGGACTTGACTTGTGTGCATTCTATAGAGTAAGAGACAAACTTTAAGACTTTTCTAACAGGGACATGGGGAAACTAAATAGCTTTCAAATTTACGAAACCCAAGGATGTGTACAAAGTATCCATCAGGTTGAGAAAAGAGACCCGGATAATGGTGAAGGAAAGAGATGAAATGGGTTGTGACAAACAAGTACGCAATCTCTGGACTCTGGACCCTGACCACCAAGATCAGAGACACCTGCGAGCTCTCAAGAATCCTCCCTCCTGATTGGTCATAATACCTAGCATGATCCACCCTCCGAGCTCCGCCAAGAAGGGATTTGGGCCCCACAACTGCGACCAACTGGCAACGTCAGTCCGTCGAGTAATCGCATTGCAGCGCAGGCAGCTCGAGCTTCAAGTTGACAACCTGAGAATCAAACCCACGGTCGCCCACAACCGCTGCCAAAACAAATACGAAAGCCCTAGAACCGAACATACTCCCATTCCGAGAAATCTCGTCGGGAATTAGAGCCAGAAAATAGAACTACCCCACCAAAATGGCATCCTCCTCCAACCGGCGCGACTACCACAACGTCCCCGCCGTCGACATCGACGCCGACGACGGCGACCTGATCGACCCGGATGACGGTACGCTTCTTCAATCATTTTTTTATCCTCTCTTACACTAGTATCGTGAGCTAACTTCTGCTACAGCCGACCTCAACACCTTCGACGACCCCTTAGCCGCAACCCCCACAACCAGCACCTCGCCTACCACCACCACCGCCACCCACCACCCACGCCATACCCTCTCCGGCACCATCACCACCTCCCAGCGCTCCTCCTCACAACGCCAAACCTCCGCCTCCTCATCATCTTGGTTCTCTTCGAACCCCCTCCTGCAAGGAGAAGACCGCCTGCGCCCCTACGACCAATCCACCATCGACGAGTCCGTCTGGGCGACCCTGCGCCGCGACCTTCTCGCCGTGTGGTCCAAGCTGCGCGAGGTGCTGTATCCACGGCACCTGTTCAGCGCCATAACCGGCTCCAACAACGGCGGGCCGTCACTGCGTGATGCCTACGCCGGGCTGCGAAACACCTACTTTTCCCTGCGTAGCGGGGGTGTCGCGGCAGCAAGGGAAGAGCTAGCTGGTCTAGCGGGACGGGTTATGGATGCGGAGAGGCTACTGGAGAGTGAAGAGGGCGGGATGAGAGGAGGATTGAGGGATTGGGATTTGTGGGGACCGTTGGTGTTTTGTTTGGTGTTGAGCACGTTATTGTGTTTGGAGAGTAGGGAGGAGCAGAGGGAGGTGGTGTTTAGTGGAGTATTTGCGATTGTTTGGGTGGGGATGGCGGCGGTGACGGTACAGATTAAGTTGTTGGGGGGGAATATGTGAGTTTTTTTTTTTTTTGTCCTTTCTTTATCCTTAATGTGTTTTTGGATGAGGATACTGACGAGAAACAGTTCGTTTATGCAGTCGATCTGTGTCATCGGGTACACCCTATTCCCGCTCGATATTGCTGCGCTGTTGTCGGCAGTTCGGCTGCACTGGATCGCGAGGATTCCGATTTACTTTACGCTGGTGCTGTGGTCGCTTGCTGCTGGTGTTAGCATCTTGTCGGGCAGCGGGGTTGTCAAGAACAGAGTTGGGCTGGCCGTATACCCGCTGTTTATTTTTTACCTGGGGCTGGGCTGCCTATGCTTCTTGAGCTAGCGGCGAGAAGGGGTTTAAAGGATGGAAAACACATGATTAGGGTCTGGTCTGTCTGCTGGTTGTACTTTTAGTTTTATTTTGGCGGCCGTTTGCAATGGAATCATGGGTCTTTTGGTCTTCTCATGGAGTTCAGTCTCCAGTTATTCTATCGTGAGAACTAAAGAACTGAAGCTGACATCTTCCTGATCGGATACTATGTATTGAATCACTATGTCTATAATATGCTCACTCTCAACAACATCAGCTAGCATCTCAGACGCCCTCCTTAACATTTATGCTCAAACGAAATGACCCCACC